TACATTTTTTTTTTAAATTTTAATTTTTTTCAAAAAAAAAAAAAAAAAAATTCAATTTGTACTTGACATTAAAATTGTTTGTACTTGGTGGTATCCAATATCAAATTTTTGTTGTTGTTGTTGTTGTTGATTGAATATAGAGCAAAAAAAAAGTATTAATAACTGTAGCGTTAATGAGATAATTAATTACACATTTCCGGATTTTTTTCAGTTTTTTTTTGTAATTTCAGATTGAAAATTATCATCGATAATCATTGTGGTTTGAAAATAAATCATGTTTGTTTTCAATTCATTATTTTACTGATTTTTGTTTGTTTTTTGGCATTGAAAAATATATATGATATGATATGACATGATGAATTTTGAATATATCATAATAATACAATAATTTACCATTGTAACGATCTCTTTGATAAATTTTTGACATTATCATTCTCGTCATCATCATCATCATTATCATCAGCCTAGGAATGTTGTTCCCGGATTATTTGTTTTTTTGTTTTTGTTTTTACTTTGAGGCTTTTAAACCAGATTCTCATAGATTCTGATATTATTATTATTGAAGAATTTCGTTTGAAATAGAATTCTGTGGAAATGAAACAAGATTATTAAAAAAAAAAGTAAGAGGGAAACAATCGAGTAAATGGCAATACGGCCATGAATATCTATCTCTGTATATGTTGTATGCTGTGTTCGGGTATTTAGTATTTTTTTTTTTTTGTTGACAAATATTCAACAGAGAATATATATGAAAAAAAGCCTTGATTCTCTCCGTTCGTTCATTTGTTTGTTTGGAAACACCGTAGTACAAAAAAAAAGAAGAAAAAACTTTGCAATAAAACTTTGTTGTTGTTGTTGTTTCAATTCGATTTTTCCCCTCCTCATCATATCTTTTTTATCCCATCCAATTCTATTTATTTGACGTCATCTTAAAGTAATGATTTTGTTTATTGTTTTTTTTGCCTGGTTTTTGTTTCTGCTGCTGCTGCTGCTGTTGGCGCTATGTAGTTTATATTTTCGGTTTCCCATTAAAAATAAATGGAAGACGTTGAATGTGCAAACTCAGAAACAAACACCGACACACACACACACACACCGAACCGAAAGAAAGAAACGATTTGTTCATTTGTTATTCATCACTGGATTGGCAAACTTTTAAATNTTTCGGTTTCCCATTAAAAATAAATGGAAGACGTTGAATGTGCAAACTCAGAAACAAACACCGACACACACACACACACACCGAACCGAAAGAAAGAAACGATTTGTTCATTTGTTATTCATCACTGGATTGGCAAACTTTTCAATGAATGAATGAATGAATGAATGAGAATGAGTCGAACCGAAAATCTCTTGTTTTTTTTCGGTTCAAAATAGCATTTTTTTAAAAATACTAAATTCTCTTCAAAAATATTTATTATTTCTTTCATCACTAAAGATGATGATGAAATTTTTTTCTGCTGCTGCTGCTACTACTGCTTTCATAAAGAATTACATAGATTTTTCTCATTTCAAAAAAGATTGCATAACCACAAAATGATACCGTTGCAATTTTTTTCTATTGTTTTTCCAGGTAGAAAAATTTCCATCTATTAGAAAGAGATTATTGGCAATTCGGTTTCGATTTTTTTTTCGTTGAAAAATAAAAAAAAATCATTTCGATGATTCACACACACACACACATCGACTCATACTTTTGCACTGTATGAATAAATCTCTTTTCTTTTCTTTTCTTTTCTTTTTATACTTAAATCGTAATGAGAGCGTGAAGAAAAGAAGAACAAAAAATTGCTAATTTAATTTTTTCTTTGAATTCTAATTCTATAGTCGTCGACAACAAAAACAAAAAAAAAATGATAACGAATAATTTAGTCGGTCAAGTACAGTACAGTACATTCCATTGAAATTTTTTATTTTCGCTGTTAAAACAACGAGGAAAAAAAAGAATTTCTTTTATTCTGGTGACAAATATTACATTTGGGCAATAGGAAATTCATTTGATTCAACAGAATTTTCTGTGGTTGTTTTCATTTTGAATGAATCCAATTTCAAATTCAAAAGTCAATATTCATTATCAAAACAAAACAACAAAAAAAACTTTTAGGAATTTCCTAATATACGGAATTCATTCGGAATTTGATTTGTCAAATTTGGCAATGGAAATTAATAATAAATTACAGAATTCTTTTGGAATGATAATTACAATTTCTCTCTCTCTCTCTCTCTCTCTCTCTCTCTGTGTCTGTATGTTTGTTCTATTAAATTTTCCATCATTCATTCATGATTAATGTGAAAAATTATTATCATGTGAAAAAAAACAGCCAATGATGATTGTGATTGATTGATTGATTGATGAGAAAATGAAAATTTATTGATTTTTTACATTTGCAATAAATTTAATTTTGTTGTTGTTTTTGTTTTTTCGGGAAATTTTTTTTTCAAATGTTTAATCGGTATATTTTTATACCTGCAGCTGCTGTTGTTGACTACCTACACTGTTTTTTATTTCGTGGAAAAAATGGTACCAAAAATAACTTGTTGATTTTGTTTGTTTGGGTCTAAAATGATTTGACCTAGTGATGAATCTGAACAAATTGATTTATTCATCATTAGTATGTGTGATTTTTTTTTCTTTCGATAATCTTTTGATCTAAAAAAAAGTGTGAATGAGGTTATTCATTAAATGTTTTTTGTATTTTGTAATTTATTTCATTTGGAATTCTTATCATTTTTTTGCATTATTTTTGGAATAGAGTGAAGATTATCAACCAGTATCAATACCGAATCATGTACGTAATAATGCCCGATTATCAAGAAATGAAGAACCACAAATTGGTCGTTATCGTTTACTTAAAACGATTGGTAAAGGTAATTTTGCTAAAGTTAAATTGGCAAAACATTTACCAACCGGAAAAGAAGTTGCTATTAAAATTATTGATAAAACACAATTAAATCAATCAAGTCTTAACAAGGTATGTTGTTGTTGTCATATTGTTTATAATTTTAATCATAAATTTTTTTTTATTTTCTTGGGGTAGCTATTTCGTGAAGTACGCATTATGAAAATGCTTGATCATCCAAATATTGTAAAATTATATCAAGTAATTGAAACGGAAAAAACATTATATTTGGTTATGGAATATGCAAGCGGAGGCGAAGTATTTGATTATCTTGTATCACATGGTCGAATGAAAGAAAAAGAAGCTCGAGCAAAATTTCGACAGATTGTTTCAGCTGTACAATACTGCCATCAAAAACGTATCATACATCGTGATCTAAAAGCAGAAAATCTTTTATTGGATAGTGAAATGAATATCAAAATTGCTGATTTTGGTTTTAGTAATGAATTTCAATTGGGTGAAAAATTGGATACGTTTTGTGGTAGTCCACCTTATGCTGCACCGGAATTATTTCAAGGAAAAAAATATGATGGTCCCGAAGTTGATGGTAAGAGTTTTGTTGTTTTTGTTGTTGTTATAAAATGTATTTATTTTTTTACAGTTTGGAGTTTGGGAGTTATTTTATATACACTAGTCAGTGGTTCACTTCCATTTGATGGCGCCAATTTAAAAGAATTGCGTGATCGTGTACTTAGAGGAAAATATCGTATACCATTCTATATGACCACTGATTGTGAAAATTTATTGAAAAAATTTTTGGTATTAAATCCGGCCAAACGTGCTTCATTAGAGGTTAGTTATATTGCACGATTTTTTTTTTGTAAATGTATTGTGATATTAATGTTATTTTGTTTCATTTATTATCAAAGACTATTATGAAAGATAAATGGATGAATATGAATTACGAAGATGATGAACTAAAGCCTTATGTTGAACCGGAAATAGATTTAAGTGATCAAAGACGTATAGATATTTTATGTCAAATGGGTTATTCATTGGATGAAATTGAAGATTCATTACGGCAAAGAAAATATGATGAAATAATGGCCAATTATTTATTACTTGGAAAACGCACAACTGAGGTAAATGTTTTTTGTGTTTTTTGTTTTTGTTGTTTTGGATTGTTTTGCTAATTTTCTTATTTTTGTTTTAAAATTATTCAGAATGAACTATGCGATTCACGTTCAAGCTCAAGTCTTTCGTTACGCGGTATACATCAGAAAAATGATTATATCATACCTAATAGTCATCATTCTCATCATCATCATCATTCACATCATCATCAATCACCATCACATGTTAAAGTTCAACGATCGGTATCGGCAACAACTAAGCCACGTCGTTTCAGTCACAGTAGTGAAAATCAACAACAACAACAACAGCAACAACAAACCAATAATCATCCCAGTACATCCGGAGCAACAGGAACCGGACAACAATTTACAACACCTACAGTGCCTCCCATTCCGAATAATACCAGTGGTAGTAATACGTATAGTAGTGGTAGTAAACCACGTCCTAATGTTTTAGAACATGCAATGACAAATGCTAAAGATTCTGTGATTCATTCATTCAACAAAAATAATGGGGCAAATCTTGCATCATCCAATGCTGGATCTTCGGGAACAACAACCAACAATGCTAATGGTGGTATCCAGAATAATAATTCTTCAAATTCGTCCAACAATCAAAATACCGATTCTACTGCAATGATTAATGGTGGTGATGATGTTTTATCGTCATTGAAATCACCAACTGGAACACAAGTTAGCACATCGAATGCAGTCAATTATATAAACAGTGGTGGTCCTAGTAGCGGAATTGGTGGCTCGAATCGAACTCAAACAATTAAATCATCCATAAATAATTCATCCAATTCGGCCATTGTAGGTTCATCATCATCATCATCATCCACAACAACAAATCAGACCATTTCGGATACGAATAATACCCCATCAACCACCAAAAATAATTCAATGACAAACAATTCATCACCATCAAATTCTATAATTAGTCCATCGAAATTGAGCCAATTAGGAACTGGTTCATTAAGGCAAAAACCATCAGCATTGCCAACATCATTGCTCAAAAATACATTGAGTGGTATTCCAAGACGGAATACAACATATACCACCACCACTACTAATACAACAAATACAAATAATAGTTCATCATATTCACCGACAAATAATTCAACATTACAGCAAACACTACAAGAGAAAAGTGCTTCGATTGAGAAGACAATCGTCGAAAATTCAAAGTAAGTTGAAACGAAGAAAAAATTTTTCAATGGTCACAATTCAAAATCAATCACAAGCGCACATTTAGTATTTTTGATAAATATTTTTGTTTTCTATATTAAATATAAAATTGTTTATCATTTAATAATTTGTTTATAAAAATCGCTTGTGCTGCTAATGATGATAATTAAAACCAAAAACAAAACCAAAAGCTTTTCAATGATTTGATTTTTTTCCCTGCAAAAAAATAACATTTTTTTTGAAAAACAAAAAATCTTTTGTGATGAATACTAATGATATGATACCTTTTTTTTCTGTTTCCCTTTTTCTTTTTCTTTCTTTCTCTATCTTTTCTATTGCTCGTTCTCTCTCTCTCTCACACTATCTTACTCTTAAAAAATGACAAACCAAAAACAAAAACAAAAAAATCGATCAACGAATGAAACCAAAAACTTTTTATAATCAGTATTTTGAACATTGCTAATTCATCATCATCATCATCAAATAATAATAATACCGCCACGAACAACAATAGTACAAATAATAATAATAATGATAATAATGCTTCAACAAATGCTAATAATAATATCAATCAAACAAATAATAATCCTATCGTATCGACTACGACGACGACGACGACAAAGTCAACAATCACAGGCAGTCGTTCGAATAATAATTTGATAAATAATAATAATAATAATAATAATAATGATAATATAAAAAATGAATCAATTACAAATACGAATGGTCAAACAAAAGATAAAGATAAACAACAACAATCAAAAGATTCTAATGATTCAAAATATGTTATGACTGCTTCAGCTTGTAGTGGTAATGTTGGTGGTGGTGGTGATGGATCATGTTCATCAACTACCACATTAACATCTTCCTCATCCTCGAATCAATTACGACCAAAAGGTCATGCTAAATCAGCATCAGTTTCGGGCCGATCTTATAATAATGCTTATGCTCCAGAATTATTACCAATCGATAGTAATTCAGCATTGTTGACCGATACAAATACAACACCACGTCCAAGGTTTGCCATTCATATTTAATTGTTTTTGTTTTTTGTTTTGGTTTCATTTTTGTTTCCTTGTTTTTCACATCTTTTTACACATGTGTGCTAGCGCGTGTTTATAATGATTTTTTTTAAATAAAATTTTTAATAAATTTTTTCATTCATTATTTTTATAGCTCATCAAAAAATGCATTAACACCGATACAAAATATTAATCGTGCATTTCCAAGAGGAACAGTCAATCGTAGTACGTTTCATAGTGGTCAAACACGTGAAAGATGGCCACCATTTGTACAGCCATTAAGTGCAACACAAGATACATCAAATATGAATCGTCAGTCATTCTTTAGTAAACTTTCCTCAAAATTTAGTAAAAGGTATTTGATAATCATATTATCATTTTAAATATTAAATATTAATCAAACATTTGGTTGTTGTATTTAAACAAGTAGAACGATGAACGATGATCAAACAAAACCAAGATCTTTAAGGTTTACTTGGAGTATGAAAACAACTTCATCACGTGATCCGAATGAAATAATGGCTGAAATTCGTAAAGTTCTTGATAAAAATAATTGTGACTATGAACAAAGAGAAAAATTTCTATTACTTTGTATACATGGTGATCCATACACTGATTCATTAGTACAATGGGAAATTGAAGTCTGTAAATTACCAAGACTTTCGTTGAATGGAATACGTTTTAAACGAATTTCCGGTACATCAATCGGATTTAAAAATATTGCTTCTAAGATAACCAGTGAACTTAAGTTATGACTGGGTGCCGATGTAGAGTTGGTCGAAGAAGATTTTAGTGGTCAGCAAAAATGTTCCCCACAAAATATTGCTGTTGTTTTGGTTGAAAATGATGACAATAATGATAGAATTTCTAAAAATAAAAATTCTTCAAATATCATGATCAAGCCTGATTCGATGATCAAATGTTCAACATCTGCTTATCAAGTACCTGATCGAAACAATAGTGGCAGCAGCAACCTGTCAATCACATCAAATATTAGCAACATCAGTACATCTAATAAAATGACAGGAGTCGTGGAAAGAAGACTATCTGCCAACTATCGCACAGGTGCTGTTGATTTGTTACCACCATCTCGAGCTTCATCCCAATCGATCACGAAAAAAATTTCCAATAGCAATGTTGTTACCTCTTCTGGACATCATCATGTGAAGAATCCATCATCACGGGTCATCATTAATCGACAACAATCAAACATATTAAAATCTGTCAAACAACAAACAGATACTAGTCGAGGATCTGTCAATTCACAACAGCAACAATCATCAACAGCTTCATTAGCTTCGTCAGCATCATCATCGACTACTTCGACATCAACTGCTGCACCAATGACCTCTTCGGGAAATCATAATCGTCATCGATCAGCACCTTTACAACAAACAATGACAACAACACGTAAAGAGATCTCGCCACAATCAAAAAATCGTCATCAAACAAAAATTATTCCCTTAACCACAACCAGAAAAAGTGTACATAAAAATAATGTATTTGATAAATCGATCAAATCAACAACAACAACAATAAGTAAAGGTGTACATCATTGTGACGATACAGACGATAGAAATGAATTGAAAGAATGAATGAAATCTTCTTTTTTCGACCAACTCTCGACATGATTGGACATCGGCTTACCTGAGAAAGAAAAATAAATAAAACTCCCCAAATCAAATATCAAATGAATTTTGATCCATAATTATAATTTATTATTATCGAATGCAACTTTTTTTTCCATTTATTTAATAATGATAAATATACAAGTGATATATTTCTAGGAAACACACACACACATCAATCACACCTAACGCCGCAAACCATCTACACACACACAGAGCTCTATTATAAAATGATTAATATATTTAAAATCATTTCATTTAATATTATCATCGGTAACAACAACAACAACAAACGAAAATTAATATTTGTAAATTTTATTTTTTTATATTTAACACACACACACACTTCCCATATTTTCAAAGCATTTTTTCAAATACCACCAGACACACACACTTATATAGACGATATAATCGCATCATTTTTTTTTCTTTTTCTTCATAAGGATCATCATTACTTTATCTCATTATCATCATCATCATAATTGACATCATCTTCTTTATATACACAACACAACACACAAACAGTGACGAACCAATCAAATTTTTTATTATCCATTTCCATTTTTCATTGTTATTATTATTATTATTTAGATGATGAACAAAATTTACACGAAAACAAAAGATACTTACTTTGTAACAAAATCATATGTGCACAAACATAATAATAACAATAACAACAAAAATTATCATTTTCTCTTTCACAAAGAAATAAGTCCAATCGATTTCTCATTTCTTTTGTTTTGTTGTTTAAAATTTCATTTTTATTTCGATAAATTTTTTTTTGTCATTGACACAATAATAATACACTTGATCTATATAAAAATTTTTCCATTATCGATGATTGAAATTTAATGAAATTCATATAATATTTACCCCCCAAACAACAACAATGATTATTTTTTTTTTGATTCAATGAATTTAAGTGAGAGATGATGGAATAGGAAAAATTAAAAATATTGACTGCTTTATATTTATATATATAAACAAGATAAACGAAGAAAAAGTAACAAAAAAAAATAATTTTTTTTTGTTCGTTATAACGAAATAATAATTAATAAATGTTCAGAAAAATGTGTAAATTTTTACAGTTTCTTAAAATTCTTTCATCATTCATTTTCATTATTCTTTGTTAAAAAATTTTTTGTTTGTTTCATCTCTCTTTGCTGTTGTTGTCAAAAACAAAAAAAAAAACAAACAAAACGAAAACAAAAATCAATCGATGACCAATTCTAAAGATTTATTATCATTATTATTATTGAATTCAATTGATTATTTGATCTTGAATAATTTTTACATGCCTTCCTTTGAACACAAACATTTATAATGCATACATATTTGATATTTTGAATGAATTTGAATCTTTGTTGATCCAAATATCTGTTGTCAATTTAACACTCTTTCACACATGCATGGGAAAACTACATGAACGACATTAAATCATTAGATCATCACCGAAATATATTTAATAAATTCACCACAAACAAAAACATATTTGAAGAATTTTATGAAAAAAAAAACAAAAACAAAACCTATTATAGAAATTTGTTGTCAATTTCGATATTATTATTATTATAATTAAAAAAAATTATTTGAAAATTAATTAATTAATTAAATAAATTAAAAATTTTTATTAAATTTATAAAAAAATTATAAATCTTTTGGATATTTATTGATTGGAAAAAAAACTTGAAATTTGATTTTTTGATCCGACTTTTTCTGGCTACACGTTGAAATGTCAATGTTAGCTGGTGATATACTAAATGATCGTTATGTAATTAATAAAAAATTAGGATCCGGTTCATTTGGTTATGTTTATTCGGGTAAAGATCAGGAAAATATATTCCATATGATTGCAATAAAAATTGAAAAACCAAATCCAAAACAAATGAATATATCATATCTTTATAATGAATATAATGTTTATCGTTTTCTAAATAATAATCATCAAGGTTTTCCAAAATTTTATCATTTTCAAAAATCATTTGATAATGAACGAAAATTTATTATTATTGAACAATTATATCGTAATTTGAATCAATTATTCGATATGTGTGAACAACGTTTTACATTCGATACAATATTGGAAATTGCCATACAAATTATAGCCAGAATTGAAACATTACATTCTATTGGGTTTGTATGCAGGATTTTTTTTTCTATTTAACATAATTTATTCCACAAATTATCTCACAAATGTAGTTTCATCCATAGAGATTTAAAACCAGAAAATTTTATGATTGGTTTTCCACAAACACAACAATATCGTATTATTCATCTTATTGATTTTGGTCTTTGTCAACGTTATCGTAATCCATATACAATGGAACATTTTTCACCTAGTTGCCATAATCGTGTTGTCGGATCAATGTTATTCATGAGCTGTAATTCACATTTTCAATTAAAACAATCTAGACGTGATGATCTTGAATCATTAGCATATTTATTGTTATATTTTTTGAATGGTAAAAATTTACCATGGAATACAAATTCAGCTAATGCTTTTGCCAAAAATAATCCATTACAACATTGTCGTAAAGTTGGATCAATGAAACAATGTTTAACGCCCGATGAATTGTTTAAAAATCATTCAAAAGTATTTGCCAATTTTCTCAGGTAAAATGGAATTTATTTTTTTATCAATCAATATGTAACATTTTATTCATTTATGAGATAGTTATGTAAGAAATCTTGATTTTACCGATGAACCAGATTATGAAATGATACGTTCGGAATTTATAAAATTTAAATCAAAAAAAGAAATTAAATTTTCATGGGAATCATAAATTATTGTTGTTGATTATTATCAATATTTGGACCATTGTTCAACATTCTAATAATATTTGGAGATGTATTTTTTAGTTTATATTTTGTCATTGCAACGGTTAAATTATGAGCAACATCCAATAAAAATATAAATTCTTCTTGATTATTAACTTTGAATGAATTCTAAAAAATAAAACGAGCAAAAGAAAAAAATCATTTCATGAAAACAATAGTTCACTATACACTTACAAGGTTTTTAATCGAACTGAAGGTTATTTGTACATTGTCTTTCATTAGATTTTGCAATTCTGGATTTTCATTTGTGATTGTCGAAGACGAATCAGATTTTTTTTGATGATGATGATCAGACATGATTTATTTTTTGTTGAAAAAGTTTGAAGTTTCGAATTTTGTTTCGAAAAAAGCCAAAGAAAAAAAACTCGAATGAGCAAGTGATGAACAACATAATCGATTTTTTTTTCGCAATCGATTGTTTGATGTCAAAATAAAATAAAGGAATTTCCGATTATAATCAATTTTGTATCCACCAATGGATTGTTAACCCAATTAGAAAATTTCTTTTTTCTTAAATTAAATGTTTACCCGAAATAATCATTATCATCATCAGTATTATCATCATGATTCGTAAGAAGATATACACCAATCCTCGAAAAATGTCTGCCCAACCAATATCACATTCACGACCCAGTAAGTAAATAATATTCAGTTTTTGTTTCCTCAAAATAATAATAATCTTTTTTTTCCCATTTAACCATCCATTCATAATATTTTAATAGTCAAAGGGAAAAAATAAATAAACATCAACATCAACATCAAAAAAACAATCCCGAAGCATAAAAACGAGTGTCCCACATTCACCTACGCACATTTATGTCACGTTGTTGGTTTTTTCCATGACAAAAATAATTCATTTATAAATGAATGAAAATGGCTCATTTTTTCGAATATGCATCGGATATCGGTAAAAAAAAACGGATTACATTTCTATAGAATCTCGCTTGATTTTTGATTGATTCAATCCTTTTCGATTCAACCCTATAGGGTTCACCATTAATTCAATTTCAAACACAAACAAACATCATTTGTTTTTCATCATCATCCCCCCAGAAAAAAAACATCCCATTATTTTCAATCATGCGTTGGTATATTAATTGAATGCATATTCATTATTCTCATCATCATCATCATCAATGGCCATCAATAATGCAAATGATTGTGTTGTTGATGATGGTGGCAAGGATACACAAGAAACTTCTTCATCAATAGTAATTATTATTTATGTCAGTTGTATGTTACAGGTAGTAGCAACAAGTAGTCTTGGATCGCCTACGATCACTTTTTTTCTCTTTGGATACGAAAAAAAATGAAAATCAAAAAAAAAAATTCAAAGACTACTTGTTGCTTTGTAAGCGAGGAGAAACGAAGAAGAAGGTCTTTTTTTTCACATCAAAAATCCAAAATTTTTTTTTAATGATGATGATGAAAAACACCAACGACGACGACGACGATATTTTTGTTTTGCACAACATTTGCTGTTGATTTTTCTTTTTTTTTCTTTCAATCAAATAATTTTATGTTCCGTTCAACGCCTATTCTCATCATCATTATCAATCATAGTAGTTTTTTTTTGTTTCCATAATATGTGAATTGTTTTCAATTCAATTTTCGTTTTGAATTTTGGAAACCTGTTGATTTTGTTTTCATTGTAAGTTTTTTTTTCTTTTTTCATTTTGAACATTTAGCATGTTTGAAAGCGAAAAACTGGGGGGAAAGAGAAAAAGGGTGAAATTCTTTCGATGTAATCCAAAGTTTGTCATTGATTTTGGCTTTGTTCTTGATTCTTGATTCTTATTCCTTGAACATAGCAGAATTTCATCGCATAAAAATATGAAAAAAAACAACGCTTTACTTGGCGCTTAACTACATTAATTTGGCAATAAATATATATGGCTTCTCTACATATCTTCTTTATCATTGTCGTTTGAAAAACAAACCAAAAAAAAAATCCGTATTATCTTTGTTTGTCTTTTTACCACTGTATATATCACTTTGAAGGATCCTGTTCATCATCATCAAAATGTTCCTGTTTTTTTTTCTTCAGAAAAAAAACGACAGTTAAACTGTTTATGGCTGGGTGTCACATAATAATCAGTGTTGCTTGCTTTTAAGTATGTGATTTAGCCAGCCAGTAAAAAAAGAAAAATCCTCGCCACGCGAATATCTTCTTCTTCTTCTTCTTCTTCAGTTGAAANAATCAAAAATTTAATGATGATGATGATGAAAAACACCAACGACGACGACGATATTTTTGCACAACATTTGTTTTTTCTTTCAATCAAATAATTTTATGTTCCGTTCAACGCCTATTCTCATCATCATTATCAATCATAGTAGTTTTTTGTTTCCATAATGTGAATTGTTTCAAATTTGAATTTTCGTTTTGAATTTTGGAAACCTGTTGATTTTGTATTTCATTGTAAGTTTTTTTTCTTTTGGTTTTGAACATTTATCATGTTTGAAAGCGAAAAAACTGGGGGAGAGAATGGGGAGAAATTCTTGCGAATGTAATCAAGTTTGTCATTGATTTTGGCTTTGTTCTTGATTCTTGATTCTTGCTATTACTCCTGAACATAACAGAATTACATCGCATAAAAATATGAAAAGACAACAACGCTTTACTTGGCGCTTAACTACACTAATTTGGCAATATATATGGCTTCTCTACATATCTTCTTTATCATTGTCGTTTGAAAACAAAAAACAAAAAAAAATCCGTATCATCTTTGTTTGTCTTTTTACCACTGTACATTCACTTTGAAGGATCCTGTTCATCATCATCATCATCATCAAAATGTTCCTGTTTTTTTTTCTTCAGAAAAAACGACAGTTAAACTGTTTATGGCTGGGTGTCACATAATAATCAGTGTTGCTTGCTTGCTATAAGTATGTGATTTAGCCAGCCAGAAAAAAAAATCCTCGCCACGCGAATATCTTCTTCTTCTTCTTCAGTTGAAATTAGATGATGATTGCATCCAGCTTTGGTTTGATATTATATGCGAATGTCTTTTTTAAAAATAAGGATTTCATAAGGATTTTTTTCATTCGTTTGAAATGACGCCTTCGTATGTTTTTTTTTCAAAACGAAAAAATTGTCTCAATTTTTGGTAATTGGCTACCACCACCACCACCACAAATCGCGCACAACAAGCGGCATCACCATTACTATCATCATCAACAACATCGTCGTTATTATCATTGAATCTTCGTTCCGGCATTCGTCGATTGTCGTCCTAGTCGATGATGGTGATGAAAACTTTAAAATACTTATGCCTTCGAAATAAACATCAAATGTGATCATCAGCATCAACAACAGCATCATAATCTCATCGTCAGACGAAAATTTCAAATTTGATTTCAAGAATTTTAAAATTCTAATTGTTTGTCAAATCAGAAAAAAATTGTCTGATTTTTTGTTTTTGATAAAAATTTTCTTTAATCACACTCGAAACATGATAAAATGATTCTTATCAGCCGAAAAATCAACAAACAAACAGTTTTTTTCTTTCTTTCTAAAACCACGTTTCACATTCACACACATATATTATTTACTCAACCTAAATTTTTTTTTCGATTCAAAACTTTGATTGATTGATTGATTGATTTGGTTTGGTTTGTATCTCTCTCTATCTTTTTGTCCTGCGTTGTGATAAAATAACAACAACTGGTTTTCCACATCAAGTTTCAAGTTTGTCAATACAAATCATCATCATCATCATGAAGATAACAAACATGGATAGATATTTACCGTTTCATTCATTCATGAAATGAAAACATTCATTCACACATCTGCATTGTATCATCATCGTCATCGTCAGGATTTTTCAACTTTCAAAGCTTTTCTTTCTTTTCTTCTTCAACGAAGAGATAAATGTCAATTTGATTTCTCCACAAGCATCATCATCATAGTTTCTGCTACTTCTTTGATTTTTTCTGAATGAATTTCTTAAAAAAATAGTGTCAAAATTCAAGTGCAATAAACCTTATAATCTGATTGGATCACAATCAATCAATCAATTTTGATTTTTTGATCTGGTTTCGCATTTTGCTTTCTTCTTCTCTTCATCGATTTGAATGCCATTGATTCCTATCAAGTGTGCGTAAATTTAGTTTTTTTTCGGTTTTGTCCATATGATATATCCATTTCATTACATTTCAAAAAAAATCAATATCATCTTTCAAGTGATAAACCTTTCAATCATTTTTCCCTTATTCACTGTTTCAATGTCTATTTTGTTTTTGGTGTGTTGGTGGTGGTAGTAAGGATTCCATTCAATAATCAACCATATTGAGATCGAGCGAAAACAAAAAATCATATTTTTATGAAAAAGAAAAAGGTAGAATCTAACGAACGAACGAAAATTGCATCACTTTGAACACCCACACACACACGATCGGATATGAAGTTTTTTAAAAGTTAGTTACTTAGTTGGTGGTGGTGCAAAAAAAACGATGATAAAGCAAAAAAAAAAAATTTTCATTCAAATTTTGGCTATTAACAGCCAATTCTATATGGTAAAATATGATGATGGTTCTTTCGACATTAACGACAACAACGACGAAAACGACAATGATGATTGCTTTAGTGTTTTTTTTTCTATTTCGACAACAATGAGACAATTTTAATCATAAGAATTGAATATATATTTCAAGCAAAGCAGAAAAAATGAAATAAGGTTGTGATTGAATGAAATTTTCACTGTATAGCGAAAGAAATAGAGTTTATATGATAAATGATGTCTAAAACAAACAGCCAACATGTACATGTTGAATGAATGAATGAATCAAACAGAAAAAAAAAGAAGAATATTCATAAATGAGAATATATATTCAGAGAATAAGTTGATTGGAAAGTTTTTGTTCTTTTTTACCAAAGAAAAAAAAAATTCGTGTCACTTTGTCTCTCACTCTCTGTTTCTCTTTTTTCAATCATATTTCTTCTTCTTCGTTGTTTTACCACAAAACCACTGTTATTTAGTTACATCTCTTTTGATTTATACATCTTTATTTGTTTTTTTTTTGAACAAAATGAACACAATCTTAAGTAGAAAGATTCTATTAGTTAAGTGGATGTAAAAATGATGTTCATTTCATTCAGTCGGTCGGTCGATTTCAAGTCCAATTCTATTCAATCAAGTTAATATTATTATTTTTAACTTTGAACTAGTTTATTACACCACCACCACCACCAACAACAACAACAACAAAAAACAAAAACTCTACCTACCTAATTTTGCCGCTTATCATTGTGTAATGAGGATAATAATTTTTTTTCTGTTTCTTTATTTTTGAAATTGAAAATTTTTTCTAGGTTAAATGAATAATGTTCAATTCTTAATCAAATGAAAAATTTAAATCTTTTATGGAATCAATTCACAAAATCTGAACAAAATTTTCACACGACAAAAAGATCATCATTACAATGATTCAATATCTTTTCAATGTTCTACATTATCATTATTAGCAACAAATAATGACGATCATAATGCTATTAACGACAATAAAACAACGACAACAACAACAAACAACATTGACGGACAATTTTATCATCAACAGACACAGCAGCTAACATCCAAGCCATTTCCTGTTTTAACATTGATAATAATTATAATAGTTTAATGTCGATGTCGGTAGAAAAACAACAATCATCATCATCATTATTATCATCACCAAAACCACCATCATTATTGAATAAAATTGAAACTAATATCAATCATAAATTGCAACAACCATCGTCTGTTTCACCATCATCATCATCATCATCAACCAAAGTTTCATTACAATATTTACAGCAACAACAACAACAACATAGATATCATTGTCGATGTAATGTTTGTTTATCATCATCATCATCATCCCATTCTACCAGTAATATTGTTGACGGTGGTGATTGTGGTTTAAATAATCTTTTATCACCATCAACAACAAAAACATCGAAAAATCCAATCGATATCATACGTGAAGAAGACGAAAACGAAAACGAAGAATCATTTGAGCACCATCAACAAGAAGAAGTCGGCGAAGATTCAAATGACAAAATGTTTCTGTCACAAAAAGAACCAATACGACCGTTAAGATTTCGACAGAATCTAAATAACAATAATAATCAGAATAATAAACAAACGGATCGTATTGAACCATTTCAAAAACCAGATGATTTAAAATCATTTTGGAAAGAACCAACAACAAAACAAACATCTAAATCGATTAACAATGAAAAAGAAATCAATGGCAATGATGATAATGGTGATAACGGTGATGATGATGATGCTATGACAAAAGTTTTATTACGACGTGATAGTCAACAACAACATGTGTCACAATCATCATCAACAAATTTCATTCGATCAAATAATTTACGTAGTTCATGTCCACCAACATCCAATCGTCGTTATCGTCATAAATCAGTGACCATTGATGATAATAAAATGATGAAAATGTCTAGTCGTTCGAATCAAATATCATCATCATTCGAATTGAATGATTCGAATGATCGAAATAGTTTTGTCGATACAATTCAACATAAATTCAATAATGTTGTACGAAAAAGTTGGCTATCATCATTTTTTCATTCATTCAATTCCAAGGTAAATAGAAAAACAACAAGCTGAAGAAAAGGAAAATTTGTTCCTTTTTTGGTAGCTAACCAGCAGCAGCGTGTTTACTTACTTTAGAACCATTTATAGACAAAATATTTTTTTTTTACCGCAACCCTCATGTTTTTTTTTTTTGCTATTTTTGTTTGTATTTTTTTTTATTTGGTAGGAAAAACAATCAAAATGGAAAAAATCAAATGATTTTCAAGCCGAATTTTTTGATCGTCAAAATGATTTAATGACTGAATCATTATTAAATCGTCGTTCACCATTAGATTTAAATCAACGTAATAATGAACGAAAAAATCAACAGATGTCGCCAATTTTAACATCAACAAAAACAAATAAAACAACTGTTGAGTCAAAGCAACAATTTTCGAATCCAAATTCGAATTCGAATCTAAATAGTGATAATTGTAAAAATCATCAAAATAATTCAAATTGGATTGAAAATTCAATTCATGAACCTAAACAACAACAACAACAACCACCATCATTATCATTTATACGTCCAAATCATTCATCCGGTTTGATACGGAAAAAACCACGACCACGTTCAGCATGTTTAGATAATACTTATATGCTTAGGTAAGTTTATTTTGTTTGTTCGTTTGATTGAATTTTTATTTATAAACACTATATTTATTGAATGAATGAATGAATGTGATTGACATGAAAGTAATCATCATTCGAAAGTTCGAAGACATTGGAAATATTGAAATTTTTTAAAATTTATTGTCAACAGTTTTTTTAATAGTAGTTTTTTTTCTCGTCGGTATTGCATTTGAACAACCATTTGCCATAAAAGAAAATGATCTATTTTTGAACATTAATGATTTCGAACACACACACAAACACATTGATGACATCATCATCTTCAACTTGATTCCTAACCATCATCATCTGCCATTTTTGTAGCAATATATCACCAATGAATCATACCAGTGATCATATTTTTAGATTTTCTTAGTTTTCTCTATGTGGTTTTCTTTCAATTATTTTTAGTACGAATTTGTTCTTGAGGATATTTTAAATTAATTGGATACATGATGATCGTGATCATGATTAAAAATTCATTACATCGTTTTTTTTCAGCTTGTTATCTTGTTATCTTCTTTGGGACATTGATTTTTCTCAAACTGCGAGATTTGATCTTGATAATAATCAAATTAAAATGATTTCGATCAAAATGAACAGTGAAAATTTTTCATTTCTTCTCAAAGAAAGGGTACTTGTTGGTTTGTAAAATTGAAATTATACACATGTTTTGTTTGAAAAATTCATTTCTTTTCAATATCTATTTTTAACCGATCAATGTCTGTTTTTTTTCGCTTACGAAAATTCTATGAAAAACCTTAATGTAAATTGACAGAACGAAAAGGAAAACAAAATAAATAAAAACTGAACATTTATTTCGTTTTTTCTTTTTGTTTCGTTTTTTTTCTCTCTCTCTCTTCAAATTGAAGATGTTTTGCAGAAATTAAAAAACATCGATGAACAAATTTGGAGTGGTGTTTGGCTTGGCTAAAAAATTATATCTTTTTTTTCTTCTTAAATTTTGTTTGTTTGTTGCATATATCGAATGTCTCTAAAAAAGTCCAGAGGATTTTTCCACACGTATATGGGCTCCATATAAACATTAAAATATTTTTTCTTTTTGATTTTGTCCTGTCCTGTCTTGTCTTTATTTATGACGATTTCCCATATTTAATTTTCAAAATAAAGATTTAAAAGTTTGATATGATAAAAAGCAAAAAAAAAAATCCAAATATTTTGATCCAAATGTCTGTCTATATTTGGTTTGAATGGAAATAAATCGTCATCATAGGCAGATTAAACATTAAACATTTTCATTTTCATAGCTTAACTTGATTTATTGGCACAGAAAAAGCCAAAATTCATTTAACGATCACATCATTCAATGAGAGTGAAGAGATAGAAAATAATTTTTCCCTTGATATTTTGTATATGCAAATTAAAAAAAAAATTTGATTGAAAATAACCCTAAAAAACCACCAGTGCAAAGACCTAGATAAAAAACAAGAGAGAGGTGATCGATCGTTATCGAGCAAAAAAAAAAAAAAAAAATCCCATAACCTCACATGTAATATTTGTTATGTTTGCTTGTTTATAAATGGATTGTTTTGTTTTGTTTGTTTGTTTATTGATTGAATGAAAAAAAATTGGCCAAACATCACCATTATCAAACACACACACATTGAATTGACTAACGGATGATGATGATTACCGATGATCATAACATAACAAAAAAAACAAGACATTGTCCTCAAATTTATTGAATTAACTAAAATAAAATAATGATTGCCGAAAAAAGGCAAATAATTCTTATGGAGGATCTATATGGATGTAACATTGTTTATTGTGTGTGTGTGTATTGAACAACAAAAACATCCTCTCTCTCTCTCTCTCTCTCTAAATATTTATTATTATTATGTCTAACATTGTTGTTTTGTTGGGATTGTTGTTGTTGTTGTTGTTATAGTTAGTCTTGTAGGGATTTGTTCCGCAATGAACATATATACACACACACACATTGGTTCTATCTATCTCTGTCGTCATAAATGTTTTATATATCAAACACAATGTTTCATCAATTCCTAAAAACCATCATTATTTTCAATCTATAAATGTAATATACAAATGTTTTACACGCTTATACAAGTTGTACATCATCATCATCACCATTTAAATTTGTTTATAATGATGATGATGATGTTTTTTTTGTTGAATTAGAGTAATAACTTTCAAACTAGAGTAACCTCATCGTAATATACACATTGTGTATACGATAAACAGATACACACATAATATAGACAATTGGCCTCAGCACGTCATTAACATCATCATCATAGTATTTACCAACACCCTTTTTGTTTCTATTTTGCTGGGCGCTTTTTTTGCTGGATTCAGAAGAAAAAAAATTTAAAATAATCCAAATTCGCACACATACTAGACCTAATAACTTAGTTTATTTAGACCAAAGCAAGCGAACAAGCAATGAATGAATTCAAATGATTGTTTTTTTTTTTTGGATAAAGTTTTCGTCAATTGTGAAAAAAACCAGAAGAAGATTAAATTGATCTTTGAATGTTTTTTGTTTTACGACCCTGTTCACAGAATCAGGGTCAATTTGTTTTTCTGTTTTCAATGTGTGCGTTTATTTACCTCATTTGTCTCGATCAATAAGATTAAAGAGAAAAATATCTACGATTAATTAAAACAACAAAATCTAAATTGAAATGATAATTGCTATTGAGAGATTTGTTAATGTCGTTGTTCGTTCGTTCGTTCATTTGTTTTTATATTATTGTCCATTGACATTTATCTAATATCGTTTTTTTTTTGTTCCGGAAAACAAGTTTTGACTCTTGACTCTTATCTAATTAATCCAACTAATGAAAATGAAAATCCTTTTTTGCATCTATTTTGTTTTAATTTTGTTTTTTTGTTGTTGAGTATTTCATTTCGATTTGTTTGATGATGATGATGATGTGTGTGTGTGATCAATTCCGTCTATTTTAACAACAACATCAATCCATCCACAACATTTTTTTTGATTTGATTTCCTTGTTGAATCGTATGATGATGATGATGATTAACACATGTGATTTTAAAATGATGTAACCATTTAGAAAATTAAATTTTGTTTTTCTTTCTTGCAAAAACATCGTTTTCATTACGTTTTTAAATTTGTTTAAAATTTTGATTCCATCATCATCAATACTTGAAACAAAAAACATTGTTATTGTCTTGCGTTTGTAAAAAAAAATTTAATTGGATTGTTTTTCTTTAAATCAAAAAAATCATCATCATTTTCATCCAAAGTTTCTTTTTTGATGTTTGTCTTTTGTTTTTGTGATTTTATTTGATCAATTTCAATTTGAAAATGTCATACATACGTTCAATGTTAAACGGCGTGAATTGTTTCACCTGTTCATCCAACAACAGACCATTTCATTCAGATTATTCTTGTCTTCCTAGTGGTGGTCCTATTAATTCACGTTGTTATACACATTTATTATTAACTCCTTTATTATTACGTTCTAAATGTGCTGTTGGTGATGAATGTGTGACCGAAAATTTTGTTTATATAAATAATAATCCAAGTTTTATAAATGATAATTTACATTCTGATCAAAAACAACAACAACAACAATCATCCGATTCATTAAAATCTAATTGTATTCTTAGGTGAACAGGATTAATAACATTTTTTCTTATTTTTTTGTTGCAATTTTTTAACTTTTAATTTTTGATTTGTTTTTCATTGTTTGTAGAATGCGAAATGGCAACTTTATCGAATATAATCTGGATTCGGAAAGTAAAGATGAATCATGTTCAATAATATCATCACATCAACATTTAGCTACAAGTGGTACTTATTTATCAGCTAATGGTACAGATTATTTATCATCCTCATCTCGACTTACAAACAATGATAATGATAATGACAATGTTTTTGATAATAAACATTTAACGAATGCAGCTAATATAAATGATAATCATAGCCATAAAATTGATTATATTAATATCCGTTATTCGGAAAATTTATCATTATCACCAAAATCATCGTCCAATCAACGCAATTTTAATAGTAATGCTCAACAAATAACAATATTTGATTCAAAAAATTATAAACAACAATCAAGTCCAATATCAAGTCTAAATACTGATTCCATTAAATCAAATTCAATGATATCATCAACGGCATCATCATCATCACCGTTTCTAACGAAACCATTATTTATGACAACAACGGTTACCCCAACAACAAATACTACTACAACTTCCTCTTCTTTATCATCATCAAGTGTTTTAATGAGTTTTAAGCAACAGCAGCAACCACATCATCATCATCATCAACATCAACAACATTCTTTTTCTACAAAAACATCATATTCATCATCAAATGATCCTAATCAATTAATTATGGAATGTCCGGTTTATGTAAAAATTTATTGGCCAGTTAAAAATTGTACTGAAATCGAAATCTATCCCGAACATACTGCATTCGATGTGATCAACTGTATATTGACTAGTCAAATCTATTCGTCAACGAATCTTAACTTATCTACGACGACGACGACTGCACAATCTTTAGCTAGCCAATGGTCATTTGCTCTTCGATTAATATGTCGTAATCTTAATCCGAATGATCAAATATGGATACATCCAAGCAAAAATATGCTAGAATTTTTAGATCAAAATCAAATGCAATTTGAAAAAGGCTATAAACTAGAACTGCGTATGCGATATATACCATCAAATCTGGAAGAATTTTATCGTAACGATTTTTTAAGTTTTAAATTTCTTTATAATCAAGTATTGGAAGAATTTCTTGAATTAGAATTATCCACAACAAAACTACTCACCAATCAAGATCTTATTTTAGAATTGGGTTGTTATGAAATTATTCGATCACATCCGTATTTAACGCCACAAGCATTGGAAAAAAATTCAAATTGGGATGTTTTGGAAAATGATTTTCATCGCATTTTTCCCATATCATTCACAAATTCCATCAAGGTAAATATATTTTTTTTTAATTTATCAAAAAATATCTGTCATGCTGAATGTTATTTAGCCAAAACAATTAAGAAAATTGGTCAAGTCGAAATATAAAAAAATCTATCAATTAAATCAAGAACAAATTGCATTCAATTTTATGAGCCAAGTAATACATTTAATTGATTTTAATCGTGAAGTTTTTCATTGTTCACTTGGTGTAAGTAGACATGACATTTGTGTATTTTTTTCAATGATTTTTTTTTGAATTTTTGATTTAGGAATCAATTTGGTGTGTACCGGTTGATCTTATGATTGGACCTAATATTGGCATTGCATACTTTACTAGTAATTCTTCTCCAGTAAGTTTTTTTTTAATTTATTTAAACAGCAATTACATAAAGAAAATTGATTTCATTTTTTACAATAGCCGACCTTCATTGTAAAATCATTTGATTTTGTTGAACAAATTAACATCAAAAGTTATTCAACAATGAATAAAATGACTGAACATTCAAATGGTGATGATTCTATCGGTACTGGTTCGAAAAAAATTCTCCTCAATTTACGAATAAAAAATGAAGATGATGTTCTGGTATTAACATGTCCATCATTTTCGATTGCTCAAAGTATTGCCGATCTGATCGATGGTTATCATCGATTAGCAACAAATAATCGGGAATCGATTTGGCTAAATATTCTTTCCGGTAATTGATTTGTTGAGTTTTTTTAAATTTTTTATTAATTTTAAAAAATTTAGAAACCACAAACAGAAAATTTCAACATGTATATAGTGATGAACAAAATTTCGAAAAAAATTCACTTCGATCCAATTCATCAGCAATAATTGAGCCGAAAAAAGCTCAGTTTGATCTGATTAGTCCTTATCCACATGATACTTTCGAATCTAGATGTATTAAAGATGAAAAAGATGCACATGAATACGATGATTATTCAAATCCAATTGAAGCCGGACTTGAAATCCAACGGGAACATTTACAAATCGACGAATTATTGGGCAATGGACATTTTGGTAATGTTCATAAAGGTATCTACAAAAAACTTGATGGAAAAAGTGGTGATGAAAAAAATATTGCCGTAGCAATTAAAATTTCTCGTGTTCAAAATAATGATAATTCAGCATTATCAAAAAATGATATTCAAATGATTGATCAAAAACTTTTATGTGAAGCCGAACGAATGCATAAACTAGATCATCGTAATATTATCAAATTGATTGGTGTATGTTCTACCTCACCTGTTTATGTTGTTATGGAATTGGCTGAATATGGAGAATTGAGAAATTTTTTACTAAAAAATGGTTCACAATTAGAACATCGACGATTATTAGAATACTCGTATCAAATCTCCAGTGCTATGACATTTTTAGAATCGAAACAATTTGTGCATCGCGATATTGCAGCAAGAAATGTTCTTGTATTTTCTTTTGATTGTGTTAAATTAGCTGATTTTGGTCTTTCTCGTTATATTGAAGATGCTTCTTATTATATGGCTACAAATAGCAAATTACCGGTTTGTCATAAAAATTTCTGTCCAGAAAATTTTCCATAACTTTTTCTTTTTTTCTCGCTCAGATTAAATGGATGGCTCCTGAATCGATTAACTTTAGACGTTTTACAACAGCTTCTGATGTTTGGATGTTTGGTGTTTGTGTTTGGGAAATATTTATGTTGGGTAAAAAACCATTTCCAGGTGTCAGAAATCCTGATGTGATTGGTTTAATTGAATGTGGTGATCGATTATCAAAACCATCTCGTTGTCCAGAACAATTATATGAATTATTATTAAAATGTTGGCGTTATGAGCCTGATCGACGTCCATCATTTAGACTGATCAAAAGAAAAATATATGATATCTATCAAAATGAACTTGGTCTAATTGGTGCTATTGCTCGTGCCGATATTGTTAATGATTTATCCGATTCAAAAACAAGTCTTTCTTCCGCATCCTCAGGTAAAGAACATTCGTCGTCATCGTCATCTTCATTCTCAAGAATGCATTTATCCAACACTAAAATCGTAAACAATAAAGAAACCAATTTGTCCTCAAGCGCTAGTCAAAGTTCTGTTCTTCATCCGAACAAAGTAAGTTTTTCGAATTATTTTTTTCGGATATTAATTTTCCATTGATTTTTTTTGAATCTTTTATTAGATAAAAGAAATTCTAGATGAACAACGAAAACAAATGCAAGAAGACCAAAAATGGTTACAACAACATGAATTCAAATGGCAATTGAATCAAACTGATGATGTATTTCCTCGAAGTCATTTCGACAAAGATGGTGGATCTTCGTTGTCAACATCGGAACATAATTCAACAACACCCAGCATTTATGAAGATGCTCATTCTGATAAAACTGCTGATCAAATTCAGTCTCCACTCATGCAGCGTTTGTCTGTTCAACAAGTATACAGCGTACCAAATCTTCAATTGAAAACTCGTTTCGGTGATGAATCATATAATTCATATAAATCAACGAAATCTTCTCTTGAACATGATGATCAATCAGATGATCCATCCACCTCTTCCCTTGATTCATCGACTAACAACACTATAGAAGATTGTGGACTTTCAGTTTCTTTAAAAAAATTCTTCAAACATAACCAACTAACTAATGCAAAAGTTAGAAACGAAATGATGAAAAAAGTTAATTGCTTTAGTGCAGATGTTGATCGTAAAGAAGATCCTGTTTATTGGGGTACAATAAACGTTGTCAATTCTGTTCGATATTTACTAAAAGGTGTTCAAGAATTGAATACCACCGAATACATTGATCTAGTCAAAGTAAGTCGAAAATTATTTAATTTTTTAGCTAAACTTGAAAAAAATTTCGTTAACAGAATGTTGGACAAGAGCTTCGTAATTTATTGGCAAATGTTGATATATTTTTAGAAGCAATTCCTGATGATGAACATCGTCTTATAACTTTGGCGCAAAAAAAACTCAGTACAGATATGAATGATTTAGTGGAATCAATGAAAAAAGCTATTATGTATAGTGAAACGCCAATGGAAGGTTTGTATGCTTTTTATAAATATTAGATTAATACTTAATTTTTCTCATGAATTCCAAACACAGCCGCTTACAAACAAAACATGTTGGAAGCTTCATATATTCTTGTGATTGATTCAAAAAATCTAATGGATACTGTCGATGAAATACGTTTGCGAATAAAGACTGATTGAAAAAATATGTGATCTTAATGTTGTCATTTAATTCGAATAAATGTTGTCTGGACAACGAAAAAACAAAACATTCCCATCTTCAGTTTGCCACATCATCTTTAATCTTTCATTACAATTTCGTTTTTTTTTTGACATTTCTTTATGTAATTGATTTGCAAAAAAATACAACGCATCTGTACTGTTATAATCTGTGATTTAAATGTATTATATATGCAAAAAAAAAAATTAATAAATAACAATTCTAACTATTTTAAAAACTACTTGAAATAGAAATCATTTTGAATCTTCAATTTTTTATTACATCGATAAATCAATCAATCAAAAAAAAAAATTTAATAAGATTTTAAAGGATGGGATTTAATTTGAATTTAATCAAAAAGAAAATTGATAGTTTTTTCGATGATTAGAGAGGAAAAAAAATTATTATTATTATCAACACACTTGAGATTTTGTATATAAATTTGACTAATTTCCAAAAAAAATCTATCCGTTTTTTTTTGAAACTTGATCAATTGTGGATACTAAAAGAAAAAAAAATGTTTCGTTTAAAAACTTTTATCGTTTGTTTTGTTTGGATTGAATTTTCAATCGGTTTTTTGGATTATGTTTCATGTGGACCAGAACAAGTTCATATATCATATGGCGGTAAAAAACAAAATTCAACATTTTTTTTATTGATTAAAAATTTCCCTAATTTTTTTTAGCTGGTCCAAATCAAATGTATGTTACTTGGTTAACTCATGAACAGCCATCAGGACAGCCATTAGTTGAATATGGTATTCAATCGAGAAAATATGATATGAGAAAATTTGGTAATATGACTAAATTTCATACTTCTTATTCAAGATATGTTTATCGAGTTCAACTTGAAGATCTTAAACTAAATACTACATATTGTAATTGTTTATAAATGATGATTGTACTTGATGCAAATAATAATGATTCTTTGAAAATCAAATTATTTCAGATTATCGTTGTGGTTTTGAACAAGAATTTAGCAATGAATTTAGTTTCCGTACTCGTCCACTTGATCAAGAGCATTGGAATCCACGAATCGCTGTATTTGGTGATATGGGTCTGAAAAATGGTCAATCTTTTCCTTTGTATGTTTTTTTTATTGTAATTTGTTTTCTTTTTTTAATTGTTTTTAATTAGTTTAAAACAACAGGCATCAAAAAATGCATACGATGCTATATTCCATGTTGGTGATATTGCTTATGATATGCATGATGATAGTGGTTCGAAAGGTGATAAATTTATGAATGAAATTGAACCTATTGCTGCAAATATTCCCTATCAAGTTGTTGTTGGAAATCATGAAGATGATAAATAGTATGTTTATCAATGGATGTAAATTTTTGAATAATTTTACATTGATTTTCCTATAGTAATTATACCGATTATAATAGTCGTTTTACAATGATTGATGAATCAAGTGGAAAAATGAACAATATGTTTTATAGTTTTAATATTGGTCCAGCTCATGTAATTGGATTTTCATCAGAATTTTATTATTCTACCCAATATGGTATAAAACAAATTGAAAATCAATTTGAATGGTTGGAACAAGATTTAAGAGAAGCAAATCGACATGAAATCCGATCAGAACGTCCATGGATTATAGCAATGGCACATAGACCAATGTATTGTAGTACAGCTGATGATGATGATTGTACAGAAAATGAATCGATTGTAAGTTTTTTGAAAAAGTTGTAAATAATTTAATTATCATCAAAAGCTGAAGCAGTAATCATTGGTTTTTTGGCTATAGTTACGTAAAGGAATTCCGATCGTAAATCAATATGGATTAGAAGATTTATTCTATAAATATGGTGTGGACATTATTTTCGGAGCTCATGAACATGTTAGATACATTTTAATGTGAATTGAAAATGAAAAAAACAAATCTGATTTTCTTTTTTCAAATGACAGACATATGAAAGATTATTTCCCGTTTATGATCGTAAAGTTTATAATGGTTCGACAGATGATGCATATAATCAACCAAAAGCACCTGTACATATTTTAGTCGGTTCAGCTGGTTGTCCGGAAAAAATTGATCCATTTATAACATATCCAAAACCATGGAGTGCTAAACGTATTTCCAATTATGGTATAACCGAAATGTTAATTTTAAATAAAACACTTATCCGTTTTAGACAACGTGATACTACAATGGTAAATATAATCTGATTTATTTTTTGTTTCAATGTTTTTTTCTCATTTATGGCTATAATATTTTATAGAATGGAGCTATGGTTGATGCATTTCATATAATCAAAGGACGTTGGAATTAACGTTTTTTTTTTAAATTTAAATTTAATTTTTTGTTCAATTTGAATAAATCTAAATATGTATGTTATATAAGCGGCACAGCAAGGTAATAATTTTGTTTCAATAATATTAAAAAATTTTCAAACTAAAGGCTCATATTCAAAGGCTTACATCAAAATTAAAACAAAAAAAAAAAAATAACATAAAAAAAATTTCAAAAATCAAATTATATGCCATCTTGTAAAGTTTGTTACAAATTAGCTTATTTTTTTACAATAAATTCTGAACAAATAAAAACAAAATGTTAATTTGTAATTTACAAATGAATATAGAGAACGAGAATAGAATATTTTGTGTGTTTGTTGACCGCGTTGTTTATACTTTAATTAAATTGCAATATAAGATAATTGAAAATTGTTTGTTAATTTTGTTTTGCTTAGTGTTAACATTTTTGTAATAAATAATATTTTAATCAAAAATTGTTCATTGCCATTGTTTAATTATAATTGATTAAATATTATTGAACGAAGATGAATGAGAATGTTGCTGTGATTGTAAAAGGGCTTGAGGATAACTTGAACTAGTTACATCACAAACGGTTAATGAATTTGATTTATCATATAATCCGGGTATTAATGGTAATTGATAATAATGGCCATCACCTAGGCTACTATAAATAGGCAAAAACCATAATAATTTGTTATCGCCAAAAACTGATTTTAAATTTCGTTTATATCCAAGATTATAACGATAATAATCATATTCATATTGTTTAAATCTTGGTGTTTGATACGATTCCAATGTGGTAACATTTTTGAATACCAAATATAAATGATAGCTTAATAAAATTGAGATGCTCAATAAAAATATTAAACAGAAAAGTACAACGAAAAATACATGAATTTTTCCTGGATATGATTCATCTTTCCAGAATTTCAGAAATAATTTGATAGAACTTAAAACAGTATATAAACAAGTGACTGATGTATAGAATAGAAATAATATGAAACACTTGTAATTATCGAATGCAACACAATTGCTAACCCAATGGCAGTGATGATCCATTTTGCATATACATTTACCACAAACTGAACAATGATGTGCACGATCTGGTTTCAATACCCAACATTTTGGACAAAATCGAACATGACCATTATATGCACGAGTAAATATTGGCAAATTTCTTGTTTGAATTAATGATTCAAAATTTTGATTACGTTCATCTTCGGTCATTTGATCCAATTGCATTGAATCAGGTATAGTAAATTCAGGAGCGATTGGTCGATGTGAAGTAAACACACATTTTACATATGATATTAATGAAAGCAGATAGAACGGCAGGAAAAAAATGACCAACAATGATTGAATCCAAATTTGTTCATAATATTGGTATATAACAAAGTACATATAAACAAATAGGGCATACATATAATGACAAAAAATAATTACAAATGGTAAATATCTTGTTAGGCGAATACATTGACATAGACATTTGTATGAAGAAGAAATAATTGATTCATTCGGATGATTATGACGATTACTACGATTTCGTTCGATATCCATTATCTTCTTACGGAAATTTTTTCAATCAAAAGTAATCTATAGGAAAAACAATTCTTTAAAATAAATTTAAACAAATAAAAAACAAATAAAAATTGACATCCTTACCAAAAAAAAAAGAACTCACTGGTTTAAGTCAAAACAACTAAATACAAAAAAAAACAAGATTGATTATACCAAAAACTATTTTCACACACTTTAACTACAAGAATCAAAATAGTTTCCAATTGACGCGCCTTATTTTTAGGATTATTTTGCTCGATTGTTTAAAGTTAATTTTTTTAATAATAATTTAATCAATTTTCTTCATAATAAAATCAAAAATTTTAACAAAAAAAAAAAAGGTTGTCCAATGTTCTTGTTCAACATCAATATGAATATTGGCTTTTTTCATTCATTTTTTAAAACTATTCAATTGCATTTATGACCATAATGATAATGAAAAAAAAAGAAATAGAGCAAGTTTTTTTCAAAATTCCAATCTTTTTTTTGCAATAACTAAATGATAAAATGGAATGATAAATATGCAAAAAAGCCAATCATATCATCATGATGAATCATCAAAATTGAAATGTATTGAATACAAACTTGGGATCGTATTGACATAGAATTTTAAAAATTTAAAACCTAAAATAAAATTTTGATCAAGATTCACGAATTTTCGTCTGAAATAATTATCATAATTTTTAATGGAAATTGAAAAAAAAATGAAAAATTTCGATAAAATAAAATAAAATAAACAAACTCAACATGAATCCCGCCCATTGATTTTCCCTCCAAATTTAAATTTCGCGCACTTTTTCAATGACTCCGCCTTCAACGATGATGATGATGATGATCATTGGCAATATAAAGGGTCCTCCAAAATGCTCATTTTGCTCATTCGTTTTTTGGCATTCGTATTGATTAATTTTTTCCAATTTTTTCAAAACAAAATAACTTCGAAATGGCTCGTACCAAACAAACTGCTCGTAAATCTACTGGTGGAAAAGCACCACGTAAACAATTGGCAACCAAAGCTGCCCGAAAATCGGCACCAGCAACCGGTGGTGTAAAAAAACCACATCGTTATCGTCCCGGAACTGTTGCTCTTCGTGAAATTCGTCGATACCAAAAATCGACCGAATTGTTGATCCGCAAATTACCATTCCAACGATTGGTTCGTGAAATCGCTCAAGATTTCAAAACCGATCTCCGATTTCAATCATCAGCTGTAATGGCATTGCAGGAATCTTCTGAAGCTTATTTGGTCGGTTTATTTGAAGATACTAACTTGTGCGCTATCCATGCTAAACGAGTTACAATCATGCCTAAAGATATCCAATTGGCTCGACGAATTCGTGGCGAACGTGCCTAAAAACATTTTTACATTTCATTTTTTTTAATCCATTCATTTACAAAACGGTCCTTTTTAGGACCACATTTTTATCCGATTGAGATTTGAGCATTTTTTTTAAAAATCATAATTTAAATATTTTTGTAAAATAAAATCATTTTTTGAAACAAAAAAATTTATTTGAAAAAATTGTTGAAATGATCAACATATAGAACCAGAAAAACATGATTACAAAACAATTATAAATCAAGGTTTGTTTATTTCCAATTCTCCATTAGAAGTTTCGGTTAGTCTTTCCCGTTCGACAAATTTGCGTTGAAGATACTTTGAACAAGCAAATTTTATTTTAATATCAGTCAATTGTTTATTTCCGGGTTCACCACGAAGCAATACCTCAGCCAAATCGGCAATAACCGATTGTTTAATGCCATCCGCAGCACAACGAACAATAGCTTTGGCATATTTATCAAATAATTTTAGCTCATTTTCATTCAAAACGTTTGAAAGATTGTCAAAAAATGAATTAATTTCATGTTCACTTGGACAATCTTCATCTTCATCTTCTTCTTCTTCGTCTTCATCATCAGATGAGATTGAAATCATGGTAATGTGTCGAGAATCATCATCATCATCATCAGAAGAAGAAATATCTTCTTCTTCAATATTCTCCTCATCATCATCATAATCATAAATATCGTCTCCTTCAATAACCGGCATTCCTGTATCCACGATGTTCAACCTGAGCTTCAAAGAAGACATTGTAAATTGATAGGAAAAAAAATTTTTCAAATAACCGAAAAATACATACGAAAGATAATTTGTTTGATCGAGTTGTTTTCAATACTTTTTCACTGAGTTTTTCAACGTTTTTTTCCAACGTGTTTTTAACTGAGTCGTTTTTTTAAATCGAATTTTTTTGAGTTTTCGAAAAATTTTTTCTCTATTTGTTTCTCACTCAGTGTTAATCTATATCCAAAAAGTTTGGAAATTAATTGCCTTCATATGCTATAAAACAATATCGATATTTTTGATCAAAAATATTCCCCTCTCTCTCTCTTGAGAATTGTGCTGACGGTTGTAAATCTGGTTTGCGCGCGAAAAAATCCTGACAGTATTAATAAGCCCAACCCATTTTTTGAGTTCGACCGTGTTCCATGTCATGTGTATATAAATTCAAAGCATTGAGTTTCTAGCTATCATTCGTCATTTGATTTCCTTGCTGAATTTCTCTGACTTTTTTTTCCAACAAATTTTCCCAAAAATGTCTGGCCGTGGTAAAGGTGGTAAAGGTCTCGGTAAAGGTGNAACCGGCTATCCGTCGATTGGCTCGTCGTGGTGGTGTTAAACGCATTTCCGGATTGATCTACGAAGAAACCCGAGGTGTCCTCAAAGTTTTCCTCGAAAATGTCATTCGTGATGCTGTTACATATACCGAACATGCTAAACGTAAAACCGTCACCGCTATGGATGTCGTTTATGCTTTGAAACGACAAGGACGTACCTTGTATGGTTTCGGCGGTTAATTTCATTCTACCATCATCATTTTCATTATCATCAAATCATATATCCCATCACATTTAATCAAACGGTCCTTTTCAGGACCACAATTCAATTACGAATTAGAGCTATTTTTCTTTACCTTTTTTTTGAAAACATTTTTGTTATTTGAAAAATTTTTTAAATAAAAATTCCATTTTTAATTCTTTACATGCTTGATTTTGTAAATTGTTGAAGAAATCGAAAATACAAGTTTCAAGGTAGAAAAAAAACAGCTTTGTTTACCTTTCTAACTCGACCAAAATTAGACAAAGTGAGCATTTTTTTTGGCGGTTTACCGGCCGGTTATTGTTTTGCTTTCATTTTTTTTTGCACTTTGAATTGACATTGATCTTGTCCAAGTGAATTTTGAAAAAATGCATGGATCGCGCAGTGTCATGGTCAAATGCATAGAAAAAGGATACAAAATAATGATTGAAATTTTAAAATTAAATTTTATTACAAAAAAAGAAAATTGGAAAATGCTAAAAAAATGCTCAAATTCGTAATTGGAATTGTGGTCCTTAAAAGGACCGTTTTATATGATGATGATGTGTATGTGAAATGAAATGATGAAATGAAATTTATGCAGTTTTTTCGGTTTTTTTCGGCAATAAAACTGCTTGGATGTTTGGCAAAACACCACCCTGGGCAATGGTTACACCGCTCAACAATTTGTTTAATTCTTCATCGTTACGGATGGCCAATTGTAAATGTCGAGGAATGATACGGGTTTTTTTGTTATCCCGAGCAGCATTACCGGCCAATTCCAAAACTTCAGCAGCCAGATATTCGAGAACGGCAGCCAAATAGACTGGAGCTCCGGCACCAACACGTTCAGCATAATTTCCTTTTCGCAATAATCGATGAATACGACCAACGGGAAATTGAAGACCAGCTCGAGATGAACGAGACTTTGCCTTTGTCTTGACTTTACCACCTTTACCACGGCCAGACATTGTTGATTTGGAATTGATTTNACACCGCTCAACAATTTGTTTAATTCTTCATCGTTACGGATGGCCAATTGTAAATGTCGAGGAATGATACGGGTTTTTTTGTTATCCCGAGCAGCATTACCGGCCAATTCCAAAACTTCAGCAGCCAGATATTCGAGAACGGCAGCCAAATAGACTGGAGCACCGGCACCAACACGTTCAGCATAATTGCCTTTACGCAATAAACGATGAATACGACCAACTGGAAATTGAAGACCAGCTCGAGATGAACGAGACTTTGCCTTTGTCTTGACTTTACCACCTTTACCACGGCCAGACATTGTTGATTTGGTTTTGATTTGAGATGTACGAGCAAAAAGTGAAAAAATAGAAAACTTTCGAATGTTAAGTTTTTAAATGTTCGAATTGAGCTTATATACTTTGTTTTTACTGAAAAAGTGGTGTTCGTAGCATGAGCCAATCAGAAGCTGGCAAAAACGCGCGAAATTTTTTTAAGCACCGCCTTGTTTGATGAAATGTGCATTGTGATTGGTCGGTGCTATGAACACCACTTCAAATCGTATAAATATCGAGTTTCGGCAATGAAAATGTATTATTCTGTTTATTTGCTATCAACGATAAACAATCAATTCAACAACAACAAAAATGGCCCCACCAAGCACTGGTAAAGCTGTCAAAAAATCTGGCAAAGCTCAAAAATCTGTCCGAGCCACCGACAAAAAAAAGAGACATCGTCGTCGTAAAGAATCTTTCTCCATCTACATCTACAAGGTGTTGAAACAAGTCCATCCGGATACTGGTATTTCATCGAAAGCAATGTCAATCATGAATTCATTCGTGAATGATATTTTCGAACGTATTGCTGCCGAATCATCACGTTTGTCTCATTACAACAAACGTACAACCATTACATCGAGAGAAGTACAAACGGCTGTCCGACTTTTGTTACCTGGTGAATTGGCTAAACATGCTGTATCTGAAGGTACCAAAGCTGTTACCAAATACACATCGAGCAAATAGATTTCCATCATCATCATCATCAATATTCATATATTTAAAACGGTCCTTTTCAGGACCACAATTCTAATTACGAATTTGAGCATTTTTTTCCCGTTTTCTTTTGATAAATAAAAATCATTTTTTTTTTTTTTTGAAATAAAATACAATTTTTTCGAATGTAAAATTGCTTCTTTTTGCGTAAAATTTTAGCCAATATTTTAGTGAGCGAAATTTTCAATCATGTTTTTAAAGAACCTCAGTTTTTTGAGATTCAAAAGTAATGATAATCCGAATGTTGATTGACGGAAACGGAAAAAAATTATCTGGAAATGTGGTCATCGTCAATAAATCTTTGTTCGCTCGATTTTTGTATGATTGAGTAAACGTAAATGTAAATAAGTCCCGCCCAATGATTTTCCCGCGTAATTTAAATTTCGCGCGTTTTTTAAGCTCCACCTTTCCTATGTATCTCGTTGTCCTGTGATGATGATATAAAAAGGCCTTCACACGCGAGCAAATGTTTCTCATTCGTTTTTTGGCATTCGTATTGATTTTTTCTCATAACGATTAAAACAAAATAACTTCGAAATGGCTCGTACCAAACAAACTGCTCGTAAATCTACTGGTGGAAAAGCACCACGTAAACAATTGGCAACCAAAGCTGCCCGTAAATCGGCTCCAGCTACCGGTGGTGTAAAAAAACCACATCGTTATCGTNCACACTTTAACTACAAGAATCAAAATAGTTTCCAATTGACGCGCCTTATTTTTAGGATTATTTTGCTCGATTGTTTAAAGTTAATTTTGAATAATAATAATTTAATCAATTTTCTTCATAATAAAATCAAAAATTTTAACAAAAAAAAGGTTTTCCAACGATCAATATGAATATTGGTTTTTTTCATTCATTTTTTAAAACAATTCAATTGCCTTTCTGACTATGATGATAATGAACAAAAAAAGAAAAAGAAAATAGAGCAAGTTTTTTTTCAAAATTCCAATGTTTTTTTTGCAATAACTATGCCTATCAAGCATTTAGTTTTGGAATGATAAATATGAAAAACAAAAACAAAACATTCATATCATCATGATGAATCATCAAAATTGAAATGTATTGAATGCAAACTTTGGAATCGTATTGACATAGAATTTTAAAAATTTAAAACCTAAAATTTTGATCAAGATTCATGAATTTACACGTCAAAAATACGTCATCATAATTTGTAATGGAAATTGAAAAAAAAATGAAAAAATTTCGATAAAATAAAATTAAAAAAAAACAAACATCAACATGAATCCCGCCCATTGATTTTCCCTCCAAATTTAAATTTGGCGCACTTTTTCAATGACTCCGCCTTCAACGATGATGATGATGATCATTGGCTATATAAAGGGTCCTCCAAAATGCTCTTTTTGCTCATTCGTTTTTTGGCATTCTTTTCGAAAATTTGTTTATCAAATTAAAAACAAAAAATAATATCGAAATGGCTCGTACCAAACAAACAGCCCGTAAATCAACTGGTGGTAAAGCACCACGTAAACAATTGGCAACCAAAGCTGCCCGAAAATCAGCACCAGCAACCGGTGGTGTAAAAAAACCACATCGTTATCGTCCCGGAACTGTTGCTCTTCGTGAAATTCGTCGATACCAAAAATCGACTGAATTATTGATCCGCAAATTGCCATTCCAACGATTGGTTCGTGAAATCGCTCAAGATTTCAAAACCGATCTTCGATTCCAATCATCGGCTGTAATGGCATTGCAGGAATCATCCGAAGCTTATTTGGTTGGTTTGTTCGAAGATACTAACTTGTGTGCTATCCATGCTAAACGAGTTACTATCATGCCGAAAGATATTCAATTGGCTCGTCGAATCCGTGGTGAACGTGCTTAAGCATTTACTCATTTCATTAAAATTCATCTTTTTCATCATATAATCATAATCATCATTATAAAACGGTCCTTTTCAGGACCACATTTTTTATCCATTTGAGATCAGAGAATTTTTAAGCATTTTTTTTCATATAAATTAAAATAAAATACTGGTTTTTTTTTTTGTATTTTGATTCTGTTATTTTTTATAAAAGTTATTAAAAGAATTTTATAATTCGGAAAAGGAAATTTTCGTTGATTTTTGTTATCAAAAAAGAAAAAATAAAGCCAGAAGCCTAAAACATCTTTTCGGATTTTCATTTGAGTTTTTCCTTGTTGCCGCCATTTTTTTTTTTTTTTTTTTGCAAAAACCGTTGCTATTCCGATTGATGGTGATTAGATAAGCAACCGGGCACTCTTTTCAAATAAAAATTCCCTTGAGAGTATTTTTCGCGCGCAAACTAAATTCGGCAACGCATGCCAATGTTTGCGCGCGAAAAAAATCCTGACAGTGTTGTCCAATCCAATAAAGCCCAACCCACTTTTTGAGTTCGACCGTGTTCCATGTCATGTGTATATAAATTCGATGCATTTCAGTTTCGTATCTTCACTTGTGATTTTTCATTTTTGCTGTCAAAAATTTCACCAAATTTTCCAAAACAAAAAAAATCATGTCTGGCCGTGGTAAAGGTGGTAAAGGTCTCGGTAAAGGTGGCGCTAAACGTCATCGTAAAGTTCTTCGTGATAATATCCAAGGTATCACAAAACCGGCCATTCGTCGATTGGCTCGTCGTGGTGGTGTCAAACGTATTTCCGGATTGATCTACGAAGAAACTCGAGGTGTCCTTAAAGTTTTCCTCGAAAATGTTATCCGTGATGCTGTTACCTATACCGAACATGCTNGAAAACAATTGGCAACCAAAGCTGCCCGAAAATCGGCACCAGCAACCGGTGGTGTAAAAAAACCACATCGTTATCGTCCCGGTACGGTTGCTCTTCGTGAAATTCGTCGTTATCAAAAATCAACAGAATTGTTGATCCGCAAGCTACCATTTCAACGATTGGTTCGTGAAATTGCACAGGATTTCAAAACTGATCTACGATTTCAATCATCAGCCGTAATGGCATTGCAAGAAGCATCTGAAGCTTATTTGGTCGGTTTATTTGAAGATACCAACTTGTGCGCCATCCATGCCAAACGTGTTACCATTATGCCTAAGGATATCCAATTGGCTCGACGAATTCGTGGCGAACGTGCCTAGACATAATTTTTACATTTCATTTTTTTAACCCTTCATTTGTATACAAAAAAACGGTCCTTTTTAGGACCACATTTTTATCCGATTGAGATTTGAGTATTTTTTTTTTTAATCATTACAATGTGAATAAAATAATTTTTTTATCAAAACTTTTGATTGAAAATTGTATGAAATTAGACGAAAAAATCTGGATATTTGTTTGGAAATGTAGGAAATCAAGTGCACTAATCCCCATGGGGAAAAGGAAGGTTTATTTTCTTGATTTTTGAGGCTGTCCAAAAGAAGAAAAAAACGTGGATTTTGGATAAAATTCCGAAAAACATATATTCAAGTCCATTGTGTGTGTGTGTCTGCTCAATGTCGACAAACATTTTCGCGCGAAAAATCATGATGACTGCTTGCTCAATGCTAAAAAGCGCGGTTTGTTCCCGCCTACTTACAAGCATGCGCAATGATTGATTTTGTTCTATGTGATAAGTATATAAATTCGAAGCATTTCAGCTTCGAATCTTCATTTGTGATTTTCCATTTTTGCTGTCAAGTTTCAACAAAATTTTTCCAAAACAAACAAAATAAATCATGTCTGGCCGTGGTAAAGGTGGTAAAGGTCTCGGTAAAGGTGGTGCAAAACGTCATCGTAAAGTTCTTCGTGATAATATCCAAGGTATCACAAAACCGGCCATTCGTCGATTGGCTCGTCGTGGTGGTGTCAAACGTATTTCCGGATTGATCTACGAAGAAACTCGAGGTGTCCTTAAAGTTTTCCTCGAAAATGTTATCCGTGATGCTGTTACCTATACCGAACATGCTAAACGTAAAACTGTCACCGCTATGGATGTCGTTTATGCTTTGAAACGACAAGGACGTACCTTGTATGGTTTCGGCGGTTAATTTCATTCCAATTTTCCCAAATTTAAATATCATCCAATAAAAAAAAAGGTCCTTTTCAGGACCACAATTGTAATTAAGATTAAGAGCTATTTTTTTTTTTGAAACCAAAAATAAAAAATTTCATGTTGAAAAAATAAAATGATTTTTTAATTTCCATAAACAAAATTGTCTTAATTTTTTCTAAATAAAATCAGAAAAAAAATGCTGAAAAAATTGAAGTAATTTCCGATTAGAATCCTTTCCGATATTTCCAATATTGATTTGAACTCAAATCAACAAATTTGTAAAGTTTCAATTTGTATTATTCTCGGCTACATTCGTTCGAATCATAAAAAAAAACTACGACATAAGAGAGGGGGGTCCACGATGAACATTTTTCGTGAATTTTTCAAAAGTTTGATCATCGAGCGCGCCAAAAAAAATGATCGTCGATTTAAACCACGCCTTCATGTTGAGCTAAAATGGTATAAATAAGCTCGCGCAATAAGCATTTTTTGTTCATTTCGTTTCTGATCTTCGAATCGTATCGATCATCATCGTATTTTTTTCCGCTTTTTTTTTCTTCATTTGAAAAACAACAACAACAACAACAATGACTGAAGCTGAAGCAACTCAAACTGCTCAGGCTAGCGAACCTAAAAAGGCTAAAGCTGCCAAACCGAAAGCACCGAAAGGTGATAAGAAGCCAAAAGTTAAACCCAATCATCCACCAGTTGCATCGATGGTAAAATCTGCTATCAAAGAATTGAAAGAACGTAATGGATCATCGGTACAGGCTATCAAAAAGTACATTCAAGCTCATAATACTGTTGAAATCGAAAAGATTACACCGTTCATCCGAAAATATCTTAAATCTGGTGTTGTCAAAGGTGAATTGGTTCAAGCTAAAGGTAAAGGTGCCAGTGGATCATTTAAATTGAACAAAGCTGTTAAAGGTGAAGGTGAAAAACCGAAAAAAGTATCGAAACCAAAATCATCGAAACCGAAATCATCAAAACCAAAAGCACCGAAAGCTGTTGTCAAATCACCATCATCATCATCATCATCAAAACCATCGGCCGAAAAGAAAGTGAAAAAAGATAAAGCACCAAAAGCTAAATCTGCACCGATCAAGAAAGACAAGCCAAGTACACCGAAAAAGGTTGCAGCCAAACCAGTAAAGGTTAGTAAACCTAAACCGGAAAAGAAAAAAGCAGTTGCAAAACCATCATCAAAATCATCGAAAAAAGTTGTAGCTAAAAAACCATCAACACCGAAAAAAGCCAAGAAGTAAATCCTTCAACTTTTCATTTTTTATATATTTTAATCATAAACGGCTCTTTTCAGAGCCACATAAAATAGCGATGAAAGAAGCGATTTTTATAAATGTATCTTGTAAATATTTCATAAATAAAATTTGTTTTTATTTTGCAAAAAAAAAACAGTACAATTTCTTTTCTTTTTTTTGAAAAAAATGGCGCCAAAAAAATAAATAAGAAAGGCGGAGCCTAGAAAAAGCCCGCCAAATTTGAATTGAAATTGATTTGAAAAAGTTTGCATGCATGTTGTTGACGTTTATCTTGATTGAAGATAAAGCAGCTTTTCAAATATGACCATGAAACAAGAAATCGATAAATATATGGTGTCATCGAAACTTGTTGTTGTTGATTAGTTCGATCTATTCGTTATTTATCGAAAGATATGTATCTGTTTTTTTTTGTTGTTTAAAAAAAGTATCGAAAATTGATTCAAATATCTTGAACATTGAATCTTGACATGTATGGTTCGATATTGATAATTTTTTTTTATAAAAAAAAGTTGATCAATACAACATCATTCAAACAAACTGATAAACTCACAAGACATGATTTTAACAAAATAAAAAAAACAAGTTGATTTTATTGTTCGATAAGTTTGATACAACAACAACAATCCAATTATGCTAATATTGATTAGAATTTTTCTTTCTCATAATCATAATCAAATCACGATCATAAGTGATGGAAAACAGTCATTTGTCGATTTGTCCGTCTTCAAAATCGGATATAAAAGCTGAATAAATATTTGCGATCAGAATCATCAAACCGAAATTGCTTTTCCACCAAACCAGTATCGTCTATTTTCAATTATAATTTCCAAAAAAAAAAATAATCATGAGTTCAGCCATACCAAAAGGATTCCAAAATGAAGCATTCATTTTATATGATAAAATGCAAGCTCGTCTTTCACCACATCCAAATCCACAGGAACCTGGTCCAAATGGTAATTTTTTTTTTCTTTCGAAAATTTGTAATTTTTGTTTTTTTGTAATTAAAAATTTCTTTATTTTTTTTTCACAGAGGTTTTAATACGTGCATTATCGACCGGAATTTGTGGTTCAGATTTACATTATATGCATGATATGGCTTTGGGAAATATTAAAATAACATCACCAATTGTTTTAGGTCATGAATCATCTGGACAAATTGTTGCTGTTGGATCGAATGTAACCAAATTTAAACCAGGTGATCGTGTTTGTTATGAACCATCAATGACATGTCGTCGTTGTGAATATTGTCTTCGACAAGAATACAATCTTTGTATTGTAGCCACAACTACTTGTCCACCGTATAATGGTAGTCTTACCTATTATTATAATCATCATGAAGATTTTGTCTACAAAATTCCGGACAATGTATCCGCAGAAGAAGGTGCTATGATTGAACCATTGACTATTGCTGTTTATGCTGCCAAACGTGGTGATCTTACAGTCGGTGATCGAATGTTGATTTTAGGTTCAGGTCCAATTGGTTTATTGATGGTTATGATGGCAAAAGTTTATGGATGTACTCGTACAGTTATCACTGATATACGTGAAGATCGATTAGCAATGGCTAAAGATTTAGGTGCCGATGAAACTATATTGGTTGATCGATCATGGAATGAAGATCAAACTTTGGAAGAGATTCGTAAACGTTTTAATGGTGATTTACCAAACAAATGTTATGAATGTTCGGGTATTGCACAGAATTTTCGTCTTGCATTTCGTGCTACTAAAGCTAGTGGAACTTGTATATTAGTTGGTATGGGACCAACTGAAATTCTATTACCAATTGCTGATGCAGCTAATCGTGAAGTTCTTATCAAAAGTGTTCATAGATCGAAAGGATGTTTCCCGTTGGCTATCGAATTAGCTGCACAGAAAAAAGTAAATCTACCGAAATTAGTTACACATAGGTTTACATTGAAAGAAGCAGCTAAAGCATTTGAAACTGGATTCAAAGGTGAAGGATGTAAAATTATTATCAAAGTTGGAGAAGATACAATTTAAAACAACTGACTGAACTGACTGAACTAAATTGAATCAAATAAAACTTTTGAAAAAAAAAGAAATAGTTTATTTAAACAAATGTCAAAATGAAATAAATTTTTTTTTGTTTGTTTGTTTGTCCAAATGATACACATACGTCGTTTATGTTATTTAGATGAAATAGCTAAATCATAGAAAATGCATAAAACCTTATTTTGTTCAATTTAAATTCAAATGAATTTATTCTTGTTCCATAGGTTCTGACATTAATTGATCATCAGATTGTAAAGATTGTTGTTGATTTGCAATATCATTATTCATTGGTTGATCATTACCAACAACAACAATCATATTTTCATCGACCATTTTTTCCATATTCATTGAAATTGATTCCTGTTCCATTGATTGTTCAATAACAATCATTGAAGACATTTGATCATCTTCAGAAACATTCGATGTTGCAGTAATGTTTGTCGTAACAATGTCTTCATTGATTGCCAAAGGAATGGCTAGATTTTGGACCATATCCATCGGTAATTCTAATGGCTCAATCGGTTTTTCTTCTAAAACACTATCGGTGCTTGAATTATCGGTAGGTAAGATAACCGGCTCTTCATCCTTTTGTTCTAATTGTCGATTTACTTCAACAATTCGATCTTGATCAAGTTTTAATTTTTTATTAGATTCTTCACCAAGCTCATCATTATCAACAAGTTGATCAGTATCGACATCGGTTTTTTCACCAATTTTCAATGTCGTGCTTTCTTCTTCTTCTTCTTCTTGTTTCTTATTATCATCATTAGCTTCTTCATCTGTAGTTGATTGTTTTTGTTCATCTTTGATTGGTGATTGTTCAGGAATCGATTTTGGAATGGAATTATCGTGATTTTCATCATCATTGTTGGATTCATTGCATTTAGATTCTGAATCAAGACTGTCACCATTTTCTGATTTCTTGTGTGCAGATTCCAAGTTACTTTGACTACAATCATCCGATGTATCATTAGAAATATTGTCAACAGAGCGATTATGAAAGACTTGTGAATTATCATCATCATGATGTTCTTCGGTCGTCTTAACATCATCATCATCCTCATCATCATCGTGCTGGTTTCTATGATGATGATGACTATGATCAAAATCATCATCAACGACAATATTTTCGTTTTCATCACCAGCAGATGATTCATCCGACGATGATGATGATGAAGATGAAATGTGCTCTTGTTGAGAATTATTCCAGTCACGGTTCGGAGTAGAAGCGGTGACCAGCGGTGATCGATTATTTATTTGCGTACTAGTTGGATGATTATTCGATGTAAGATAACTAGAAGCTACAAATACACTGGTAAAGCTGTCCAATTGCTGTAATGGAGCTGTGCTATTCGAATTTGTTTCAATGGTTCCCGGTTCATAGTTACTACTATTGTGTTGTTGATCCGATGATAAACTGGAAGTTGCATCATAAAATGCCGATGCTGATGGTGATGATGATGATGTAGCTTGGCTACCATTTGAATTGGAAAGATGTGCCAATGAATATGGACTTTGAGCTTCATAAGAAGTAGATTCATTTGGTTGATGTGTATGAAGTGGATGTTGTTGGTGATTAGTGACAGAATGATGATGAACCAGATGATCGAATCCATTTGTAATATTGTTTGAAACTGTAGAAGTCGTTTGCATTGAAGTTAATGATGATTGTGAAGGAGAGGTTGATCCAGGTGATGAAGAACATGACGATGATGAAGACGAAGAAGACGATGATGATGACGATGATGCGGACGATGTTAAAGAATTAGCCAAAATGACCGGCGGTGGTGACGGATGACCTGAGGTAAGTCCACCGACTAGACCAATATTTCCACCACTACCGCTACGATTGGATAAAATTGATGAGATCGATGATGAACGACTTCGAGGCGATATTGACGATGAAAGAGAAAAATGAGGATAAAAATCACGAAATGAAGGCTGTTTTTCAATTCTAAACAAGAAAAATAAATCAAAATTAATTCCATTCATTATAATCATGACAAAGTTACGTTTCAGACGTCGAGTATTTATTTGGTTGAGGTTGTATAGTAGAAACAACAAGAACATTTTTTTCAATACCACGCATAAATTTATCAGTTCGTGTATAATGACGATATGGTTCGATTAATAATTCGCATATTCGTTGTATGGTAAATGGAGCCGCACAAAACCAATCCATACCTTGTAAAATATTCTTCTTTATGCCATCATAATCGAATGGATCACAATTAGGAACACGAATCTGTGATTCATTTAGCGGATATTTTTGATGAAAACTTTCCATAACTGTTTCCATTTTACGACGTATGAATGGTTTCACTTTGCTCCATGGAAATCTGTTAATCAATTTTTGTTGTTGTAGAATGAAATGAATCAATCAATGTTAATTTATTTCACTTACATTGTATCACCAGTCTTGGCAATAGTTCGAAGATATTGTTCAAGAATATCTGGAAATTGATTACCAGGATCTGGATTTGTAGCTTGACCTTTTTGATTGATTGAGGTAGAGAAAAAAAAGAAAAACATCTTAGAATTTGTTTGTCAAACAATTCACATACTTATCAATTCTTCCAACACTTTATCATAATCAAGTTCGACCATTTTTTTCTCGTTCTCTCTCTCTCTCAGAAAAAAAATTCCAACAAATCAAATGATGAGATAATATAGAAAAAGAAAGTAACAAAAAACTATTCTTTTGTTTGAAATGATCGTCAATTTTCGGTAAAATTGATGATGATGATGAAGTACAATTGTGAGCAATTTAATGAAGAAGAAAAAAACACAAAAAGACAAACAAAACAAAATTTTTTTCCGTCAATTTCAATAACTCTTGCAAGCAGACTATCAACCACTACGTCGTACGTTCTATATGAATTGATCTGATCGAATAGAAGAAGCATTCGATTTTGTTTGAAGAAATTTTTTTTTTGAAAAAAAAAACAAAATTCATAAATTCAATGTTTGTCGGAAATATCTCAAGGTAATTAGTAATTTTTTAATGAATTTTTTATTCTTAAATAAATCAAATCATATTTGAGGTGAGAGAAAAAAAAACATTAAATTAATAAGAGAGTGAAACAACAGTTTGATGAATGATGAGATCTTTTTAGTTTTTTTTTTGAAATTCATATCTGCGAATTTAGGTTAGTTGATTCGATTCGATTCCATTATAGATTTTAATGATGATTACAATTTTGTTCATCACTATGATCATCATCACCACAATCATGTTGATGATCACAATGCCATTCTTTTGGTATACATAATGGTCGTTTTTGACATTGAAAATAACCATCCGGACAATGAAAATCTGGTGGTGATATAACCTGACAGATTTGTTTTTCATCCGTTTGATCATGACAATCTTTATGTCCATCACAAAGCCAATAATATGGTATACAACGTTGTCCATTGTCACATTGAAATTCTTTTTCTTTGCATTGTTTTTTATCTACGCCAAATTCTTCACCATCATTATTATTATCATCGTCAATTGTCTTTCCTTTCGAATAATTAATTGATTAGTGTTTGGATTATCTTTGTTGTTTCATTAGCATATTATTCTTAAAACTAACCTGTTTCAATTCCAAATGGACGAGAACGATGACTTTTTGGTTTTCGATTAGAATTTTCTTGCAAACCCGAATGTAAAAGAGATGATTTTTGAACACATCTTCTACCTTTAATTAGATAAATTTGTTTGGATGAACAAAATTTTTTCGATAATTGTTCAACGGATAATTGTTGACAATTTTTTTCATCAACCGATTCATAATGATCATCACATGCGCAAATCGAATGTTGATCACCAGATGTCCGTAATGTTAACTGTTGACAATTATGTTCTTTTTTTTCGATCGAACAAATATCTAATCGCGAATTATTTTTTTGTTGGTTCGAATTCCATATTTTTATCTGAAATAATGGTGCTCGTTCTTCCAGAATAAATTTGCTAAGATTTTTATTCAAATCAAATTGTTGAATAGTACCATGTTGAATTTCTGTCCATAATATGGTATTATTATAGAAGAAAAGTGAATTTGCCATATTAATACGTGATGATTGCCATAATTGTTTCGGTTGATTTTCTTTCAAATAATTCATTCGATTAAGAGTTTTTTCACCTGTATCAGCCCAATAAATAAATGCCTGATCAATATCAATGGCTAATGAACTAATAAAACTAGTTGAACGATCAAATTGTTCACCAAAAATAGTCATTTTTGTACCATCCATATTAGCTTTACGTATAGCATATGGATATAATGTTATAATTACATTATCATCATCTTTTTCTTCATTCGTAGCCATTATTGTTGCAGTAAAAAACATAATACCACGTTTTGGATCTAAAACCAATGATCTTGATTCAATAAGTTTATTGATAAGAACTTTACGCCAAACTTTTTGTTCAAAATCATCGATAAAATTAATGACCGAAATTGATGATGATTCAAGTAGGTAAACATTTTGATTACACCAATCAAATGAAATTGTTTCAATTTGTTTTGGTTGATTAATATTGGATGTTGATCGAAAAAATTTCAAATCAATTGTTCTGGTTCTATCAATGTAATTTGTCGAATCCATTTTCGATGATTGCCTAAAACGATGACCAATATCTTCATATAAAAGATTTGTTTTAAAATCATCAAGATAATAAATGACATTATCAAATGGATCGATATCGAATGTTGTTGGTGATCGACTAAATGTTATTGGAAGCACGTCTGTAAAGTTTTTATCTAAATTTCTAAATTGTATTAAACCTGGCTGTGATCGAGAATATATAAGGATTCGATCATCGTGGATCATATCATCATCATTGTTTAAAATTAACGATTTCTTTGCTACAGTTTGATTTGCCAATTTCGGTGTTGACAATATCAATGTCGAATAAATCATCATCAAATCTGAATCGGATAAAATTTGATGATTTTTTTTCATTATCATCATTTGGCCATCATTAATCGTTATCAATGTTAAAGTCCATTTGATCAATGTATTCGTTATGTTGTTTACTTCCATAGGTATCTTTATATTGCTTGTATTGTTGTTGGTGGCGAGAATTTTCGTTTGATGAACAGTTTTTTCAATTATTTCATTTCGATTTAATAAATATAGCGAATCATTATAGGCAATCATAGCCATCGATGCCAGGTGTAACCAACTTTCAATCATTTGTCTACCTACGGTTGATTCGATTTTAAATTTATATCGTTCATTACCATCATAGTTTACTGATTGAAGAAGTTCTGAAATTTTTTTTTTTGTTTTTCATTAATCAAATCAAAGTAAGTAAGTCTTATCTTATCTATTTCTTAAATTAATCTTACCCAATTTAGTATCAATCCAATATAAACGTCGTTTAACTTGATCTAATGCCATATATTTTGGTTCAACAATTGAAATATTAACAATTCGTTCATGGTTATCATTATTATTATTTCCAATATGAAATCGTAAAATTGCTGGTGATAATAATTTACTTGGACGTTGTATACGATCACCTTGTCTTGATATGAATAATATTCTTTCATTCGAATCAAATTGTATATCGAATGGTCTACTCAATATACGATGATCAATTCGTACAATACATTTGCTACTATGATCATAACATTGATACAATAATTCATTTGTACGATCCAATAGAAACCATAATTGTTGTTGCCAATCATATATGATTCGATCAATTTGATTTACATTAATATAAATTGGTAATAATAATCGAGATTGTTTGGATGATTTAAATTCCCAACAATTTACTGATTGTCTTTCAATCCAACAAAAATCTGGTCCTCGAATTGTTATCGATGTAGTATGTTCACCATAATAATGAATCAATGGTGTTGTTTGATTTGATGACCATTTTTCAATAGATATTTGTTGTAAATGTGTTTGATTAAAATGTACAATCGATAATGATTTTGTTTGATTCAATTTCCATTGATAATTTGGAATATTAATTAATTTCAAACGTTTTTCCTGGATTTTTCCATTACAAATATCATTCGATTCATCACTTTTATCTTGTCCATTATTATAATTTGTATATTTACCACAATCTAATTGACCATCACATAACCAACCACTTGGTATACAATCACCAGATTGTTGACATTGAAATATTTCTTCATTTTTATCATGTTGACCACATGGTTGACACCATTCATCATTTATTGTAATGGTTGGTGATCCTTGACCATCACCATTTTCATTATCATCACCATTATTATTATTAACCGATGATGATATTAATCCTTCATATGATTTAAAAACTTGATCATCAAGAACAACATCTTCATCGAAAAGATTAAAATCCGTTTGTAACCATTCATCCGAACCATCACGACAATCAACAATTTGATCACAACGCCATAATTTTGGTATACATTCAAATGATGTTAAACATTGATATTCATATTGATTATTACAATTATAATTGCTAAAACTACTAACATTCGCTGTTTGTGAATTTGTTGCTGAAGATGATTCTGATGATGATGATGACACTGTATGTAAAATATGAATTATTATTATCAAGAATTTCATATGATCCATTTGGAAATGTTCATTTGACTGTTACTATGTTGTTGTTTTTATATTTGACTGATCAGCTATAGAAATAAAGAATGCTACTTCGAATAAAAAGCGGTATTAGCAACAGTATTAAGTAAAAGGGATTTTTTGATTTAGTGTTAACGATGATAATAATGGCAGCCATCATTATTTACTTAAATCGATGATGAAAATCTTTTTTTTCTACTTAAAAAAAGAAAAATTCTGGCTCATCTTCGATCTTTTGCTTGCCAAATACTCCTCAAACATATACATAAACATAAACGAATATACACACCCTGTGTGTGGTTAACATTTTTTTTTTTTTTTTGATGCTATGTTCAACTAACTGATTTTATCCGAATCGATTTCATCATATGTTTGATCATCAAGAAAAATCCATGCATATGTATTTTCTGGCATCAAAATCTTGGTGGGTCTTTCCTCTTCATCATCATCATCATTATTGATATCGATCCAGAGAAGAAAACAAAATCATTTGCTTTTCCAGTTCAATATTCAGCTTCTCAATTGAATCTCAGTTTTTTGGTGAGTTCAATTGAGATAACCTTGGAATGAGAAAAAAAAATTATTAAACAAATGTATTTTCCAGGTCTATTGTAATCATCAATCCATCTATGTGAATGAAGTGTTAAAAACGAAAAAATTGGAAAATCAATAGATTCAATTAGGTTTCCTTTTAAACGAATATTATCGACAAATGGCTTCTTTTTGATTTTTTTCCTCTTGCAGCAGTGTTTATTTGTTTCTGTACAAGGCAATAATATTTTAACAACCCCAAAAACACATCGTTTGATTTTGTATTTTGTTTTTCTGCCGAAGAATGATTTTTTCGCTTTTGCTTTTGCTTCATTATGTTCGAATAATGTTTGCTAGCATTGCATTTATCAATAGTATTCATTCATTCATTCATCAATCATTTGGAGCAAAGAAAAAATAAAAATGTTTGGTTGTATTGTGCCAAAAAAAAATTATATGAACGAATTTTCCGAACGAAGTTTGAAAAACATTATTCGGTTGTTCAAGAGAGAGAGAACGAAACATTTCATGGTAATGGTCGATCGAAGCCAAAACAAAATTTTTTGTTAATGTCCATAATAAACAAGCAAAATTGAACCAAAATCTTTGTAAAAAGGATTGGATTTTATTTTTGTAAAAAACAATGTTTTTTTTTCATAAATATGGGAATGAAATAATCAAAGGATTTTTTTTTCGTTTGTTTAGGGAAATCAATAAATAAATCAATGAATAAGTTAAGAAGAATTTTTGGTTGGTGACCACCAATATTGACCTCATCATTCAACTGATGTTCGATGTAATTCGATGTTCGATGTAACCCATAGATGATGATTGAATCGATTGATGATCAATATTTCTTCTTCTTTTTCTTATATTTCTTTTTCTTCTTTTTCTTTTTCTTTTTCTTATACTTTTTTTTCTTTTTTTTCTTATATTTTTTCTTTTTTTTATATTTTTTCTTCTTTTTCTTTTTTTTCTTTTTTTTATATTTTTTCTTTTTACCATAACCATCAAGCATATAACCATTTTTATTTGGTGATGATAATAATAAACTAGTCATTTCGGATGACATTGGTATTAATGAATCGGAATCGGCGCCATTTTTACTGATTAATCCGGTATTTTCGAAAGAATCAACGGATGATGTTAATGTTTTTGAACGGCATTCAATCCAATGTATATAGGTGAAAATGACCACCAGGGTCAAGACACCCAATCGGGTTGTCTATAAATTAAATTAACCAAAGAGAAACGAAAATAACGTTTGAATCAAACAAACCGAAAAAAAACGGGAAATATTAATCAATTTTACTTACCATTTTCACCTTTGAAAATGGAAATTTTTATCAAAATTTTTGAATTTTTTTTTGAAGTTTTGACAAAACAAATGCTTAAACTGATGAATGGATGAATGAATGAATGATGTTTGTTTGTTTATTTGGTTTTTTGATATGAATCGAATTCATTTATATACCTTGAATCAAGGTTTAAATTTTAAATTTTAAATTTTTTTTTCTGCTTCTGTTATCACACTGTCATTTTGAGTATGTAGCAATTTTCAAATGGAACAACATTGAACACAAACATTTTATTTTTTCAAAACAAAAATGACTTGTTACTACCAATCATATCGTCGTCATAAATAAATCAACAACCTTGTTTACTGTGTATTTGCAATATTGTAAATATTCGCTCATCGAACCGATTTTATTTCATTTCATTTCATTTTTAATTTAAATCAAAAATTCATTCCCAAAATGAAATCAAACCAAACAGCAACAAATTATGTAACTTGTCATTTTACAATCTCTCTCATTTCACATTCATTTTTGGTGATCTATTACAACTTGGTTTTGATGGCCACCATTCTTTAGTTAGTTAGTTCCGTCATCATATCGATGATGATGATGACAAACCAAAAATATTACGGCAATAGAAACCAGCAACAGCAAAATGTAATTTGTTCATTCAATGTGTCATTTGTTTGGTTGATGTAATTTGTCATTTTTTTGTTTGTTCTCAATTTCGGTTTGCAAATTCATTGACATTTTCGGTTCACACTTATTTAATGAACATTATTATTTGGTGGATGAAAAAAAAAATTTCAAATTTCCGCATTTTTATATATATCAAAAAATAACGATTTTTGTTGTTCTCGGTTTTCTCTTCTTGTATATCGGATATTCCCATATCTCAGCAGTAAATTTTTTCAATAATTTGTCTGTGATGGTCATGACTTTAGTTTTAGTTTTTTTTTCTGAAAAAAAAATTCGAGCAACTCTTTTCATATAGCAAGTCCGAGAAACAAATGTGATGCGGTTGCCTAATTGATCTAGTTATTTAATTAATTTAGATTTTTTTTTTTTTTTTTTTTTTTTTTTTTTTTTTTTTTTTTTTTGGTTATAGTTTATAAACAAAATTAACTTGAAAAATTTGAAAATCTAAAGTGTGNATTTAATATATAAATATTTTTTTTTTTTTTTTTTATTTATTTTAATTTTTTTTTTTTTTTTTTTTTTTTTTTTTTTTGGTTATAGTTTATAAACAAAATTAACTTGAAAAATTTGAAAATCTAAAGTGTGATTCATTGCAACCCTTTTTTTCTACCAATCTGAAACAAATGATTTTTGGTGGTTTTTGGGGAGGAAAAGGGGAAAGTCATATTAAACAATTAGTAAAGTTTAGGCTCTATGTTTGTTGCTGTGTGATAATTATCATTTCAGTTTGCAATTTGTTAACTAAATTGAAACGGAAGGAAAAAAATATTCTTTGGGGGGAACAGGGGAAGGGGAAATTTTCTTGATTTCATTTAGTGTTAATGATGATTTACACATACACAAATAAATAGAAATAACCCGGTTGTTGACGATAGATAGATATCATTATAGTCATTATATTATATAATAACCAATCAGCCGCTATTTAATTTCTTTTTGGTGCTATCTTCTTTTGGATTTCGCTCCTTTTTTTGTTTCACAGTGTATTCAATGTCCAATTGTGTATTGAATCAAATGATAAATCCTATATACACACACTATGTGTCATTAGTTAGTCGTATGGCTGTGTGTCTTTGGTGTTTTTTTTTCATTGCTTAAAACGGAATTCCATAGCCTTCTATAGTCATTCTTTCTATCTTGAACATTTTTTCAATGAAAGAAATGAAAAGAAAAAAAATTGTAAACAACCAACGAAATACTCTCTTATCTGCGTCAGCATTTTCACTATACTCATCCATTCATTCTGGTTTTTTTATTCTTTACTCATCCGCTTTTTTCATTCACATTTACGATACGCATAATACGCATTGGCAAAGTAAAAGAAGAAAACGAAAGAAAAAGAAAAGTTTCATTCACTAAAAAAAATATGAAAAAAAACTACAATCTTTTTTAGTTAATCGTATTTACAAGCAGGGCTCTATAGAATTACTAATAATAATTTTACAAATTCTGATTACAAACAAACAAACACGAAAAAAAAAATTCATTCACGAAAATATTTTCGTTTTTCGGTGTCGAGAGAAAACAAAAATCCTTCCTTGAAGTTTTTTTTTCAATCAAAAAAATGAACCATTTTTGAAAAAAACTTTTAATTCATTAATTTTTAATTGAAAAAAACACATTAACCAGACATTCAACCAATGTGTGTTTTCCAATATTGCCTTCGGGTTTGTCGAAAAATATTTTTCTATTTGATTTAAATTGAATTTTTTTTTCTCCCTTCCATTCTCTCTCTCTTATCATCTGTTTGTCTAAACAGTCTGATAGTTTGATTAAAATATGGTGATTAACATTTTATCTGATGACGTCCGGTATTATTTTCTGTGTTGTTTTTGGTGGTGGCTTTTGTATTTTGTGGTTTCATTTTGCCTTTTGTTTGTCTATTAGTTTTTTTTGAAAAAAAGAAGAATTTTTCATTATAAAACTCTAATGATATTCTTTCATTGAGAGAGATTGGTTATCGATTTTTTGTTTTGTTTCATCACTATATCCACACAACAACAAAGAAGAATCTACATTTCTTCGTTGTCGTCGTCGATTCATCGATTATTTATTGCGATATTGTCACTGCGGTCTTTTTGTTTTGTTTTGTTTGTTAAGGATACAATTTCCAATACACCAAACACACAGACCAAACACACACACACATTTTAGATTCGGGATCAATGTCAAGTGGTCTATCGTTGAATCCAATTTACCACTAGCCCACCCCAATTTTTCTACCAAAATTATACGCCCATCATTGGAAAAAAATTGGATATTAAATGAAATTTTCTAAACACACAAAAAATGAACCAGAAACCAGAAAAAAATCGAATACAACTGTCTGGTGTTTGTTTGCTGTCTTGGCATAGTTTTTTCTTTCATTTTTTGTTTTGGTTTTTTTGGCTTTGGGTTTTGCCACTCTCCCGATATTGTTTGAAAAATTTTGGATTCGGATCGGATGCATCCTTTTTCATCAATATTTCATCTAGGTTACACTTGACGATTGTTATATATCGAATGAATTTTTGGTTGTTTTCATCAGATGCTGCTGCTGCTGCTTCTTTTGCTGTTGGTTGAAGCATCATTCTTTATACCGGAATTATTCGATTGTCGTAGTGGTGGAAGCAAAACTCATCTTTTTCTTTCTGGTACCGTTTTGCTGATGGTGGTGGTGGTGGTGCTGTATAGGTCACCAAACCATCCAACATTAGACATGCGAAAACATTTTTCTTTCTAGTTTCATTCAGGATAAAACCTTCATTCTGTTTTTTTTTTCATTTCATTCTATACATTTGTTGGTTGTTTTGTTTTTGGATATCATCCATCAGTGTTCGATGTTATTGATCACAATTTTTTTTCTCGTTTCTTTCGCTAGCTTGATGTTCTTATTCTTTGCTTTGTTTTTTGTATTTGTTTTCGCTATAGTAATAATTGTTTGACTGGTCGCTGGGTATCAAAATACAAACAAACAAACACAGAGACAGACAGACAGTGTACAAATAATCAATCCGTCCATCCATCCATATATTTCTACATTATTTCTATTAATTCTACCAAACAACAACAACAACAACAACAACATTCGAAAAAACATCTCTCTCTCTCTCTCTCTCTCTCTCTCTCTGTCAACATTACATTGATTATTTGTGCTATAATCTAAGATTGTTGTTGTTCTTGTTCTTCTTCTTTGACTTTTTGATCTATTAAAAAGATTTTTCTTTCTCTCTCCCCGAATTGATCTCAAATCAACTGAATTTTTTTTTCGTCTTATCATTGGCTTGAATCATTTTGGGCACAAGCTAATGTAATTTATCTAAGGGTGACAAAATACATTTTTTTTGATTGGTTCTTCAAACGCCTAGAATTCAATAATATTGTTGTTGTTGTTATAAGTGTTTTGTTGTTGTTTTTCACAACAACAACAACAACAACAACAACAAATTCAAAAATACACATCTCCTGAGAGTTTTATTATTTCCATAATAATAATAATAATTCATCTTTTACGAATTTAAATCTGTTTTTAACACGTTTATAACAGCGGGTATTTTTTGTTTGTTTGAACTCAATTGTCATCGCTAAATCACACTGATAAAACAAGATTGTCTGTTTCAAACATTACTCATCATCAACAACAACAACAACCGATAAGAATCGGGTCAAGTGAATCTTTAATGATGATGATTATTTCTTTGTGAAAAAAAAATCACCCTGTCGTTTTCGTTGATTTTTTTTTTGCGATGAAGAATCGGTCACTCTGTATTTTGTTTTTCTCCTAATTTCGACAGTGAAGCTTACATTTCATCATCATCAACAATAATTCATTCAATTTTTTTTTCTTCGTCGAAATCGAAATTTGAAATAAAAAAATCCGAATCTAAATTGTAAATTAGTATTGTCAATATTTGTTTGTTTGTTTATGTTTGTGTTTGTGTTTTCTCGATAATCTTCATTCATTTCAGTATATATGTTTCTCATATAAAAAACCAAATCTAATCGAAAAAAAATTCTGTACTCAGTGAATCTTCTCTACACATTGATGTTATGCAAATTTATGACCACCACCATCACAACGACAATGAAGATTTGTTATTTCGTTTTCTTGCTTCTTCTTCCATAAAATCAAGAATCAAATCAACAATTTGATCATTCCCAAAAGAGGGAAAAAAGGGGAAAAACCAATAGATAAATAGTAACATTTCAAATTGAAATAATGAAATTTGAAACTCATTCAAAGTTTGTAATTCTTTTTTTGAATCAAATTAAGTAAAGAATTTTCTCATTTGATGAAGATAAGAGATGAAATTTGTTTGTAAAACTTTTTTCGAGTTTACAAAATATCCAATAAAAAATCCAATAAAAAACGAAAGAAACTATTCATTATCATTGAGATGTTTGTTTTGTCTATCAAGTGTTGTTTTGATTAAATAACGACAATGAATAATAGTTTCTTATTACAAAAATAAATGAAAAAAAACTTTTAAACGATTGTTTTGCAAATTATACATCATCCTTTTTTTCGTTTTTTTTAATTGTGATATCTGCTCTGTGTCATCATCTTGATATGAAGGAAAATTCTTCGAAAAATCCCTAATCTAAGTGAAGAATCACACACACACACTAAGCATACATATTGTCGATATAATTCCTGTGATTATTTAAAAATTATCATCTTTTTTTTTGTTTGCTTGTTGATTGAATTTCATTAATCAATCAATCAATCAATCAATCAATCAATCGATCAGTCGATTCAATACGCCAATTTTTCACAAAGAAAATACGTCCATAATCAAATCAATTTTTTTTTCGTTTGTTGTTGTTGTTGTTTTTCCATTATATTTATTTTACTTAACACAACATTATCATCAAGATGCCATCATCAACAACAAAAGATATTCAAAATCAATTAAAAACTAAAACTATTGATCCACATCATAATGATAATGATCATTCAGATATTGCCAATACTGGAACCGGTAATAAAAATGGTAATTTAAATAATAATAACAACAATAGCCATAATGATGATACGACTGGTGGTGGTCGTTCAAGTTTACAACCAAATAATATTGAACCTGGTGATCCATCAAGTGTTGATGAATGTTTAAATCTATTTAAAGCTTGTTGTAAGAAAAAAGCTGATTTTGGTAAGTTTTTTCTTTCATTCTAAATCCGATTGACTTAATTATTTCAAACTTTGTTGATAACATTGCTTCATTCATTTTCTCTGTTTTTTTTTCAGGCCTAGAAGATATGTTTTGGATAATGTTTTTATTGATCATCATATTATTTTCAATATTAAAAGGTTTTACACGTTATACATGGTCACAAATAACATATATGATGTTAGGTTCATTGGGTATATTAATATTATTATATATTGGTGCAACAATATTTAATAAATTTGTACTTGAAGATTCAAGTACTGCACATTGGAATGCACATGCAAGATATACACAAGCTGCCATACATTGTCGATTGAATGAAGAAGAACAACGTGTTCATGTGATTGCACCACCAAAAATGGGTGGTGCTAAATTGAATATTATTTATTCGGTTGGTGATGTTCCATTAGCTAAAACAACATCATCCGGTTCATCATCTACGATTAATGGTGGTAATCCACATTCAAGACAAGGTTCAATTAGTAGCCAAATAGGTATTATGCCAAATGCATTGTCCAATATAACAGCACAAGCTATTCAAACAGCTGCTGCATTACTTGGACAACCTTCTTCAAATCAATCGTCAATTAATCCGATTGTTAGTACAACTTCTTCTTCTTCTTCTACAACATCGATGACAACGACGACAACAATAACGTCGACAATCACAAAACCATCAATCACCTCAACACATTATACCCATCATCAATTTCATCATCAAACGATTCCAGCCATTAAATCACCAATTATAGTGAATAAAACTAGTCAGACTAGTGATTCTTCATTGACGAATCAAATGACCACTGGTACTACTGTTTCAATGGCCACTTGTAGTTTATTACCATCATCGTTAAAAGATGAAATTATTGCCGAAGAAGATGATCGTCCTGAAACGCCTAGTTTTCATTCAACCAACGGTAACAATAATAACAACAACGACAACAATAATCAAGAACATTCTTCTGGTTAATTCATTTTTTCTCTTTTTTCAATCATCATCAATGATTAATTTACATAATGATCCGATATAGAGAATCAGATCATTATCATCTTAGTCAGTGTTTTTTTGTTTTTTGTTTCCAATTAACACACATTAACATTACAAGCCTACAAATGTAAATGTAAATTGTTGTTTATATAAATCTACTATATCCACTTCTAATTCGTGTAAATATTTAACACACATTACATCAAACATCATACACACAAAATCAATCAATAACCCTGTTGATCAGCCTAGAATTTGGGCTCTAATCATGAATAAATGACACCTAATGAATGACAACAAAACACAAAACAAAACAAACTATCATTTTGGGCGATGATGATGACCACTGATTTATTATTGTTAATTATTTTTCTATATATACAGAAAACAAAATAAGAAAAACATTTTAAAAAAGTTGTTATTTGACAAACAAAACAAAACAGACAAACAAAAATTAGAATGATATTATTCAAATTCTATTTATTCTTTCGACAGAAGCTTAATCTTGATTATTTTTTCTTTCTTTCTTTCTTTCTTTCTTTCTCTCTCTCTCTCAGTGTCCAACAGTAAATCATTATTGTAAACCAAACAAACAAATAGTATTAATAAAAGCATCAAACAAACAAAATGTTAGTTTTTTAATTTGTATTACAAAAAAAGGAAGTTATCATTAGTTTTAATTATTATCAGGATTATATAGTAATAATAATAATTATTTTCAAAATAAAAAAAATCAATTATAATGTGTCAATTAAAAAAAAATTGATGATGAATGATTTTACAAAATATATTTATAAATTATTTATAAATTAAATTTACGAAAAAAAAGATGAAAAAATGTTTCTTAAAACCAATGATTCGATGATTGTCGTTGTTGTTGTTTGAAACGTTTCCAAATTCCATTGGTTAAATTCCGTATAAAACGACCAATCAATTTACCAAATGTTTCTTGACCATTGGTGCTATTGTGATGAGATTGATAAAGACAACATCGTCGTTCAACATTTTCAATACGATCAATAATCAATGAATTTTCATCCGGTAAATATTTTTTACTTGTCATACAATCCATAGTAATTATTAAATACATTATTTTCCACAGTGGTTTTAATGATGGTCGTCGTCCAAATAAACGATGTTTTATAGTCATATGATACATTGTTTTACTATATTGATTTAATGATGATGATATTACATGATCATATGATTGATGATCATTTGATTTTCGTAATAATCTTTGTCGAAAATTTTTCGTACTTGTCGAATCTTCAATTCGAATAATAATCGTATTGATTTTTGATTGTTGTTGTTGTTTATTATTATTATTATTACGATAATGATAATCATAAAATGCTTTAATCCATGATTGCATATGTTCAATTGATTCTAAATCATCTGGATCATAATAACCAATTGCAATATTGGTCATAGCAAAATATTTGGCAAATGTTTGTTGATAAAATTCAGATTTGGTTTGAAATGAATCGGGCCATTTGAGAAAACATAGTTCCAAATAAACATTAGATAAATCACAAGCATAATTAATATTATATGTTGAAATTAAATCAATATTATTGTTAATTTTTTTCGTTGAATTTGTTGATTCAATAATAAAATTATGACGACATTTTTTTAAAAAATTATTATCAAAACGTTGACCATTATAATTATAATGATTACCTCCTATTCTACCATTATTCATACTATTATTATGTTTATTTATCGAACCAAATACAAGTACACGAAATGATTTTAATTTCTTTAAACGAATTTCATTTGGTCTTTTATTTATCTGCTGACAAGATGCCAGTTCGGTTGATGATTGGCTCTTTTCTTTTCGTTTTTTTGTTATTGGATTTTTTTCGTTGATTAATAATGATTTTGATGATGATGATGATGATTCTGCACCATTATAATGATGATGATGATGACCACACGATGAACGCATCATACGTATTGCTGATCGTGTTGTTATACCAACTGGCCATTTTTTTCGTGATTCAATTAATGTATCAATATGATTACAATTGGAATTTTCATTACTATTATTGGTTATTATTGTTGTAATTGTATTTTGGTCATCATCATCATTATTGGTAGTATAGCTTGAAACCGGTGACAATTCGGTTGTTGTTGTATTATTAGTTTTCATTATAGAATTGTACTGATGATATTGTTGTTGTTGTTGTTGTTGTCGACAATGATTAACATAAGTAACAATTGTATCAGACCAACGGCAATAATGATTTGATTGTTTACCTGATTTTTCATCATTATCATCATGACTATTATCATGAATATGAACCAATCTTTCAACATGTCGACATTTACGATTATTATTATCGTTATGGTTATCGTTTATTGTTAATGGATTGTAAACATTCTGTGGTGCCATTAATCAATTTATGGATTTCGTTTTTCTGTTTTCTGTTTTATTGAAATTGTTTAATAGAAATTTAAAATCAATACAAAAAAAAGTGGATCAAGCAAATCAATCAGCCAAAAAAACAACAACCCATTGAACAAAGTAAAAACGTTATCATTGTTGTGATCCAGCGTGTTTACAAATCAAGTGTCAATCAATCAATCTTACACGTCAAAGTTAATTTTTTCAACAAAAAAAAAACTTCAAATTGGTCAAATTTGTGAAATTGACCTTTGAATATTATAACCAACACAAAACGAAATGAGGGTAAAAACTATTAAAACATTTTTTTTATTGTAAAATTAAAATAAATTAAAAATTTAAATATGCAACATTCAAAGATTGAATAATTTATCTTGATTAAGTCAAATCATTTTTAGATTGACATGATTTTTTCCTTCTAAATATTAATAATTTAAAAAACAATAAAACTTTTAATCAAATTAAATGAAAAAAATTGGTCAATTTAAAACAAAATTGCTGTTTTTTTTTTCTAATTAGATTTCCACCAATTTTGATTCTCATTATTTGATGAACCATAAAATCCATTATCGTTTGTTGTTGTTGTTGTTTGATCTTTGATTTGTTCATTTTGATTTTCAGATTGTTGTTGGTGATGTTGTTGTTCATTAAACATTGATGAGAATTTATTCGTCCAATCATTAACAAAATTCAATACGTTATTGTTTTTAAATAGCGTACCATTTTGTAATTGATCATAAAATTCATTCAATCTAACTAAATTTGGTTGTTGTTGTTGATTAAAATCATTCCAAACATTTAACATTGTTTGTGGAACATAATTCTGAACATTTCGTCGTACTAATTGATGAATTTCATAATCACGAATTGTACGATATAATTTTCGACATTGTTCATGTTGAAAACAACAATCTTCAACCATATTGAATAATTTCCATTCATATTTTTCAGCATATCGATAAAAAGCTGCAATCATATTATCAACAATAGATTCCAAATCATATTTATCCATCAATTGTTCATAATATTGGCCAATTTTATTCAATGTTTGAATAATCAATCGGGCAATATGATCATCACTTGTTTGCATTTTATGTCGAATTTCTTGATATTCATCCACAAACAATATGACCAATTCACGATCAATTATTTGTCGTTTAAATAGACGATATTTATAACGAATTTCATCTTTTAATTCTTCAAACATTTGATTTCTGAATCCACGAATATCTGTTCGTTCGGAAAGTTCTTCAATTCGTTTAGGTTGTTGTGAATCATGAATGAAAATTGATTTCAACCATTGCCATACATTGAAACTAACATTCACAAAACTTTGTCGAATATTTTTTGGTTCGAAATGAATTCTGTAAGAATTTTTATCACCACCAAAAATAATGTCATAAAATTTCGATACATTCAAATGGTTCTGGTTGTATCCAAAATAGATATTACCGGAATGTTTTCGGCCATATCGATTTACATTTTGCCATTCTGAACCAATCGATACCGGTGACATATGATTGAATAAGGTGAAATTAAGTACACGACTGGAATCATTTTCATTCAATGTTTCCAATGCAAATAATAAACTATGATTCATTGTTGATGGTCGTTGTACAAATTCCAATGCAATCGAAACTGGTGATTTTTGTTTGAGCATTGTTTGTTCATCACCGAAAATCATCTGTAAACTTGAACATTCATATTCACGATGTTCATCAACTTCGATAAAATTTTTACTTTTTTCACAACCATTATTCATTGAATCGAAATTATATCGCATTTGTAAAACTTTTGGATGTTGTTGATCATAAAATTTTGGTGATCGTAATTCAACTCGTACTTGTCGTTGATTTTGTTGTTTATTATCATAATAATGTACTTCCATATCGAGAATTGGATTTCGGGAACCTTTTTTCAATAATTTTGATTTTACTTGTTGAATGGATTGGAAATTTAATGGTTTCTCATCATTATCTTGATCATAATGGATTTCATTTAACAATTGATAATCAATATCACCCGGTAGATACAAATGTACCAACGTATTGATTCGATTTTGTGCTTGAACCAACATTGGTGGTGGTTCTACATAGGTTGCAATCAATACTGGTTTTCCATGATTTCTTTCAATAGTCAATCCAGTTATTTGTGGTGATTCTTTCAATTCTTGATAACGGAAATATAATTCAACTGAATAATGTTGATTGTTTCGTGATTGTTCTTCACCTTCGATACGTAAAACTTTTATTTGACCAGTTTGTTTATCCATAACAATTTCAGCTTTTCCTTCACCACTATAATCACCACTTAATCGACCTTCATAACGAACAATTTCATAAGCGGTTGGTCGTTGTGTATCATCACGATGTATACGATCCAAATTCAAATGTATTATTTCATGACCATCCATTTGAATGGTTGCTTCACGTTGCCAATGTCGTTCATCATCAAAACGATCCATCCATTTAGCTTGAATTTCACGATTTTGATATTTAAATCGTACATCTACATTATCAAATGTAGCCGGATGATGTGATTGTATCATCATTTCGAATTGTGGTTCAGCCCAACATTGAAACATTATGTTTGCACGATAATCACTACGCCATTTTCCAAACCAATTCAACACTAATTCCAATTTCTTTTCCTTTTGATAACTTACAGCAAAAATTAAATGTGAATTATCACCAAATGCAGCTTCCACATCGATTGTTGGAATATTATCCGTAAACGATACAATTTGAAATTTTTTCTGTACAGCTTTTGAAAATAGATCAACATTAACATCAACAATACGACCATTTTTATCGTAAACATTGATTTGTAATTTACGTTCAGGTTTATTCCATTCAAGTTTTGCTTTCTTTTCAACCATTGTGTTTGGTGAATTGAAATTCAATTCATAAATAATTGCTTTCGAATCACCTTTACCTTTCAATTCAATTTTTGATTTTTTCTCATTTTTTGATCCAATTTCAAGCAAAAATATTTGTCCAAAATTTTTCTTTTCATTCGATCGATGTTCATATTTTGTTTGTGTGTTCATCTGATCCCAATCACCATTCAAATCAGTTTCAGTTTTCATTTCAAATTTCATTGAACGATCTTTTGGTGTTTTAAGCTGTGCTTGACCTGTTAACAATCTGGTTTGACCATCACGACATTCAACCAAAACATCATGTTGTCGTTCTTGTTGTTTGTATTCATGTTCAAATTTAGCCAATTTTATCAAATTTTCATCCAAATCTGAATATTGTGCTTCAATTTTTACTGGACTTTCAAGAATTTTTTCCAATTTTTCCAATTGTCCTTCACATTTTAAATGATGTTTAAACCATTGTCCTTCAATTTTGGCTTTATTTTGTTCAGGTTGAATTTTTGTTTCAATTGCAATCTTTTTAGTTTGATCTTGTGATTGTCCCCATCCACATTGTACACGAAAATCATTTAAATTTTTAGCTTTAGTTTCAAAACGAATTCGATGATCTTGAAGTTTTTCATGTAAATCAAAATCCAAATGTCTATTATCAACATTGATCAATGTATTTAATTTGAATGGAAATTTTTTCAAATTTGATTCACTATTCATTTGAAATGATTTTCTTGCTACAAAAGATGTTTGAAGATTGAATAGTTTTTGTCCGGATTTATTTGTATTTGATGTTAAACTAAATTCTTGCCAATTTGGATTCCATCTTGCTTCACTATGATGTTCAAAATTTTCATTCTTTTCACCTGTTAAATCCAATTTCAATGAATGATCATTAAGACGATGTTGTAATTTTCCATGAATTGTAGCCGATTCCCATTCAATATCAGTATGATCTTGACATTCATGATCAACAATTATTTTAAATTGTGATGATTGTTTCTGGCCATTAATTTTCATTAACCATTGTTTTGGTGCCGTACGTGTCCATTGTAATGATCCACTTAAAGTTTTATCACTTGATTCAAATTCAGTAAATAATTGTTTCATTGGTACAAATTCCATATGTACATTATTTCCATTGCCAACAATGATTTCCATTGATGATTTTTGTCCATTTTTAAACATTAAATCACCAATCAATTGTATTAATTGTTGATTATTTTGTTTAGTTTTTGAAACAAATTTCAATAATGGCAGATCAAATTCTTCAAATTCAGTTCGATGATCAATACCGTTGAATAGTTTTGTTTTCATTACTACTAATGCTTTTTTCGGTGACCATGATAATTCAACATGTGACGAACGTGTACTAATCATCAATTCATTTGCATATTTTTGTTGACTATTCGGTTCATTTCGATTATAATCAATATCGAACATAAATTGTTCACCAAAATAATTTTTCATATCGAACGCAATCAATTCACAACAATCCATATATGTCATTGAATTTGGATAATGTTGCCATTTTGCTTTGGTTTGATGAGAAATTTGTTGTCGTGGTGCTTTAATATTGACCATCAATTGATAAACATTTGGTGCAACTTGTTCGATTTTAATCTGACCATGTAAATCACCACTAAATTCACCAACAAAATTTGACATTCGATTGGATTGAGTTTTGAAGGAAAATTCCATCCAATTTCTTCCATGATAACGTGTTTGTGTATCAATCTTGAATTGTGATTGTTCATTCAATTGAAATCGGCTTTGATGTTTAATTTCAAATCTTGGAATTTGAAATTTAATCATTCCAGTTGATTCATTTTGTCGGTTTAAATGTTCATATTCAACATTAAAGGTAAAAAATTCACATTCACTTTGAACATTAAGATGATTTTGTTTGTCATAACTTCCATGAAACAAATAAATAGTTTGATCTTGTTTCTTTACCAAACTCGAAACATCCAACAAGTTTTCATTCATTTCGACTGATGTTTCCAATTTATAAACTGATTTTTCAGCTTCAAATTTACCAGACAATAGATTATTTTGTGTGTTTCGTTTCATATGAGCACCGATTTTCAAATTATCATACAATTCAGTTTTGAATTGGAAATTACATTCACAATTATCTTGTTCATCATGTTGATGATCCATATTCAATTCGTACATTAATTCACCTTCACGTCGCATTACATTTTTCAATTGAAAATTTCCCATATATTTATCCTGTAAATGAAACAAAAACATTTGTCCACAATGACCCAATAATTCATTTTCAAAAAATGCTTGTGATTCAAATTTTCGTACATTGGAAATCAAATGCATTAATCCTTCATATTGATCAATATCACTTTCAAGTTTGTATTGATATTGTAATCGTTCTAATGTCCATTTTGGTAATACATTTGATCCGGATTTTGGTACGGATACTAATTCAATTTTTCCATGATATTTACCATTTGCAATTTCTTCAATTGTTTCATTATATGAAACATGAAATTTTAATCGATAAAATTTGATTTCAGCAACTCTATCCAATCGAAATGGTTTTGATAAAGTTTTTTCCGAACGTAAATTAAAATCAACCAATAAAAGTTGTTGTCGTTTGTCTTCAATTTTCACTTGATTTGTTGTTATTTTTCGTTGTTCACCTTGTTTCGTTACATCGGTAACAGCATTCAAGACGTAATGAATATTTTTCGGTGTAAATTGAACTTGTATTTGTGTATCTAAACGCATTGATTCACGATCATGAACATTATGAATTTTTCTGGTAGTTCTTTCCAATCGAAATTGATTCAGTTCCATATTTTTGCCAAATTTGCAAACAAATTCATTGTCGAATAAATCTGGTTGTTGTTGTTGATTGTATGAAACATCCAAATTTAATGATGGATATTGTGATGAAAGAAATCTATAATGAAAATATTGTTTCAAGTTTACTGAATCATCATCATTATCCATGATCGATGGTAAATGATAATCATAACCATTTGATTCATATTCAATATTGAATGTTTCAAATTGATTCCAATTCGATAATCGATTGTAATGGATTTTGTTCATTGATTTAATTTGTTTTGAATCTTTAACGAAAAACCATTCATGTTTTGCTTGAAATTCATAGATTTTCATTTTTGTTTCAGTTGAAATTTTCAATGGACCATTTTTCGTTTGACCATTTCGATTGATAACCATATCGATTGATGTTTGATCATTAAAATCAAATTTAATCATTGCTTTTTGTTGACCATCTTGTTGTTTTTGATAAGTAATCATTCCATTACTATCGATTAATTTCATATTTTCGGTTGGTTGAAAAACAGCTTTAACATTGAATTTAGCATCTTTCCATGAATCCGAATCATCTGATTGAACTTGTCCATCAACACTAACGTGTACAAGTTTTTGATTACGTTCATTAACAATTTCACAAACAAAAGATTTTTGTTCGGAACCATCAACTAATTCAAAACGTGCTTCTAATTTTCGTTTAAATGCATGAATAACAAATTTTGCTGACAATTGATCATCGGATTGTTTAATAGGTAATTCGATTACCAATTCGGTTTCAAATCGTTTCTGTTGTTCTGATCGGTCGACCATTGGTGTTGCAATACTGAATTGAAATTTCATTCGACTTTCATCTTCGGGCAACAACATTGGTGCAAAAAAATGTTCCGGTAATTCAACACTGAATTCAATACCTTGCATTTTTTCCGTTTGTTTACGTAAAATAATTTCATTATAATCAATCAACATTTCATTCATTTCATTTTGTTTTGATAATAAGCTGGCTTTTTTTGTTTTTCGACATAAACTAATACCCAAAACTTTGGTAATCATATCCGATGTACATTTTGTTTCCAATGTTAATTCATTATTGGAACGAACATTGTTTGAAGATTGATTTTTGATGATTTTTGTCAATGATTTCCACCATACTTGTTCTTTTTCGGGTAAAAGAAATTTTACCTGTAATTTTTTAGCTTGTTTGATTTCGGTTTGTAAATGTAATGTAGGTGCCGCAAGTATTTGGCTAACAATTCGAAATTGATTCATCATTTGTTTTCGGCCTTCGATTCCAAAACCAACTTCAGTATGAGCAACAAATGTTGGTTTCAACATCAATTCCATTGATCCATCCATAACATTTGACGATTGATTTTGATAATTAATCATTGCTTCCAATGAACCAATATAGGTAGAATTAATTTCAAAATACATCGGAACACCTGATGATGTTTGATCAATAACAATACGTTTTTGCCATGGTAAAATGATCATTGTTTCATCGATACGAATTGGTAAACGTTTTTGTAATTGTTTCCAAATATCAGATAAATGATTTTCACGATCATCACTATCATAAAGGAATATATTTTTACTATCAACATTGATCAATAATTGAATTCGTCGATGAGTAGACATTTTAGCATTTGATGATAACATTGATTTAACAATAGAATCTAATTGACCAACCAATTGACTATCGAGTCGATGTTTTGATAATGTATTCTGGATATTGGAAAGAATTTTTTCACTCATTGAACCTTCAAAACCTTCTTGACGAACAGTAACTTCTGCTACGGCTATTTGTCTATCAGTTTTACCCAATGGAATGGTTACATTCATTGTAATAGAACGTGGAATTTTGAATGTTTCGTTTACGTTAGGCATGATAACATCGGTTTCGAAAAAGCTACCAAGTCCTGTTTTTTGATCAACATAATCATATTCATAATGTCTGGAAAGAAAAACTTGCATCAATGATGATGGTTCTGGAAATTCAGGTGCACCACTTGGCAATGATGAACGTTTAGCTTTGTTGACTGTATTTCTTGATACTTTCTGATGTGAACAAACATAATTGTATACATGACGATTCGATGATTGTTGTTCTTTTTCAATTACATTCAATATTTGTTGTAATTCTTCTACATTTGTTCCGGTTCTAATCAACGTACGATAACTGATTATTCGTATTTCATTACTTTCTTCGAAATTTGAAAAAATTTTCATCAAACTTTGTCGTGTTCGTGGTGTAGGTTGAACAGCATCAAAAGATTTAATGGCTACAACACGAATCAAATCACTCCAATCGGAATTTTCAATTACCGGTAATAATTGTTCCTGTTCTTCGACCATAGTCCATGGTGAAACATTTTCCAATGCAATAAATAATCGTACATTTTGTACTTCAGCTGTTTGATTTTTAATATTTTTCATTATAATGTTGACAATTTTTTTATACATTTCTTCTTTGAATCTAGTATAATCTTGATTTTGTTGTTGATTTGTTGGTGATTTGATTAAAGCTGAAACACTCAATACAATTTCTGAATCATGAATTTGATCCAATAATTGTGGTACAACTTGTTGTATAGCAACTAATGATGGATTTTGTGCAAATGCCATTGAAGTAGCTAAATATTTTAAACGTTCAGTTGCCATTGGATTTTCATTTCGTACCGAATATAAACGTAATAATTCATCACGAATAATGGTTGCTGTTTTTTCATGCATAATTGATGCTGCTGTATCGATAAAAATATCTCTTAATTTTTTCATTTGATCACCACAAAAACTTTTATGTTCATCAATCACATTGATTTGTTCATTCCAAATGGATTGAATCGTTTCGACTGATTCATATTCAAATGCTCGAATCAATTGTTGTACATAATCAACAGTATTCATACCGACACGATTTGAATTTTGTTTAATATCATCACAGATTTCATGTAAAACAGTTTTAAGTTCAACTTTTTCCATTGAAAATGAAGATTTTGTTGATGGTGTTTTTTCCAATCGAAAAATATCACGTAACCATTGTTGTTTATTACCTTTGGTCAAAATAGATTTATTTCTGCGAACACCTTTGGAATTTTCATCGATTGATACTTGTTGCAAATGAACACGTGATATAAGATCAATATCAAAATGATTAAACATTGTATCCAGTGATCGAGATGAACGACATTCCGATTGAATTACACGATATGATTCGATTTGTTGTTCACATTCCGAATATGCTTCACGACTTTCTTTAATAGCAAACCCAATTTCAGAAAATTCATCCGAATCTTCTAAATTGCTGCCTGTATAATTTGCCAAAATTGAAATCAACAAACAAAAATTAATCAAAAACAAAACTTACATTTTAATAAATTTTTTCGTTTCAAAACAGAAAATCGACCTTCACCATTTTCGTTAACATGATAATCAGTATCACATTTACCGTGGTAATCAGTTTCGACAACCTTTTTTTATCAATTAATTATTAATGAATCTTTCTTTTTGAAAAATTTACTTACTGTTTGATCATTTTTATTGTTATCAATATGCGAGATGGTTTGCAATGCGGAAATAATACTTTTTTTAACATTAATCACAAATGGATCTTCTTGTTCATGTTCGGGTGAACAAATTTCTGTTACAATACCATCTTTATAGGAGAAAATTATTGGAATTTGTAATTGTCGTTCATAAAGTTCAATTTCATCATCTCTAAACGATGAAAATGAATCTGTACTGGATAATCGAATGTTTACATTTTCCAATTGCATTGATACTTCACATGAATTGATCGATTCCAAACGAACTTGACCATCAATTTGTATTAGATTATCTTCCAAAATTCCATTCGTTTGAGTTTTGTTAATTTTAGCCAACATTTCATTTGTAACTTTTACAGCATAAACATAGGATTGTCCAGTTTCAAATTTTATGAATTTTTTATCATTAAATTCATTGTCTGGTTGACAATGTTTAATGCAGATTAGTTTCGATTCATCATGTTGTTCACGATCAAATATTCGGGCTATTCATTCGTTCGGGAGAATTATAACAATTTTAACAAAAATTTCAATTTGGAAATCTAGAAATCAGAGTCTACTTACCAGTAGTTGTTTGATAATTGTTGGCCACTAAAACAACGGCCAACAAAAATGATGAAAATAAAAATTTCACCATTTTTGTTTCAAATAGATTTTTTTCAATTTAACGATTTAAAGATATTTTATTCGTTTTTACAAAACAAATTCTAATTAACACCAAAAAGATTTGTTCGAACAAAAATAAAATGATACATTTTTTCATTTTATATACTGATCTTCGAAAGCTAAAAAAATGGTCCATTCATCATTATCTTTCACTGATGATAATCATTTTTGATTTCTTTTTTCAATAATCAGCAATTACATCCTGCTGACTAATTAACAAACATTGATGATGGCCAAAATTACAACAGAAAAAAAAAATGGATTCATTATCACCAACAAAATGATACCAACTAGTTTAATTCAAGAAAAAAGCGAATATTGAAATCGAAATCATATTATGTGCGAACAAAAAAAAAATTTGCCAATTTTCAATCAATCAATCAAATCAAACAATATTTATGCTGACATCGAATATTGTTACCAAAAAAAAAAAACTGGAAAAAATAATTCATTTCTTTTTTTCAAATGATGTAGGGTTGGTTTTGTTTCGAAAAAAAGAAAAGAAATATATTTATGTGTACTTAGTTTGATGTGTCAGCATTAACCTTCCTGTTTTTGATCAAAAAAATTTTCAATTATTGATCAAAATTTCTCAATAATATCAATTATGGGTACAATGAAACTTTTTTCAAATTAAATTCTTTATTTGAAATGAAATGAAATTATTCAATACAAAGAATATGGATGTAATTCTAATATTTTTTTTAATTGACAGTTATTTTCTTTTGTACCGATTTATTCATATCGGCTTTATGTAAACGAATTTTTTCCTCAATAAATGCTAAACGATTTGCTTTCTTTTCGGCACGACGTTCCGCACGTAATTCTTTCAATTCTTTTTTACGTTGTTTACGTTCTTCGGCTGTTTCGTTTTTAGGACGAATCGATAGTTCAGATAAACGAGTTATATTACTTTTTGTTGATTTATGATCTAAATTGGCCAATATATTCGTTCTAAGATTCGAATCATTTTCAGTAATAGGCATTCCAGTTCGATGATTGATACGGATATGATTGTTTTTGATCATTGGATTACCATAACGATCAATAGATTCATTCAATACTTTTGGATGATAATTAGTGTTGCTATATACGCTTAGAATTGATTCACAATCAAAACGATCTTTGTCACCTTTTCTACCGGTATCGACAATCACGATTTCTTCTTTTTCACTATCACTTGAATCTTCGATTAGTTCATCATCTTCATTGGCTATATGTTGATTATCACTATTTTTTGTTTTCAAATATTTACTTCGAACATAATCAATTGCCTGTTCATTACGTTCATATTCAAGTTTGGTTCCTTTGAATTCTTCATATTCTTCTACTAATTTGGTCATCAAATCACTGTGATTAGGATCAATATTGCCACTGATTTCTTCGGTATCTAGGGCACCGATTTCCATTTGATCGGCATACTCTCGAATGAACATTTGTTCAAATTGCTCATCCAATGTTTGTAGTTTATCATTTCGTGGCAATACCGATGATGACATTGAATATTCAGTGAAATGTGTCGATGCTGATGTTTTTACTGTTTGTCCATCGTCATTATCATCGGTTAGACCAAAGAATCGTTTGATATTTTTGTTTGTTAACATTTTAGCATCAACATTAAATTGATCAGCACCTTCATCATCATCATCATCACTTCCATTAAATCCACAAACTGATAAATTATCTTCTTCATCTTCAGCTTCATCGATTGATGAATGTTCTCTGATTTGATTATCATCAATCGTGTCATTAATATCAATGATTTGATTATTTGAGTTAGATTGCATAGCTTGCATGACAAAATCATCGTCAATCTGATTATTTGGATCTTCAAAATCGAAATCATCTTCCATGGCTTCGATTACGTCGGGATCCCAATCCAATTGCGGACCAACAGGTAAAGCGGCTTTTTTATTGAGATCATCTTTTTCAACTACACTCGACTCAAACACAGATGAAGGAAGCATTAACGATGGCTTTTTCTGATTCTTTTTGATTGTTTCACAATCGATACCATTCGGCAATGCAATTTCGGTGACATCGGTCAAATGTTGAAGATAATTATAGTCATCATCGAAATAAATACCATATTTGATTTGTTCTTCGCGACGTTTTTGACGATCTTTTTCTAATTTTTGTGGATCACTTTCTTTTGATTCATTTTCATTCGAATCAATCGAAACTTCTTGTCGAGATTTCTTTTCCACCAAAACATATTGTGGTGCTGTTTCATCGACAAATAACGGATCATTTTGGCTACGACCAACCAATTGAAATGTTATTGAATTATTTTTATCGATAAATTTTTTAACTTTTTTACGACCCATAATTCTAGAATATTAATTCCAATACAAACAAACAAATAAAAATTCTCAATAGATCCAAAAATTTCCTGAACATGTGTCCACCGCTATTTCTACATTGATATGCATTTTTAGTGGATACAGAATCCACCTTGAATGATTCATTTCAAAATTCGAATTTTTATTTTTGAATGAAAAAACATGGAAACTTTATTTATTATCAATGTAAAATTTCATCAATTGATTTTTTTTTCTTTTGTAATAGATAAAAATCATTCTCTATGGCATATCGGGTAAACCTTGTTTATTCTGTGATTCGTACCAGGATTTAGCAATTGTTCTTTTCATATCATCATCACCATCATCGTACATCTTTTTCATCAAATTCATCAATGACTTTTGTGGATCATCAGAATCAATTTCAGGCTTGTCATCCATCAATTTGGGAGTAGTACCAGTAGTTGATTGAAGTGATGACCAATGTTCCGATTTGACTTTGTGCAATGTAATTACTAATCTATTCGATTTAGTTATAATAGCTTTGCTTTTTGTCTGGTCCAATGGCTTGAATAGACGTCCCAATGTAAAACGATATTTACCAAAAATACAAGTAAATTTAGTGTCAGAGGAGAATTCCAAACGAATTTCGCCATTTTCGATTTTGTCTGTTTTGTTCAATTCAATGTAGATCTTGATATGTTCGTCGCTTTGATCCCACATGTAATTGGTAATCGTAATAACGCCCAATTGCTCAGTCTTGCCACCACCATTACTTGTCAATTCAGCCTGTTTTTTCTCATGGTTTTGTTTCACCAACGACAAACGATTAATTTCATTCTGTATAAATTTTTGATTAGAATCCAATTTAGCTTCACCTTTCAACCGGTTCAGTTCTTCAATCTGCTCTCCAATCTAATTCAAATTAAAATATGAATGCATTGTCTATAAGGTTAGGTTACTTACTTCTCGAACAATTTTATCTAAACTGGCCATTTTTAAATAGAAACAACGTTGATTAGTCCAAAATTGAAAAATTATTTTCTGTCAAAACGCTCAAACAATCAAAATCAGCATGAGCAAAAAAAAAATGCCAAATACCCATCATAGATAGTGTAACCAGACACGTGCTTGAATATTGAAACAAAATATTTTATTTATCTTAATTCAAAATGAATTGTTTCGGCGAATCGGTTAAATTATCCACTATTTATGATGATTCTTTTCAACCATATCATCAATCATTGATGGTTAGTCGCAGAAACAAAGATCATGTAATTATAAGCGAATCGGCTAATCTGGTCAGCAAATATGATATGAGTATAAAGCCAATGGTTGCTTTGCAAAGTTGGTCATTTGAAGAACTTAATCGACTTATTGTTCCAGCAGTATTTGATGATTGCTGTTATCCAAATCGTATAGTTGCTGTGCATAGTTGTAATACGTTAATCGAATGGAATATCGATGATGATGATGATAATAGGAAACAATTATCTCAGGTTTTCAAAAAGAGCTTTCCATTAGAAATAATCGACATACATTTACTAAATGGTGCGAAATCAGATATATTGATCATATTTATCAATGGCTGGATAGCAACATTGAACCAAATTAAAGCAGGTTATTTTTCCGAAGATGATTGTCAAAATGTAATCGATGAACAAGAAAAAATTCAATGGATTGATAAGTCTCTTTCGAAACGTAAAAAAATAAATATCCACTATAGAACGATTGATAAGAATGGACAAAATATGTATATTTATCGTTTAAAAATCATAAATGGTAAGATTGATTTGTTTGTCCTTAATATGAACTAATTTGTTTTCATTGTAATAGGACGTATTGAATCGAATGAAAAATCACAAATCAAAATTGATTATGATGTTTTTGGATTTGATGGACAACGAGTTCTTGGAGCTGTAAAACATGAGGATTGTATCAAAGTATACGAAGTAATTTCGCAAATTCAAGTTTATCAATTTGAATTGCCATCATTCGAAACTTTATGTTCAATGGCCATTTGTCATAGTGGAGCTTACGGTTTTATTGGCCGTAAATCGAATGGTCAATTTGTTGTTGATGTTTTTGAATGTACCTATTGTATTCGTATTGGTTCGCTCAATCTCGATCTTGGAGATGTATTTTTCCAAAGATTTTGTGCACTTATTGATACATTGGTGGTGACTAGTGCAAATTGTATTCTCTTTCTGCCGATTTCCAATCAAAAACCTTTGCTTTCCCAATTGCTAACGAAAGGTCTTACGGAATCATGTTTCGAGGGCACGACTAATCAAATCAGAATGGCCAATAACAAACAATTCAAAGAACGATTGGGAATACTAGAATTTTCTATCGATGACGATAATGATCAAACTATATCATTAGAACGTCTAAATCAGATGAATAAAAATTTTGATGTTATTTCTCGCCAGGAGCATGGGCTATCCGAAGAAATTATTGCACAAATGCTCCATTTCTGTACGAAACAACACCTTGCATTATCAAGTGATCCTGATGATCAAAGATTGAAACGAATTCACGACTTATTCGAGAAATTAGTTAAATTACCTTTTAATGAGACATTTATGATCTCTTGTCTAAAATCATGTCGAATATCGTCTTCACAATCCTTATTAGCTATCGAATGGATACTTGATCTATTACCAAGCGATAATTGTTACCTACTTTCATGGATATCGGTCTTGTTGGATGCGAATTATCATCAATTTATTGTTCGTCCGAATATTCAAGTGTTACATACACTTAAACGGATTCGTCAACGAATCGATGATAATATTGATTTCTATCAACAATTAAGCTCAATAGAATCGTTTATAGAATTATTCGATAAACGAAATCGTTCGTTATGGAAAGCTATCAATGCTGATTCATCAGAAAATATTGGTGATTATTGTATTGAACTTTTGACAATACCTTGAATAAAAAATAAATTCAACATTGTATATCATTATTTATCATTTTATTAATTGACAAAATACAAAAATTTCAAAAGACAATTATCATCGTTTTCCACCAACACGTGGAGCCTTGGTCATGACGGGTTTTGCTGCTTTTTGCGCTTGTTTTGTTTTTTGACCAGCTTTCTGACCAGGTTGACTTGCTTTTTTCTGTCCTTTGGTTGATCGTTGTTTTTCCTTTGCAGCACGTACAGCCTGTTCACGTTGAGCTTTTCGAACTTCAGGTTTCATATTACGTTTGGCCAGAATATCATTCAATGATGCACCAACAATGGCTCGTTGATATTTAGTTGTCTTACGTCGACGTTTCTTGGCCAATTCAACTTCCGAACCTTTCTTGTGTTTACGACGATAAAGAATAGTCCATGTTGTTTTACGTGGATTTCTTCGCATCAAATGAGATGATTCACATTTGGAATTCATAAACTGGAATACTTTTCCATCAATTTTAACCATGCGTTTGCCATGGCCAGGGTAAATTTTATACCCGCTGAACGAACAAAGTTCAATCTTCATTTTGATTATCTAAAAAAATTAGATGCAATTATAATTAATTGAAAAAAAACAAAAAATTTTACAAGCTTACTAAAATAAACAACAAAAAGACACAAAAACAGTCACACAGCACACGTTGGAAAAGGAAATCGACAAACGTTGCTCACATGTGTATTACGTTGGCTATGAATGGTATTCGATTTATTCAAAAGAAAAAAGTGTGCGTATACTGTAACTTTTTCGCCGACTAAAAATACAGTGGTATTTCGTTTAACGTCTTTTGGAGTTTTATTGAAAATGATCAAAATCAAAAAAAAAAATTCGAACTTTAATATAAAAATTGTCATTTTCGAACATTAAATGCAATGTTGATCAAGAACACATTATGTGGGCAATTTTCAAAATTTTATGTACAACCTAACCTAACCTAACTATGTTTCAATTAGCATTAACAGCAAGATTCGAATTTTCGACATCAACATTCGATCGCTCCTGAACCGTGGCCAATCGAGTCGTTTTCGAATGACTATTGTCAACGAATATTTGTTTATTACGATTTTTGCTTTTTGATCGAGTAGACGGCGGTGGTGGCAGTCTACCCATGTCTTCGTTGTTATGAAAGGATGATGACGATGTCGACGACCGAATTGATGAATTGCCTTCATTTGATACGATTGATGCAACCGATGATCTTGAATCCATATTGGTCTTTTTTCTTGTTCGAATAATATCCGGATTGATGTAAATCGGTATATTATGTTCAGAATCTTCATTAGGAGTCATTGTGGAATAGCCATAATCAGATTCAGCTTCCGTTCTTCGTCTATTTATAGAACAAAACAAAATAAATCAAGATTGATCATTGAAAAAAGATTCAACAGACCTATAGTTGGAATTGTATTGATATGGCGATACAATTCGTACATAGTTGGTGTTTACCACAGCCTGAGCTAAAGGTTCGATATTTGAGTCATGTTCATGACTATTGTCAATTATGTCGTTATGATTGTCTGGTTGCAACATCTGGTGATCATTGTGATTGGAAGTGTTTATATAACGAGTGTTTGACAAATTTCGACTGGATTGAAAGTGAAAACAATACACCGAAAAGGTTAGGATGATAAAACAGATAATCAATGTTGCTGTCAATGGTCCAATTGGTGCAGTACTCTGTGTCTGTTGTATCGGCTTTTCATTATAACGATAATAGTAATGATAAGGAGGTTGTTGATTAAGGTAAGGATTTTCCGATCCGAATATTCCACCAAAACAAACCATCTGGTTACTACAGAATGGATTGGAAAGTTTTGTCATTCCATTATCCATTGTACACCATTCACAACCAAGAATTCCTTTGCATTCGCTATAATAATTGAAAATACAGTGTTTTTCTTTTAAATCAGAAAAGCAGGTGTGTTCATGTGATGCTTACCTTTCCGACAGTTTATTATGACAATCATGACGGATACAACTGTTGTACGAATCAAGATGAGGACTAGATCCATAAGGTTCACGTAACTGTTGTTCATATGAAGGCGATATATCTGTTGTTGTACAGATTGGATGACGTCCATCATCCGATTCAATCAATTGTCCATTGCATACATTCATTACCAATGGACATTCGCAAGGACATTCACAATCAGTTTGTTCTAATCGATGACAATTCAGACATAGACGATCGGTTAATGAACAAGGACAAAATGTAGTTGTCACATTATCACAACTATGATCGACCATACCGAATAAGGTATTGGTAGTTGCAAGTGAAATGATCATATATTTGGCACAGGAAATCTGTTCATTTCGATAGACACTGGTGACAATACCATTAAGACTCATATTGAATCGATAGAATCGTTGCATGGTACGATCAGTATAGCTGTTGCAAACTAATTTTCTTACGAAATGATTCTCTCGGCTCAACAAACCATTCATCATATGTGGTACTTTGTGCGTTAAATGTTGTCTTTCGATCAAAGGCATAGTTGGCGGTTTAGACAGCGACGAATGTACGATGATATATCCAAATTGATCAACCATAAAACATGAAGATTTTTCACGTCGACATATGGATGCCATTGCATCAAGAATACGATAAAAATATCCAAGTGTCAAATCAATGCCCATAACACCCCATATTTCCCCAGTTTGATTGCTATTTTTATAGATTGCCTGACTGATGGTCACAATGTAACCACTGCCTCCTTCATCCATATAAGGTGGTAATAGATGAATTTTTTCTGGTTCAGCTATAGCTCGAATATACCAAGGGCGATTTTTCGGTCGATATGATTGATCCATAAGTAAACCCGGATAAACAATGAATGAAGCACTTGCAAGAGCTATGTATTTACGAACCACATATTTCGAACATTCTGTTAGCTCATGATTTTTCCGTTTCCAATGATCGACCAACTCATTCACTAAAATTAAATCTGGTCGTACATTTGGTTGAAAACCAGGATTATCAATCATGCCGCTACGATCGGCTAAATATGACCATTGACGTTTAATTTTATCGGATGAATCGGAATCTATTTCGCTCTGGTAACGATCGATAAACGCATTTGGTGATAAATGAACAGTAGCTTTGTCCATAGTTGCTAACTGATTAAAATGTCTACATAATTTGAGATGTCCTTGTAATTGCCAATGATAATCTAAACGATGACTGACTAGTTGCCATTCTGCTTGACCATGAAATTTAGTTCGAATCGGTTCATTTTTAGATTCTGTTGATGAAACAAGCACTATGATATAATGAGTGGCTGGTATCCGACGCCAATGATAAACAATCGATTTGTATGGTGTTAATAAACATCTTCTGTTTTCATACGACCAACCATCTAATGTTTTTTTGAATTTATTTTCGGTCGTATTAATTTGAAATTGACCACTGTGTGAAGTAAAAATCATTTGTTTCAAAAGAGCATCATCCAATTCAGGCTCAACCAGATGAGCATTGATAAAGGAATTTTCCAACGAATCGCTTGCTTGATTCATGTACAAACCATATTTCCCCATTACTTGTTTTGGTTTACAAGTTTCTTGAAAGTATTTAGAAAATACTGGATGATAAATAAGTTTACCAGTGAGACCATCCATCAAAAATGCGTATGAATTTTGGTGGCCATCATAGTGAATAATATCGGCAGCCCAATCAAGTAACGATATGTCGATACCTATCACACCAATCAAACCATCTTTAGGATGATGGTAAGCTTTGCTCAACGATATATAAGTATCTTTTGATATGAGATCTTGATGAGGTAGTGAGATGTATAAAGAATTTGTTTGGTCAGATTGTTGATCGTTTTTAAGTACAGTGTAGATTGTTTCAAGTACGGAACTTAACTGATCCGTACTGTTGATGGCAACCATTATGCCAGGTCTGATTGACTTTTGTTCGGGTATTTGAACATTAAATTTTCGAAAATTCATAGCTGCAACTTCTCGTAAAAATATTGTTTCCAACATGATAGGAATTCGTTCATCGATCAAGGCATATGTGTTTATAATGAATTGAAAACTTGAATTAGCCAATTTATCGGCAATCAATTGCATGACAGGTCTAGCATCAGCCAATGATGCCAATAAACCACGGCTAATGTAAGCAATGAGTACATGTGGTTCCATCTCTATATGCTCTGTATTCAACGAAATATAAGGAACATGATTGGAGCAATGAAACAAAAACTTACCTTTGAAAGATAAATAGTTTGCTTCAATCATTTCGAAAGCTTTCTGTAGTCCAACGTAATGATTGGTAGAATTATATGAACGTTGAAGTCTATCAATGTATTTGCTATAAATAAGTTTACTTTCGTAATCAGCATTAGCCATAGCCAGATTTGATCCACAAGCATCATCGCTAGCATCATGAGCACTTGCCCAGAGATCAATCAAACTAATCTTATCACGACGAGATAAAGAATTGAGAATATGTTTGGCAATCGATTTGGCCAATCTTAATTGATGATCAGTCAATGCTGATCCTCGATCCAATACTATGATTATCATTTTCGGTCGAGGTAATGCAGCAGCCATCAAATTATTTTGATGTCTTTGAGCCAATAATTGTTTTTGTTCATCAAAGGCTTTGTGATGATGAAGACTTAACCAATGTTGAGGTAATACTTTTTTGTTATTACCATTGAAATATCGCTTAGAAGTTATATTTGATTCGTTTGTAGAAAATTTGATTTTTTTATTCAATCGATTGAGAAAGCAATAATTGTTAGGAGGATAATAGGCTGGGTATTCGATATGAAGACCTTTGAACGATATGTAATACTGCCATTTAATATGAACATTGGTCGCAAGATTTTGGCCAAATTGTTCGGTTAAATCAGGATAGAATTGTTTGTTACGGTCCCATTGGCCGATATCACAGGAAAAAGATTTACTAATCCAACTAAAAAAACGTTTATCATAACCATAATAATCATTCTTGATTTGTTGTTCTTTTATTTTAATTTCTTGAAAATCTTTAGCATCCAAATCACCGCTATTATTACTTTCATAATATTTGGGCCATTTATCACCATATGGATTGCAACAATCGAACGAATCTGATGCGGTTGTATTCGAATGTTGGCCATACATTTCCTGTAATAGTTCACCAGACATCTCGATGGCTGAATGAATATCCTGTACTTGTTGGCTCATCTAAACAAACCCATTAACATTAGATAAGTTTTCAAATTAGTTGGGACTTACTTTGTCAGATATGTTATCGATTCGAGCAGCTAAATCTTCGATTTGTTGATTCTTCTGATTATCATTTGCTTTGTTTAATAATTGCTGCATAATGGTTGCACCTAATTCTTTGTTTACAATTGATTGCAATAATTGTAATGTTAATTTAGAATAGGCACCAAATTTATTGAATTCTTCAAGCAAATGATCGGACATTTGATCAACCGATACATTTTCAGTTACGATTGATGGATAAAGATTTTTACGATTAATTCCTGATGATGTTACATTATTCGTTGATGATCGAATCTTGTCAATAGAAAATAATCTGGCTATTTTTGTTTCATTTTTGATTAATCGTCCTTGATCAAATTGATCATGATAATTTTTACAATTAATGACTTCGAGCCATAATATCAATAAAATAATCGAATAAATTTGATTGATCATAATTGATGTTTTTGTTTGGTCATCTTTTTGTTTGGTTTTCAAAATCAACAAACACAAATCATCAAAACAATAAGATGGTAAATAGAATAAGGCAATGTGTAAAGTTGCTCAACAAGGCCAGGGTAGTTTTTTCTATGATAGCCCCTATCATCATCATCAACAGTGGCCAAAGCTTCTTAAAGTCATTGTTGTTGTTTTTCTTCTTCTTGTTTTATTGGCCTTCTCATATTTAGCTCGTATTTAGCAAAACGCGAATTGGCCAATCCCACAAACCAAAAAAAAAAATCTTCTCGTAAAAGAAATTTTCCCTGGAAATATTTCCAGAGAATCTTGTTTTGCTCATGTTTTTTTGAATATTAAAAAATTCTCGTGACAAAATAACATTATCATCAATTCAATTACAAAGATGCTAAATGGAATTTTAGTAATGTATCTTTTTTTCAAACATGTGTGTAACCTATCATAAACAACAAAATCAAACAAGTTGATAGGGATTTGTTGTTGTTGTTTTGTTTGTTTGATTTGTATATACTGTATTTGATAACGCCTGTTTTGTTGAAAAAAAAATTAACCAAACCAAACCAAATATGGAATTGTATAAGAATCTGGTTTTACTTCGAAAACTTCCGCTTACAATCGAATGTACTTATGCATATGGTTGGTACTTTAATCATTTGTCAATTTAGATTTTTATGAATTTTTAATTTTCTATTCATTAGATGATTATCTGTTGATTGGCACTAAAGAGGGTCACCTTCTAATGTATAAAATTGATCTAAAACTTTCAAGTACAACAGGTTCGATTATATTATCATTCTATTATTCTTTTTGATCTAATCTCCTAACATAAATCAACAGAATATGAATTCAAATTGCATTTATTACGTTCAGCAAAACAATTTAGCCGAAAGCCAATTGTTCAAATGGATGCAATACTAGAATATCGTGTTCTTGTATCATTATCCGATCAGCTTATTTCGATACATAATCTGGATAAGATTTCTTTTCCATTTTTGTCTTCATTGGCCAAAAGTAAAGGAGCAAGTTATTTTTCATTGGATGTTAGCAAACAACAAACACTTTCTGGTCAAATTCAATCAACCATACGACTTTGTGTAGCTGTCAAACATAATTTACTTTTTTTCTATTGGAAAAATAATGAATTTTTTGAACTTAGACCTACTATCAAATTACCTGATATGGCTCGTGTGGTAATCTGGATTGCCAATAGATTATTTGTCGGCCTTCGTAATCAGTATATCCAAGTGGATATTGATAAAGGTACGGTAACGAAAATGTTTCCAGTAACATCCGAACCATTGATTGTACCGTTATTGGCTGAACGTAATCTGGCCATTTGTCGAGAAGATAAAACCTACATATTTGATTATGAAGCACGGCCATTACTTAATTGTGCAATTACATGGACCGATCAACCATTATCGATGACTGATGATTTACTTTTTTTGATTGCTGTCGAAGCCAATTCTACCATCGAAGTTCTAACTAATACATTACGTGATGTGATAAACGATCCATTTTTACAAAAAAGTGATCTATCTTCGCAGCTAACCAGACCAATAAAAGCTATTGGAAAATGGCGTAATCGACCTGGTCAATTAGTTCTTCATTCTGAAAATGATATTGTTATGATGAAAATTGTACCGAACGAACAACAAATTAGAATTTTACAGAATGCTAGACATTTTGAATTGGCAATCAAAGTAAGTTTCGCTCATTGAAATTTTATTAAATTTTCTCATTAAAAATGATTTTTTTTCACAAGATGATTGAATATTACAATAGTTTGAATGAATTGGACAATTCTGAAATAATGGCTGGTGACGAGTATGATGAATTAAAGCTGAAAATTCGAAAATTACATGCCATTGATTTGTTTTCAAGATTTAAATTTACCGAAGCTATATCTTTATTTCAATCATTGAAGACTGATCCTTCATTTGTTATTGCTTTATATCCTGGTATATTACCAGATCGATATCGAAATCAATTACTAACTAGTGAACCAATTGTTCATACACCACCATTAGAAGGTGCAATGTTAGAACGAGGTTTATTAACATTGATTGAATATTTAGTCGAAATAAGACAACGAACTCAGAAACAAATCAGTCAACAACAGGAACAAGATAAATCTTCATTGGCAGCTAATAATCTTCGAAAATTTTATGAACTTCTTAGTATAATAGATACAAGTCTTTTGAAATGTTATCTTCAAACTAATGAATCATTGGTTTCATCTTTATTACGTATCGATAATCATTGTCATCTTGAAGAAAGTGAAATGGCTCTTAAAAAACGAGGTAAAACAGCCGAATTAATTATTTTGTACAAAACAAAAGGTTTGCATAAGAATGCATTAAACTTGTTACAGCATCAAGCTCGTGATGGTGCTGCCAAGAATCCGGCTCAAGCTCGTAAACAACTAATACAATATCTACAGGAATTAGGTAGTGATCATTTGAAATTAATATTTCAATATTCTGAATGGATATTACAACAATATCCGGAAGAAGGTATGCGAATATTTATCGATGATGTTTATGTTGATTCACAATCAGCTGCATGGCCAAAAGATGATATTGTTCAATATCTTGAAGCAATTAATCCGGATTTGGCACTTACCTATCTAGATCATTATATTGAAAATCTTAAATGGAATGAAACTTCAACTAAAATGATCGATACACTTATCAACAAATATCGAGATTCTATACGTCCATTGATTGCTCAATATCGTGCTGAACTTCAACAACAAGGTCATAATGATAACCGTATGGAAATTCTTAATACTAATGATGATGAAAACGATACCGAATATCATTATTTAAGACCTGAACCTGCCGGACAAGAACCAGGTAAATTGGGTCAATTGCGGCGTAAATTAATGCATGTATTGGAAATTTGTGATTATTATACAATGGAAACATTGTCTGCCTATTTACTTCATGATGGTCTTTTTGAAGAACGTGCTATTGTACTTGGAAAGATGGGTAATCATCGTGAAGCATTGATGATCTATGTTCATATATTGAACGATTTGGAAATGGCTGAACAATATTGTTGGAAACAATTTAATAAAGCTGCCCATTGTAAAGGTGCCGATCGTAGAGTTTTTTATTATCTATTTGAACAATGTCTTCGTAAACCTATGCGTATGGAATTGTCAAAATATTTGAATGATAACGCCGCTAGTAATACATTCAAAATGTCACTGTTGTTACCAAGTTCGGTTCATGCTTATCTAAATGATGAACGTAATCGATCCATTCTTGCCGATCTAGATCTTAATGTACGAATTGCTATAGCCATATTAGCTCAACATTCTACTCGAATTAATTTGATTGATGCAATCAAATTACTTGATGATCGATTACCATTACAGGCATTATATTTAATTCTACCACCAGCTATACATCATCTTGCAAGTAATCATAATCATAGTCGTATGTTAAGACGATTGCTCAAATCACAAATACTCAAAGTACATCAACAACGAATTCAAGTGGAACAAGCTAGCCGTGTTATTATAACCGGTACAGAAATATGTCAAGCTTGTATGAAACGTATTGGAAAAAGGTAATTGTAGATTTGAATCGATTCTAATTTACTTTTAATTTACTTTTTCTATAAATATATAGTGTCTTTGTACGTTATACAAACAATGATTTGGTTCATCTTGGATGTCGTGATGGTTATGAATTAATGACACAATCAAATCATTGATTCAAATTGATTGAAAATTTTGGTTGTGTGTTGTAAATATCATTTTCATTTTAAATTAATCAAATGATATATAACTTTGTTAAAATTTGTAATTATTTATTATTTGTAACATAATCTTCGATCTTGTTGTTATGTGTGTTTATAGCCTTTGATTTTGTTATTTTTTTTTCTTCGTTCGCCTACTGCCTTACTTTTTTTTACTGTCCTTTTCTCAAATAACGAGGATTGTTTTTTTTTGTTGTAACAACACAACGGAAGAAAACCAAATGTGAACCAAATAATAATATATAATTTCATTCGCTAAATGTCTTATATATTTTAGTCAAAGTATGTGAGAGAGAGTTTATAATTGCATTAATTGCCCCCACACACCAACCAACCAACCAACTAAAATGACACCAAAATGGGCAAGAAACAAGATTGACACAGCTGTGTTAATCGATATAGTCGATATATGTGTGAGAGAAAAAAAAGGGGCCAGATTTTTGTTTGATTGTTGGACAAACACGTGCACACGTGTCCAGATAAAACTTTCCCATGAGATCGGTCCTATTTGACTAAAAACTAAACTAAAAAATGTTCAATGCAGATGTGGTCGACAATGAATACAAAACTGAATACATTCAACAAAAAAAAAAAAAAATTTCACTGTGCGCGCTGTTGGAGACTGGCGCCAGTTACCGGCAATATACAAAAAGATGTCCAGACAAAGTTGAATTCGAACATTTATTTTTTTTCGATTTGTAATGCTACTAGCAATTTGAAGCATAGCATTCATTTTTTTGACAAGTAGTGGTATATGATTGAACATTGGATCAGTGTTTAGGAAATATATCTATAGAGGCCAACGCGTATATAAATTGATCGACACTGTTTATTATGAGTCAAATATTTTACTCAAAAAAATTTTTCTGTTTTGGTTTTTTTCTTTTTTTTTTGCTCATTGTTTTGATCTGTGTGTGTGTGTTTGTGTTTACCTTTTTGAAAATTAAAAACTTGAAAAAAAATTTTTGACTTTGTGTCGATTTTTTTTGGAAGTCACGATGATTATGGAAACATCACAAGCGACAATGACCCAAACATCGGTCAATCAAACAAACGAAATATCTCGTATGTTAAATAAACTGCGGACATTGATTCCGGGAATTCCACCCGAACAAAAAATGTCAAAATTGGAAATAATGCAGCACGTTATTGATTATATTAACGATCTCGAAAATGTTCTCGATCAACAAGGTCAATCGAATGGACCGGATGGTCAAGAAGAAACGAATAAATCTAAAGAAGCATTACGTCAATTAAGGCAATTGGTCAATTGAATAATGGCTACCGAATATATTTATTCTGTCATCATTATTATCATCATCATCATCATCATAGTGTAGAATCCGTATTTCAAGTTGTACGTTTTCGATTTTGGCTTGACTAGTCCTGTGTCACACACATTCGACGACACAATGCGACCATATCGTTTCGATAATCAATTCGCAATTGGCCAATTCATTAAACAACCGGAAAACGGCTATTCGAGAGATTAGCCTGTTGCAATTAATCCTTTCTCTCTCCTTATTTCCTTTGGCAATCATTTGTATACATTTAGCTATATCTATTTGTTTGTGTGTTTACATTAATTCTTTCTTTCTTTCTTTATCAATCTCATTGTAAATAACCGATATTTGTTCACACTTTTCTTTTTTTTTGTAATTGTATCATAATCCATCCGAATCTTCTTCGTCAATGAATGAATAATAAATAAAAAGAATATTCAATTTTAAATGACTAATTTGTGTTTATAATCCATTAATGTCATCAATATGATGATGATCATTGTTGTTGTTGACAAGTGTCATTTGAAAGGCAGGCGTCAATTGCATTTGCTTGACAATAAAATCAAGAAACCAAATAACATCATTGATGATGTTCATGAATTATTTTAACTCGACATTTGTCTTTCTTATGGTTGCGATCTAAATGACCAGATGTGTGTGTGGTGTATGCACTTTTCAATTGATGCATATCATCATGAATGATGTGTGTATTTCGCTACGGATGGTGAATTTTTTCTTCTGGTAAAAGGCATATCATATGTAGCATATGTTCGATGATGATGATGATTATGAAAATGATAGAATATCTCGGGTCTAACCATATGAAAACCAAATTGAAAATGTTGAATGAAATGATTTGCCAGATGACTGAGAATGGATGTTGATGTTTTTCTCTCTCTCTTTCAGAATTTCGATGATCAAACCAAATGTTAACGTAAATTAAATAAATACGAATACGAATGTTCTCTATGCTTTAATGGCAGGTGTTGGTTAGCATCATTAGTTCGTCAATCGTGGCCATTATTGTCTCATAGCGACGACGGTTGTTCTATTGCTTAAAGAATCGGCAACCTAGATGACAAAACTTTTCGAAAAAAAAATTGTGTACAAAAAAGCATAGGGTGCACCTGTGTTATAGACACCTGTTCAGCCATTTGTATTATGCGTGCCGTGTGTTTAAGCACAAGTAATTAAGAAAGAAAGTTTTACAACATTGCTCGCTTTGGGTAGGATGATTCAGATTCTTTTTTCTCTCTCTCTTTCTCTCTTTGTCCAGGTTCATTCAATCAGACCAAAGAAAACAAAAAATGTCAGGTGTGCGGTTCAATTAGCAGAAGCAGCAGCAGCAGCTTTTAAAGACAGCCAAGATGATCATCAAGATGTTTGGCCAATGACCTAATCAATGTTTATAAATCAATATTTTTTTTCGACTAATCGACAGGTGTCAATTAAATCAAACAACAAAAAACAACAAACTTATTATTGTGATTATAGTAGGCCAATAATAATAATAATAACCGGATGGTTCTATGAACCAGGTGTGTGTGTGTGTGTGTATATAGCCAGTAAATAAAGAAGAATCCAGGTGCCAGCCATTTGGAATTGAATTGAATTGTATGAATCCTAATCGGCAATGTCAACCATGCAGATGCCTAAAAAGATTCGCAACTCTTTACCAATTGAAATGAAAAAAAAGGTCTGGATTTATATTTGCGAGCTATGCAGGTGATGTACATGTGTGTGTGTGTTTGATCAATGGCGCCCGATTGTTCGGATAATCGACAAACATTCACAACGTGCACACATTGAGACAGCTGCTGTTGTTGTTGTTGTTGTTCGGTTAGTTAGTTAATAGAGGAATGAATGCTGGTCATATAATGACCATTTGCATCATCAATTAGAATCTTTACCAAAAAAAAAAAAAAAAAAAAAAAAAAAAAAAAAAAAAAAAATGGACAGCCGCCTACGTTACGATTCTGCACCCAAATGAATGCAATAATCATTCACTGAATACATAGCCTGAATGCCTGTTGATAATGATAATGGCCAACATCTGTTGTTAGTTCAGATGAACAAGTGAATTGAATTGAAATGGAATGAATATGTTCCTGTTTGTCAAGTGTGGCCCATATGTGTAAACGTTAATGTTTTTTTTTTGTTTATTTTTTTTTGAAAAACCGAATATTTGATNAAAAAAAAAAAAAAAAAAAAAAAAAAAAAAAAAAAAAAAAAAAATGGACAGCCGCCTACGTTACGATTCTGCACCCAAATGAATGCAATAATCATTGAATACAAAGCCTGCCTGTTGATAATGATAATGGCCAACATCTGTTGTTAGTTCAGATGAACAAGTGAATTGAAATGGAAATGGAATAAATATGTTCCTGTTTGTCAAGTGTGTGTTCCATATGTGTAAACGTTAATGTTTTTTTTTCTGTTTATTTTTTTTGAAAAACCGAATATTTGATACTGGTGTGTGCGATCAAATATCACAATATGCAGATGCCCAAAAAAAAAATCTAAACAAAAAACACGTGTTAAACACCCCACACCATCAACAAACCAAATTGCCATTCTCCAATGTAAGCAAAAATTGACCTAATGCGGAATTTTTTTTTGATATTTGCGTTAAGTTTTTACACACCAGAAAAAAAACAACATGTGTATAGTCAACAATCCTTTTCGGCCAGATGTTGATGATGGCAACATCATACAGACAATGTCAACAAAAAAAACCCAATAAAAATATCGATAGCCAATCGAGTTGTACAAACTTGTATAAACATTGTGGACTATTGACTATTGACTATTGATAATGATGACATGCAGATCAATGGCGACACGATGTCTGTATTGCACCTGTGTGTTTTTTTTAAATAAATATTTTGGCTTCACTATATGTGCCGCATACCATGCTGTGCTCTGCTGTGATAGATCAGGGTAGATCGATTGCTTTTTTGCTATGGACACTTGTTGGTTTGGTTTGCGCTTTGATTTAGTGTATGTAGATTGAATAGCCTCATTCAACCATAATGGTATGCCATTCAAAACATTGAAGAAGAAGAAAAAAACATACAGAGACAGAGATTAGCTTTGTTCATTGACAAAAAAATGACCAATTGCATGAATGGTCATCCACTATGTTTTGTTTGTTCAAATTAAATCCGATTTACGTTTTGAGAATCCGTTTTTTTGTTTCATTTTGCAGATTGACCATTAGTATCGATATCTTGTCATTGATTGTGACAAATTAATCTTTACACATCATTGCAAATTATGGCTAATCACATCATCATCATCGACGACGACGACAATCGATTACATGCCAAACATATGTTTTCGATACGAATGTATGGCGACGATGATTATGATTATGATGATGATGATGACAAGATAACCACCATCATATCACCACGCATTTGATTTGCCACTGTTTTTATCAAACTAAAAAATGAATGAATGGATGGATGGATGGGTTGAAAAACATCGAATCGTAAATATAGAACGAACCAAATTTGGCTATCATCACCACCAGCAGGAATGTGTTGGCGTCATTTAACAACTATTCATCGTCAACTACCAAACTTATTATTGTATTATTATCGATAAACTATGGATAAACAAAAACTTTGTGTGTTTGGCCACTGACACCTGTGTGTGAATAGATTGAACTGTTTGGTCCATCATCATCATATGTTTCATCACCTGTTCAATATAATCGAATCATTTTTAGCCCCTTTTTCCTTTACCATTCATTCAGAGATTGATTGATTGATTGATCTTGTTCATCATCATCTGATTCTCATATAAGGTAAAATTGATTCAAAATTCAATCCCATCTGTTTTTTTCATTCATTCATTCGGATCAAAAACAAATGAATGAATGAATGAATGGCCATTTGTAGTACGTATTTGTAGGGCGGAAGTGTCACCTACACTAAGTATTTTTTTTTCGTTGAATAATAAGCTGCCTGGTTGTACATTGCAACTTTGATTTGCTGTAGAACCCAAGATGTGATGATGAAAAAGACCATATTTAGCCCTAGCTTGATCAAATGGTCAAATCGAATGACTGGACACACAATGATGACCATATCTTTGTCAATAAGAATGAAATAGGAACGCCAACGCGTGTTTGATGATGATGATGATGATCGTTTGATTTTCATCTCATCTCATTCTCAAGTTGATTTTTTTAAACCAAGGACGCCTACCCTATTCATTCATTCATTTCTGGACCCGTGTGGGTTTTTTGTTTTTTCGTTTGTTTGGCAATCACACATAATACATATAAAAAAACCAGAAAGAACAAAGCGTGTAGGAGTTTTTATTTTTCTCCTAAAAACAAACCCAAATTCTCTACTTTTGATAGTCGATGATGATTGTTGAGGATGTGTGTGTGTGTGTGTGTGTGTGGTTGTCATCGTAGGTAGGCCAAGTGTGTGTGTGCCTCCAAGCATCCATCCAAACATCCACACACACACATGGCATACAGTGGCCAACAACCTGTGGGCAGATTAAAAAAATTGTCTGAATCAAATAACGATAGAAAACCATATGAACATCGGCCTAATCTACATGGATCATTTTTACCAGATCTAGATCCTATTGAAACTTTGAATCATCATTTTCCCCTTATAACCATTAATAAGTAAAAAAATTAGCTTCTGAATCTTCACCATAATGATCAATAACCAGCATTTAAATTGAACAGATGGTTTCGTCAAAAAAAAAACAACATTTTGGCGCCCACAATCAAATATGTATGTATGTATGTGATTAGTGTCAATTCAAAAAGTTTCAAAAATGAATAAAATAAAATAAAGTAAGCTTTTCTCATAATCATAATCATCACTAAACATGTTTAACGGAAACGGTGGCGGTTCGATTATACAAACAAAAAAAAAGTATTTTTTCGGCTTGGTGGTGGTGGTGGTGGTGGTGATATTTTGGTATTTTGTTTATTTTTTTCATACAACAAAAGCGTATTCATAGGTCATAGGCGCCAGTTAGTCTGGCTCACACCTGCATTACAACAGGAGAAAAAAAAATCTGTTCGTCTTTTTCTATATGTTCAAGAATGTGTATTTAGTGTATTGGTTAGCGTAGTGGCCATAAAAAACAAAATCACCAATCATCAAATGGGTCGGCTTCGATTGTTGATTTCAAGCAAAAAAAAAAAGTGGGGCCAAAACCATCATCATCGAAGTTCAGTTCAATTGGGTTAATCTGGTCATTGATGATTATGAACACTTGTTGTTGGACCACATCAGTATTCACTTCTCCTGTCAATATTGACCAATAACACACACACACAAATATAGCCTATGTGTTTTTTTTTCTGAAGGATCCGGCTCCTGGTCTATATCTATCTAACCATCATTATTATTACAATTTTACACGGCATTTTCGTTTTCGTTTTTCTTTCTTTTACGGGTCCTTACAAGGTCTTGTTGTTATTTTCGATTGAAAGGTCAAACCCCAAATATTGATGATGATCACTTATGTGTTAGGTATTAGGTTAGGTTAGCTAGTAGATTGAAATCATAAGGTCGACCTTTTAGCTTTGGGCTTGGTTTTTTTTTGTATTAATATTCCCACCATTCATTTCTTAGTCACGAAACACACATTAACACACGGGTTTATTCTATTGGTATAATGACAACCAACCAACCAAACAAACAAACATTCCAATCGGATAGAAACAAATCACTGTTGCAATGGTCTGGTCTGATATTTGAAAATTTACCTGGCTCCCATCCAAAACTAACTAATTAGTTTAATTAATAGTTTTAGAATTAGTAATATGCCTTGAAGCTAAACACCTGTGTGTGTGTGTGTGTGTTTTTCTTTCCTTAATTATATAATTTAAATAAATAATTTACTAACACTTTACACACAGGTGAGATAATACTAATCACGTGACAATCACAAATGATTGTTTTTCGTCGAAAATTCTTTGTTTTTTCTGAAAAAACTGATTCTATTCCGAAGAAATTTATCGACAAACAGACACAGACCAAATGATTATTATCCGAATTCAGAGCTGTCAAATTTGTTCGCCAACGCAATAATCAAACAGATCAAATCTGGTCTGGCCCACGTTTGATAATAATGATGATGACGATCACTGATGATGTTATGTGTATGGTTCCAAATAGGGACCGATTTCGATTTCGATTCGTGGGTTGTTTTTTTTTTCTTCAAAAAAAATCATCCTACGCACATCCGTCCACCCCAAAAATGCCTACACACACACAAATGAATACTCACTAAGGTCAACATTGCTGTCACACACACACACAAACAACCCACGAACTGACCCAAGAAACTTTCATTTCTTTACCATCTGAAGATGTTTTTTAACAGACTAAACACGGTCACAATAATAATAATTTTCATTTGATGATTAGACCAAAACATCACGTACCGTGGGCATGGCTTCCGAAAAAACAAAAAAATTGAGTCACTGAGCCAGATCGTTGATTGAACATCATATACCATCTAAAGGCATCCAGGATGATTTTTTCTTCTTCTTTCTGACCGTTGACCTTATCTGATTTGGTGCAGATTTTTGTTTATCGGGTCAAAGGTTGACTTGAAGAAAGGAACAGTATGGACCAACTATCACCTGGCAGGTTTTTTTTGCTAAGCAACGGCCATCACTCTCACTCATTTCATTTCATTTATTGATTTATTTATTTATTTGTCAATGCACTTTGACCTGATATTTTTTTGTGATATAAGTATGAAACAAGTAGCTTTTCTTCTTCTTTTCTCGCTTTTTGTTTAATTCTCAAGGACAGTGGCCAAATTTTTCTTCATTTTTTTTTTTTTTTTGGATGTCATGGATAGGTCAATACACCGTTGTTGGTTATGACGATGATGATGAAACCAATGATGAAATCAATGACCTAATCGGTAGCTTGAATTGTCATATTTCCGGCTTGCTTATTCAACTGCTGATCAATCGACTGTGACAATGACAAACGCCCCCACCTTTTTTTTTATTTTGTGACATCAATCCGACGGTAGCCATCCTGTTATCTCAATCATCATACGTGGCGAACACGTGTTTTCTCACACTTTTCTTTCTTTCGTTTTTTTTCTTTGAAACCCTCAAAACTTTCGTGGTCCAGATGCCCATTTACCCAATTATTATTATTATTAGTATAAAATGTTTATGTCAGACAGCTGCTTGTTGATTTGGTTCCCACAGGATTTTTTGTTTTTTACGTAAAAAACAAAATAAAAATGCTGTTTAAGTGATTTGAATGAATGGATTTGAAATCCGGTAACAGTAATAAGGTAACTGTAATATGTAACTGTTGCATATATCCTAAATAGGACCTATTGGTTAACTGATCGCCACTCCTTTATAAACTTAAAACAACAAGGGGTTAAAAAAAATCTTTCATCCACCAATCTTTCATCCAAGAAGTTTAACGAAACAAAATTTCTTCCGGTTTTAGGCTTTTTTTTTGTCATTTTTGGAATTAATGGTTGACAGATGCTTGATGTAATAATCATCATTAACCATGGATTAACCATGATGGACGGTCACGTCTTTATGTGAAGAAGAATCGTCCGAATGGAACGAAACGGAAGGCAAAGAAAAACGATGCCAACAACGAAAAAATAAAATAAAAAAAATTTGATAACTTTACCATTCACCTGGCTGCTGCTGTGTGCCATATGCTCATTGCTTAAGCAAGCAGCACAAAGCACCTGTGTTTGTCTATGTCTGTGTATGTGTGTGTGTGTGAATCTGATGTTTCACCTGAGAAAAAAAATGAATATATTCACAATATGTTTTTTTCATTTCATTTCATTTCTGGTCATGCGAACAAACATGATGATGATTCGACCGATGGCCATATGGCACCATCCATCCGTTGAACCGATCTGATCGATGGATGAATGAATGAATGGATGGATCCCTTTCAACTTTTTATCCGTTTGGCCGTTTGTTTGTTTGTCTGTATGCGTGTGACTCCCAAATGGTGATTTTTTTTTTATATCGATAAACATCTGCTTGGCTACAGTTGGCCGGCTGTCTTTTCTTTCTTTCTCACTCACTAACCAATACTGTGATTGATTCATTCGATGAGAAACAGAACTACATTTGCAAAAAAAACAAAAAAAACCGTTGTCCAAAAACCGAAACTGGCTCTGTATAGTAGTCGTACACATTCCTGGCATATCTTTTTCAGTTATTGTTATCGTTTTTTCGGTTATTGGCCGCTGCTGCTTGTTGTTTCATTCAAAGGTCACACACTTTAGTGAACGTGTAAAAGCAGATGCACGAGCAACAAACAGCGAAAAAAAGGGTCCCAGGTTCGATAAACACGCGAAACATTATCGGTTGGAAAAAATTTGCATCATTTTGAAAAAATTGAACAATTTTGATTTTAGCCAGGATTTAGATGATGGACAGATGTGTTTATGGACCACCAAGAAACGAAAGAACAACAACGAATGTTTCTAATAAAGTAATTATCGTTGATGATAGAGTCAATGGTCACTATTGACTATTGTTTTTTTTTTTTGACTTTTTTTCCAGTAGTGGACATCGATCGATTAACGTCTTATAGTTTTTTAACATTCACCTGGCCCAAAAAAAATCAGACCATGTTATCGATGCGATGCTCGAAGAAATTGATCCTTCCAAAAAAACGAAAATTTTGGTCAACATACTGCATAGTCACGAAATTTTTTTATTCGAAAAATAATAATCTTTGAAGGGCATAAGCAATCTGTGAGGTCCTTTTGGGATTATTATTTTCTTTGGACAATCATGTCTGGCTTTTTGTTGTTGGTATTTTCAGTCATTTGGTCAGCTACTGTCATTGACTATATTTGGCTGTTTGACTATATGCTGACCATACTGTGGTCAAATCTATGTATAAGGCCTTGCACACAAAATAATAATAATTTGAATGGTGCCCGACCAAATGGTGGTTAATTAAGTGATTGACCTATGACCTATTCGACCGATAAATGATAATCATGGATACCAGATGCCATTTGTTATTGAAACCTTTTTTTGTTTTTTGGATTCGGTTAGATTCAACGATACAAACCAGCTGCCATTCTGGCCTCTCATTTAGAGTAATAGCGCCCGCATCAGATACACACACAAAAACGCAAATACATAAACGGATCGCTGGGTCCCACACATATGTGACCGTTTTAGTTGAGATGTCACACACAAAAACACATGCAAAAATGAATATGAAAAAACAGTAGCATCTGGTTTTTTTGGCCGTTTTGATCCTATGGCCATATGTTTTCCCACACACCAAATTTATAACCGGGAAACCGTTGTTTAGTTGTCGGTTGGTCGGTCGGTCGATCGATCGACCACCAGTAGCAGCTGTGTAATATTCGATATTATCATCATCATATGCGTGGGACACATGGACCCGATTAGATCCCAGGCTAATCGAATCAATGTGGTTACTGTTTTTTCGCGCACACCTGTTTGTCCAGCAACCGATGATGACCGTTTCCACATTCATACGACTAGATGTCACTTAATATATCAGGCGACAGATGCTTATTACATAGGCCCTCCCCCGATTCCCATGAGATTTTTTTCGTTTCGTCTATTCCATTCATTTACGGGTTCCAGATTGCATTCAACGTTAAACTAAAAAACCTGGCCAACTGCTTCAACTGCTGCTGCTGCTATATGTGGATGTTGAACATTGACAGACAGACAATCTGTGTTCTGTTACCAATATAGACAAAATATATACTGCCAGCAGCTTCTCTAAACATTTGTTACAAACAGACGAATAGATGGATTGAATTGAATCTTTTTTTTTTTGTTGAGAGAGTATATAAATGGACTTTTTCAGCATCGAATGGCCATTCATTAAAGCACATTGACTGACTGACTGTGCACATGAAATTTTTCTTTTTTTTTTTGCATTCCGGAATCATCGATTGATTGATTGACCATCAAGGCGCCATTAAATTATTGACTAATTTGAATTGTGAAAAGTCTGCCAAATCAAATCATTATTATCATCAAAATTTATAATTAAAGAATCCAATGAAGAAACAATTATCATCATCATCAAATTCATTACAAATTACCAAAAAATCACCACACGAAAATATGGTTATTCATAATCGAAATTCATCCAAGATCCAACGATCAAATCGTTGTAAAATGCTTACTGCAAATCAACAACATCAACGACAATTAGATCGTCAAGAAATGCAATCATTATTGGCAAAATTAAAACAATTAGTACCCGGTATACCTAAACATCGTCATTGTTCAAAATTAGAAATTATTCAACATGTTATTGATTATATATTTGATCTACAAACTGCATTAGAACAACATCCAATTGCATCAACATTAGCTGCATCTGCACTTGCCACTGCAGATTTTATTACCATCACTACTAATTCGGCTAATATTCAAAATCATTCAATGCGAACATCACTGTCACCTGATTCGCATCAACAACAACAACAAAATCAAACATCACCAATATTAACGACCGCAACAATATCCTGTGATCGTTATCTTAGTATGACGACAACAACAACCACCTTATCGCATGGCCATGCGATGGCAAATATTACAACAATACCGCAACAACCGCAACCACCATCACATCATCATCAATCATATCAACATCAAAATCAATCAAATTTACCGCAAAGGATACCTGGTTCAAATAGACAACCATTAGCATCAATTGTTCTTTAATCTATTCATACCTCTCTTTTCCCATAATATTTGTATGATAATAATAATAATAATAATAATAATAATCGTTGTCGTTTTAATTTAACACTTTTACCTCCATTCATTTCATTCTGTCCATAAATTTCTTTCTGTTTTTTTTCTGTTATTTTTCTTCAGTCAAGTTTTTGTTGTTGTTGTCAAGTGCAACCACACATAATAATGATGACCAAGATTGATTTTCACATGATTGATTCGAAAGTAGATTAGGTGAACATAGCTTTATTTATTAAAAATTTTTATCATTGATGGATTATACACAGAACACACACACAAAACATTCATTATTGTTTCATTTTCAATAATAAAAAAATCATATTATTAAAAAAGGATATCTCATTTTATTTTGATTCTTTTGATATTTTTTAATGGTTTGAACGTGTGAAAGACTGGTATCATACCATATCCATACACACATTGATTGATTATCATCATTAGTATATGAATGACATATGGCGCCTTATTTTTCGTTATTATTAGTCAACGATACGAATCAATGACCATCAATTCATGTCATACAATGTCATGGATACCATATGTCATTTTGTTGTTGTTCGCACATACACACACACACACCGAAACGAATATAGCATATGGCGCCCCGTCGGTCATTACACTACCATAGAGGATATTCTCATGAGAATATTTTTTGTAAAAAAAAATAAAATAATAAATCCGGGTTTCTCACGGAACCAAATTGTGAATGACCAATGACAAAAAAACTTCGTGAGAAAGCCGGAACTATCCAAAAATCAACCCAACAAACAAGCAAAACATTGAATCTAATCTGGGCGACAATCATTCAAGGTCACACAATCCTCCTATGTATGTGTGTGTATTTCCGGTCGATTTGAATAATGAAATTGCGAAAAACATTTAATCAAGCAACAGCAGCAGCCATTAGATTTTTTTGTTTAAAGAATGATTGATCTAGCTGATTAATCTGGTCTCTTTTTCTTCTTCCCCCCACACTCGTTTGACTTGAGCTAGCAAGCTGTTTCCGGACCAATAATAAGTTGTGTCAAACCATATGTCGTATGTGTGTGTGTGTGTGTGGGCATCTTAAACTTGAAAAATAAAAAAATAAAAAAAACGATCAACGATAAATGAACATTTGGCTTGGTTAACTTGATTTGATTCAACAACAACATTCCAATGGCAGGAATTGTTTCTTACTTACTTACAAACTAACTAATATTGATTGGAACAGCTTGGTTTATTGGCGATCGAGGTGAAACATATGTCGTATCATACAGAGCAGGATTGAACTAAAAATTTTTCGGAAGTGATAATGGCAACCACACGAACACATGGTTCATACCTGGTTGTTTTTTTGGTCTTTTGGGTTATGCAAGTCAACAGAAAGTGACAGAAGAAGAAGTGACAGCTGCATCCATCTGGTCTACCATTCTAATATCTTTCTTTCTCTCTCACTCTGTCACTAGGTTAGCAAGACTCATTCATGGCCGAACAACAATAATCATCAGATATCAATGCCAACCCTTTGGACTATTGTCATCGTCGTCGTGCGCCTAGCCTTTGTTTGCCCGACAAAAACTAACAAACCAAACCAAACTAATCCATTTCCCCCTTATTAGTTAGTTAGCTATAAATGATGAAGGTGAAGGCCAGATTGACTTACTTACCTTACTTACTTAATAGTATGGGCTTGAACGCTTACGGTTTCTTTTTTTTTGCTTTATTCAATAATGCGATTACATTCAATGTTAACAATCGTGCATATCAGTTACAGAAAAAAAATGAAAAAAAAATATGGTCGAATCGGAAGTGATCATTATGGACTATTGCCTTTAGGCAATTTGTCACTTCTTCTTCTTCGAAACAATCCGGTTGAGATGATGATGGTGATAAAAGGTGATAAATCTGGTAAAAATCGACACGTGCCAAAATCACCTGGTCATCAAGAAGTTTCACTACCACCACTAACACTAATAATGGTAAGAAATTGGCCCTTTTTTTCTTTTGCTCATCATTATCATCATAACTTTTTTGCTACAAAAAACAGCTGGCCAATATTTTCTTGAAGACGTTCCGCTAAGACAATCTGTTCCAATAATCTATGTCGGTCTGTCGAAAATGGGGCCCTAATCGAAATACAATGACTGCCGCGTATATTTGTTCAAACATTTGGCCAAAAATCGATCCAAATTGCCAAAAATGAGCCATTAGGTTTGTCGTTTTCTATTTTGGAACAGATGATACTTTATGCGAAGAAGAAAGAAATGAGACAAATTCTCAAAAAACTCGTGGCTATCCAATTATCATAGCCATGTGTTTATATGTTTTTGATGTATGGCAGTTACGAAAATTTTTGATTTAATTAACCAAAAACAAACAGCTGTTATTTGGTCTCATCTGCAATTTTATATCCATGTTTTTTTGTCAGTGTGACCACACATACACAGAAAAAAAACATGGCCACAGATAAGCCATTTTTTTTGTTTTAGCCAATTGACAAGATGTTCACGACCAAAAACAGAAAACAAAAAAATCAACCAAATCAATGATTTAATAATCAATGTGATAATCAGACCTTGGCCTTGTTTTTTATGCAATTCAAACGATGATGAGAGATATTTGAGAAAAAACAACAAATATTGTCTGGGTCAACCTGGTCCAGTGTTAACCTTTATTCCTTTCGATTGTTTTTTTTTGGTATTGAAATGTAGTGTCAATGAGAAAATTGATTTTCGATTACGTTTATTTTTTCACCAAAAAAAAAAAATCGATTCAAATAATTGTAACAAAACTGACTTGACTTGACACAAGAATGAGTCTATCTATCGATCTAAATTTGCGAAAAAAAAATGAGAAATCGATACTTTTGACGGGTATTTTTTCTTGAACTTCAGTCATTATGTTAATTATGTGATACCAGAACTTTTTTTTTTTTTTTTTTTTTTTTTTTTTGCTAGAATTCAAATCAAGTCTTTTCTGGCTGGGTAGAAAAATTTTTTTGGTTCCTTTTATTTTTTTTNATGTATGGCAGTTACGAAAATTTTTGATTTAATTAACCAAAAACAAACAGCTGTTATTTGGTCTCATCTGCAATTTTATATCCATGTTTTTTTTTGTCAGTGTGACCACACATACACAGAAAAAAACATGGCCACAGATAAGCCATTTTTTTTTGTTTTAGCCAATTGACAAGATGTTCACGACCAAAAAAACAAAACAGAGAAAAAAATCAACCAAATCAATGATTTAATAATCAATTTGATAATCAGACCTTGGCCTTGTTTTTTATGCAATTCAAACGATGATGATGATATTTGAGAAAAAACAACAAATATTGTCTGGGTCAACCTGGTTGGAATGTCCAGTGTTAACCTTTATTCTTTTTGATTGTTTTTTTTTCTTATTGAAATGTAGTGTCAATGAGAAAATTGATTTTCGATTACGTTTATATTTTTCATCCAAAAATCGATTCAAATAATTGTAACAAAACTAACTGACTTGACACAAGAATGAGTCTATCTATCGATCTAAAAAAAATGAGAAATCGATACTTTTTTGACGGGTATTTTCTCTTGAACTCAGTCATTATGTTAATTATGTGATACCAGAACTTTTTTTTTGATTGTTTGTTTGTTTGCTGGAATTCAAATCAAGTCTTATCTGGCTGGATAGAAAAGAGTTTCTGGTTCCTTTCATTCAATTTTTTTCGGGTTTTCTTATCTTGTTGATTGGACATTATTGATAAGAATTCTGTTCACAAGAAAAAAAAAATCTCTAATTCTCTAATTAATGACATGCGCATGTGTCATTCGAACACCAAAAAAATTTTTTTGAATGTGACCGGAAGAAAATGGTTTATTTTCAATGGTTCGATTCGGGTTTTTTTTCTGGTTCGGTTTGTTGATAAACATGGAAATCATTTTAACTGGCGCTGGCCTAATTCGACTGGAATTTCATTTCTCCCCCCGCTTATGTTATATTAAACAAGCTGGCTAATTCAACAAAACATAACAGATGTAGCCAAGACTCCCAGAGAAACTTAACACTTGTCCTTTCTTCTTCATGTGGTTCTCATAGGATTCGATCCAAATGTTTTTTTTTCCTTTTCTGGTTCTTCTTGATGTATTATTGTTGCTCAATCGACTTGAATTTTTTTTTCTGTTGTTTTGGAGTTGTAAGCCAGTCACTATGTTTCATTTGGTTCTGGCATCTATAGATCAAATCTTATCGGATATCTGGTGTATTTTAATGCAGCTGCTTTTGTTTTGCTTTTATGTTCAATGAATGTTATGGTGGCACCAGGATTGGCAGGAAAAGGATTCCCTGTTTTTTGCTGTTGTTGCTTTGCCTTGTATATGCGATCTGTGATCATTCAAAATTTTTTTTTGTTTTTTTGTAATCGCTTACCGATTGCCAGACAAATTTCGATTTGATTCGATCCATAAGTTGCTAATGTTGTTGATGGAAGTGAAAACGTGGTCCAGATGGCTCCAGGTCAATTTTCTGGCCCAAACCATGTGGAAATAAGCCAGAAACTTGAGATAACTTGAATACTAAACTGAACTGATAAGTTCCAGGACGCGCCATCTGGTCTATTGCTGTATCGAAATTCAAAAAAAAAAATTTCTGGTCTATTTACCTCAACTGCTGTTGCTGCTGATACTGATGATGTTTTGGTTGTTGGCGGCGGCAGAATCGATTCATTCAAAATGTAAGCGTTTGATATCAAATGGCCAGCAAATATAAAACGGACCTTGGATTGGTTGACTTGACTGGTTGATCGTAAATCTTTTTCTTGCATCTTGTGTCCGTCCATCCATTCAATATTCAACATTGTCGACCAAGCGAAAANGCCAGAAACTTGAGATAACTTGAATACTAAACTGAACTGATAAGTTCCAGGACGCGCCATCTGGTCTTTTGCTGTATCGAAATTCAAAAAAAAAAAAAAAAAATATTTCTGGTCTATTTACCTCAACTGCTGTTGCTGCTGATGATGTTTTGGGTTGTTGGCGGCGGCAGAATCGATTCATTCAAAATGTAAGCGTTTGATATCAAATGGCCAGCAAATATGAAACGGACCTTGGATTGGGTTAACTTGACTGGTTGATCGTAAATCTTTTTCTTGCATCTTGTGTCCGTCCATCCATTCAATATTCAACATTGTCGACCAAGCGAAAAGAAAAACATTCGACATTAGACATCTTTTTTTTTACAAAGATCGAAATGCAAAATGCATTGGGGCAAAAAAAGTTTTCAAATACATCTGGCGTCATCATTTGCACACACACACACACCAGTTGGTTTAAATCAGTCGCAAGTTGACGAGGCGTCATCACCATGTGGCCATCATCATCATCAGCAACAGTAACACCGGTGATTTTAATTGGTTTTAAATACCATTGGCTGCTGCTGTTGTTGCTGCTAAATAGACGCCTAATTCTTTCGATTGCCCGATAGGTTGACGATCAAAGCGGAAAATTTTTTCTTTTTCTTTTTTGAAACAAGCTGTGATGCTAATCGCTTTAGTTTTTGGGTTTTGGTATGCATGTCTCCCTATGTAATTTTTTCTTTCGCAAAAAAAAAACAACTTTGGACAGCTGTGGACAACACCACCACCATCACCGTTAGTAAATGCCATTCACGGATCCATTGATGCACACATATAACCAACAGATGTATGGCGCCAATCTCCCCCTTTACACCCCCAAAAAAGCTCTTAACAGCTTTTGGCCAATCATCATTCACAACAAACATAGAACAGAATCGATCGATCTGGATTTCGATTTCAATTATTGGACAGGCTGGTTTTCCTTTTTCCTATGTGAGGTGTATAATTGGAAAGAACTGGAAGGGGGAAGAGAATAATAAGAAAAGAAAAGAAAATATAGAAATGTGGGGGAAAAAACATGTATTTTTTGTAATTAGGGTTTTTTTTTGTGTGAATTAGTGAAGCAAATGTTGTCGTTTGTTTGTTGGTTGGTCGTCATCGTCATTGGTTCCATCAATTGATTCGTTTATTTGGATATTTTTATTCGTTTTTTTGATGGTCCAGATGTATTGCGAATGGCAATGTGAATCCATACACACACACACAATGAGCCCCGATTGGTAAGAGAATAACGCCAGATGAGACGTTTGAATTCTTTCGTTTTTTTTTATATTCATTCTCCTGGTCGTCGCCTAACTAACACTAAAAACACACACACTTTGAATTCTCATCATCTGGTTTCGTGTATGTGTGTATGTGTGTGGACGCAGATGTTTTGTTTCTTTCAAAATTCTTCTTGTCGTTGTTATTTTTTTTTTTTTTTGGTTTGGCGTGTGTGTTATGTTTGGAAAATCCAAGAATCTGGTTTTGTCGGCTGAAATTTTCGTTTTTCTTCATTCATTTCAGTCTTAGCCTATCGTGTTTCTTATATGTGTTTTGTTTGTTTGTTTGAGTCTGATTGCTTGTTGTTGTTGTTGTTTTTGTCGCCAAACACAACCAACAAAAATTCTGGGTTAATCAAGTCAATTATACCAAGCGAGAGAGAATGAGAGAAACTTCAATCAACAATATTCACAAATCAAATTCAAAGATTAAAAAAAACATACGATAATGGTGTTGGACATAATATAGTTTCCTATAGGGAAATGAATCGGTTTTAGTTTTGGATTCCGTCCATGATATACACATGTGATTCATTGTTGGACAACTGTGAATCAAATTGGCGCCAAATGGTTTTCTATTTTTTTCTTCTTTTGTGTTAGCCAATGTCACATATGGACACTATAGGGCATCAGGTTTGCTTAATGAATCTACGAAATGGATGGATGAATGTTTTTTTTTGCCAATAAGCAAGACAGATGGCCAAAAAGAAAAAAGAAAATGATGGAAGCCATTTGTCGCCAAAACAAAATGCCAATCACATCACAAATGTCAATTTAATATGCTTTTCTTTTTTCTTATATTATCTTAGACAGCTTGATAAAAAAAAATCACGTGTGTATGTGTCTCAATCCATTTGGTCCCTTTTTTTTTTGATGCAGCTGAATCCATTTCAGAGATAATTCAATTAACCACATCCCGTATATATCATACATCATACAGAGATACATCACCCTCAGAAAAACTTTCAGAAATACATACACAGCTAAAGAATCCAGTCACATGGCCCCTTTAACATCTGGCTTTGATTTGTTTTAGCGTTGTTGTTGTTGTTGCTGCTGCGAAAAAAAAACGGTCGGTCAAATCTGGCCAAAAATTTTTTCTATTTGATCGGGCAACCAACAACCAAAAAAATACATCTGCTTGTTTGGCCACATTGAGACATCTGTATTAAAATCGATTGCGAGAACGTGTCCACCAACGCGCGCATCTGCGTTAATTCAAAAAAACAAAAAACCAAAAACCAAAAAAATATTCAACGAAATTAGAATGATGACATTTTGGAACCCCGAATGTCGACAAAAAAAAGAGCAGGTTGTCACCAGAATGATGCCAAACAACAACATTTGTCGATATTCGCCAAGAACCAGATGTATCGCCTGGAACAAACATACACACACCTGGATCGGATGATGTTCTTGATCAAAAACCGAAAATTATTTTCCAAATGGATTTTCCATTTTCCAAATTTTCCAGCTTTAGATTTGTCGTTTGTCTGAGGACACGTGTCCATAGACCGGAGGTCAGCAACGGTCAGCAAATAAAATAAAACACGTGTCCTGTGTTTGACTATACCGTTTTTTTTTCATTTTTGATGACCTTGATGCAGTAGATCTGGTCTATGGATGGTTCAATGGATGGCTGGATGTTAGCCAAGAAAAAAAAATGACGCCTAGAGAAAGATCTGGATTTTGCGCCATACTGGCTGGCTGATTCTGGGCTCTTAATCCATCATTTTGATCATCATCATGTTGAATAAAGAATAGATTGCATTGTGCGTATTGGTGTAAATAAATGCCAAACAACATCAACAACATGCCAATCAAATATGAATGAATGAAACCACTGTCTCTCTGTCTCTGTATTCTGTAACTCACTTGGTGGTGTTGGCCAGAAATCCAGAAATCCAGCCAGCCAAACATTCAACAATAAGACAATCGGAAGCAGTCCTACTGACTGGCAAATTATGACTATTGGTGTGAACTATTGTTATTCAGAGAATGTAGCATTGTCTGCAGTTTTTTTCTTCTGTGAATTTTCTGAAAATGACTGCCTGCTATTATTATTATTATTATGGTGGATGCAACAAACAATAATCCGACCATTTTCAGCATTCTGTTGCCGCATTTCTGCATTCAATCAACAAACACACACGCACACTACAAACACCATTCATATACCCCATAGACAAACGATTTGATTCAAAACAAATTTTGAATATAAGAAATCATAAACATACTGACAAATATCACCAGATATTCACCAAAAACAAAAAACCATACAAGTATGATCCATATTCATCGAAATATAATGTTAATAATGATCACTCCTCGAGAATCCATCGAGACCAATCAAACAAGCAACCAATAATGGACGCTTTCAAATCGGAATCTGAAAATACACACGATGAAAACCAGATTTTTTTTCAATAGCTAAATACAAATCTGGAATGCAAAGGTTGTTTGTTTGTTTGTTGGGATGATCAATTTGTATGTTTTAAACAACACTGTGATTGACATATTGACTTGATATCTGGCCTCTTTCAATCTATCATCAACCAATCAATCGATTCGATTTGAATGAATGAATATTCGGCCGTTGTCTTCAATCAAATCAAATCAAGAAAAAAACAAAAATTCATTAAATGCCAAACAATCATGGTGCTATAGTTATTTGGCATCAATTTACGCCGGATATGATTAAAATGTTTGGATGAACGAAAAGAAGAAAAAAAAATCGTGATGAACGAAAGTAAAATGACAGCCGTGTATGTTTTTATTGATGTGTGTGTGCCCTATGGTCTACCAATGTTATGGCTAAAATAGAAGAAGTTATGTTTTACCTGGCTGGTTAGTTGTGTGTGTGTGTTTGTACGAAAACATTCACAGCACCTGTTTGTGGCGGCAAAGAAAAAAAATTCATTGATAAGAATGAATGAATGTTTTTTTTTATTACAATTAGGCCTAGAAGGTATGAAATGGAAAAATTGGCTTACCCATAAGGACCGTAAGAAAAGACTATTTTTTTCTATTTTATTGAATGAGACTAGACTTAATGATCGTTCACTGTGGTATGTTGAATGCTTTTCAAAAAAAAAAACATTCAACATTCAACATACAACAAAACAAGGGTAGACAGGTAAAATTCTCAGGTGTTGTCAAGACAGACTGGCGTCGTTTTTTTGTTGTATTGGTATTCGGCATTTTACTTTGTTATGTCGATTATGTTGATTTTTCATTTCATTTTTGCCTATTGTTATTGGCCTATGGGTCCTATGTATTCGTTTTGTTTGTTCGATTGATTTGTTAATAGTAGGATAGGCTAAAGGTAAGCAAAAGGCAAGCAACAAGTGTATTGTTGTTGATGATGATGACCAACCCGATGATTAGCCAAAAATGTCTTAATCAAAAAAAAAAAAAAAATGTTACTATCAAAAAACATTAATCATGACACACACATACACAGCCTTTTACAATATTGCGCCCATAAAACAAAACAATGGCTAGTTTGGATTTAATGAATGCAATACTACTCAAATGGTTAACTTTAAACTGATACATGATCTATTGTTTTTTTCACTGTTTGTTTGTATGTTTTTTTTGAATTGATTATCTAATATGATTATATAACAAATTATACAATAATAATCAACCATGTGATGTGTTTTTTTTTATCATGAAAAAAAAAATTCTAATGTAATGTTATGGTATGTTATGGATAGCACCCATAGTTATCGACTATTGCCAGGTATCTTTGATATGGCTCCAAATGATGCTATGGTGATGTGCGTCTGTGTCTGTGTTTAATGGACTAATGTGCACAGATGTTATCAAAAACTAAGATGATATTATCCTAATGAATAATGAATTTTTTTTTCGGGGGGATGGAAAGAGAGAGAGAGAGAGGAGGGAAAAAAGACTGGATTAATTCATGTTTACTGCTGAAAAAAAACATGACCCAATAGATTTGTCTTTTTTTTCGCATGTTTTGTAAATGGACAAAAAAAAATCGCATCTGTTCAATCAGCCGATCGGAATGTTAGGATTTTTTCTGTTCATATTCATTCACAATCACTCCCAATAGGGCAGATATCCATTTGGGAGTTTGCTGATAAAAAAAAACAAGATGACGCATCATCATTGGCAGATGTGATGTGTCGCTAATATGTCATCAAATTTTGACTATTTTAACAATATCATCATCATCAGCGTTGGTTAATGGCTCGTATCAACTATGTGGACAACCAATTTCGATTGGTCCTCGATATTTTCCAAGAATCATTTCATAACCAGACGTTTTGTCTCAAGTCTTCTTTCTTTTTTTTCTGTCAAAAACAAAAAAATTGGTAAATGTCATTCTGTGTGTGTTTGTGTGTGTGAGAGAGCAGGTGTTCAATGTTAGACCGGATAATCAGAATTATTGTAGAAAAAAGATACAGGCAAAGACAATGATGATGAGAACATGTGCACCATTGATTTTTTTTTTGTTTTTTGGACCTGATTTGGCTCCCATTTTGTATATGGAAACTTGTTTCAATCGGATTCGATTTACAACAACAAAAAAAAATAAAGAAAAATTTTCGAAATTCAATTCGATTAGTCGATTGATATATGCTGGTCAGATGGGGCTTCGTTTCTTTTCTCTCCCAATATTATATTAGAGTTGGCCGACCCGATTAATCGAATTCGATCCTAACTAACTAACTAAATCCACCATTCTTTTTTTCTCTTTCTTTCTTTTTACATTTCTCAGTATCTGGATGGCAGATTGCATTCAAAAGTAAAAAAAAAAAAATATTCGGTGCAGATGGCTGCCTTTGAACATTTGGACAACAACAGTGATGGCTATGGCTGCTGCATTCATTCATTCATACTCAAGGGATATGTATGGCCTGTATGTAATGTTTGCCCAATCACTCAATACATCTGCCCAATCAAACATTCATTCATTTAATCATGTAAACCAATTCGTTCAGAAAGACACCTGATTCATCCATTAGGCCTGATTTTTTCGAATACATTTTTTTTTCTTCGGTTTGTTTGTTTGATCGCGCCACAAAAACAGAAAAATTCATAAAAAATCAAACATTCTGGTTATGTTTGTTGTTGCTGTATGTGAATAATGAATCCTCTCATGACGAATTGTTGTCACATTGATGATACATTTTTTGTTTTTCGTTTGATATTTGAAAGCATCAAACTGTCGTCTGCACCAGAAATATATTCCACAAAAAGCCATATGTTAGCCTTTCTATAATTAGATGCCATTGGCCATATATTTTGATGCACGTGTTCTTTTGGGTGATCCAAACATTGCTACTGCTGCTTGGCAGAATGACTGGTTCTAAATGCATATGGCCCTTATGGAATTCACGAACACACACACAGACAGAAGGAGAGAGATAGAGAGACATAAACAGAAAATTCAAAAGACAAACCTTAAATTCTACAAAACCTCGATTCCGGACCAGATGTCATCATCATCATCGTCATGTATGAATTCGAGGCTTATCATTATGATGATGATGAGGTATATGACCTTTTTCGAATAAAACAACACCACAAATGAACCCAACCAAACTAATAGCAATTCCATTTCATTGAAAATCTATTCTCGACTAATGACTTACTTGCACGGATTCTTGTTCAACATTATGTGTGTTTAGCTGTAGACAGAATTGATGGATCGATTCTTTCGCTCTATGACCAAATAAAGGATGCACGTGTCCATTTTTGCAAATACTATCCTGGCACATGGCTGTCATCATAATCATTTTCGAATGTTTTCAATTCAATCAAATAATAATGATGGTCATCATTTGGAAAAATTCAACTTTAGATCAGGATTATTACATCGGGAATAAATCATTTTGTAAAATTTATGAGCGCCATCTATTCTAATTTGAAAAAAACTATCAAAGTTTGCTGTAAATTGATCATAGATGGTGCTGTTAAATTCTAATAGGAAATTCATGGTGGATTATTGCAGAATTGATCAGAATAATGTTTGTTTGTTTGAAATCCGAAAAAAAAGAAACAACCACGATGATGATGGCCTCGATTCTCAAACATAATATTAATGGCCATAAATGGATTGCATCCAAACTTTGTCTTTGT